GTCCTTGTTGGTAACCTAAATGAAGATCTTTTCAATACGAGTATCCACCACTTATGTGACATAATAACACGCAAGTACTTACGGAGTATTATTAATGAAACAACACGAATTACAACACATTCGGCTAAACTTATTGACCCTATTTTAGTAAGTAATGATTGTAATTGTTCCTTATCCGGTGTACTAGATCTTAGTTCCGATGTATCGGATCACAGGGGAGTTTTCGTGTCTGCTAATGCATATCTTAATATAAAAAAAAGTCATATAAAAGAAACGTATTGCTCTACAAATAACTAACTTTGCTAAAATAAATATACAAATTAAGAATAAAAATTGGAACGAGTTTTTTAAAGAATGTACGGACGTTCATGAAATGTGTGACAAATTCCACACAAATTCTTGGTTGGGAAGTTCTTCGATGCGCGATTCACGTTTCTTGCACAAGTCTTTTCCTTTGTAAGCGTGTGTATATTACAGCCAATTTGTAAAATGTGATTCTCTCAGGCAGTTTATAAAATGTCTAAATATTACATTCATTTTGACTGAAAATGCTGTCCATTTATTTAAATGATTTAGACGGTCAAAAGGGCTTTAGAGCACCCCAAACAATATAAAAATGTACTTTTGGTCCTAACATTTTCAGTCTCTTGAAACATAAAACATGTTTGGAATTCGTTATCTTAACAATACTGATTGACATATTTTTCAGTCAATTTATGATATAACTGAATATAATCAGTGAATATATATAATTAAATATATCTGTATATATAAGTGAAAATGTAGCACATTTTGACTGTAAAAATATAAACACGATAAAATAAGCAATGTTCACAATGTCATAATATATTTTCCTTGTGTTGCAAGTCAAAATAGTATAAACGAAAATCGCATAATTTCCAAGCAAGTGACTTTTCAAAATTTCGTCTCTATTACCGATGCTACCCACAGAGATACCTACATGTCCTTTTTATTTCCAAAAATGTATTTCATTTTGTCGATCAATGTAACCATACGTCCTTAAACTATCAAAAAAAAGTGACAAAGGCGCTTCCGAATGGCGAAGCACAGGTCGGGAACTAGCCTAGATTTCTGCTATATCATCCGGGTACTCACGGGGGAAAACAATAACAAAGGCAACAACCAGCCCCGGGGAATTGCTTTAGATCAGTGCCCCATTCAAAACGAACATATCCGCAATCCACAAACAATCACTTCATTAATGGCGAACATTTACCAACCCGCGACAACCGTGTCAACTCGGGGGTTATCCTAGCAATAAACTCGCATCCAAATTCACTACTGTTCTACTGTCGGCTAGCCACAATGGCTAGACTGGACTCTCGTGGAATGGTTCATGCCATAAAAGTCCAGCAACCGAACACTAATTAAGACGGGCCGACCTTGTGTTTATGGCCTGGTGAACACAGGTTACTGGCTCCTCATTAACTCAAGATTCACATCGCTCTGTTTTGTTTTTCCTCACTATTCATTTGATATATTTGTCAAATTCAACTGAAACTCGACCCGTGTTACACGCATGGCACATGCGTGTGCAACGAGTGACACACGCGTGCTTAACGGGTTGCACACCCGTTGCACACCCTTTGCACACCCTTTGCACACGTGTGTCCAACCTTTGCTCAACCCGTGTGCAACCCGTTGAGCACCCATGTCACGTGCTTGGTACACGCGTATTTCAAGCGTGTTAGGGAAATGAACTTCTCGGCAGTAGTGTATTTTACAGAGAAAAAAAACAGTTGTTAAACAATAGTAATAAAATATAATAAAAAAGAGCCAAGAGACTTTCTGGCCTACACCATCAACTCCTGAGGAAGTTTGGAAGTTTCTCGGGTTTGCTGGTTATTACCGGAAATTCGTGAAAGACTTTTCCAGCATTGCAAGACCTCTGTCTGAACTGATGCCGAAGTGTGCCAAGACATCCAGGAAACAAGCCACATAGACTATAATATGGGGTCAGGACCAAGAAAGAGCCTTTGAGGAGATCAAGACATGCCTTTCATCCCCTCCCGTTTTAGGGTATGCTGACTACACAAAGCCCTTCCAGCTCCATACAGATGCCAGCACTCAGGGTTTGGGAGCAGTACTGAATCAGGACCAGGATGGCCACCCACGAGTCATAGCATATACAAGTAGGGGATTGAAAGGATCAGAGTTTCTGTGTTTAAAGTGGTCAATTTCAGAAATGTTTCATGACTATTTGTGTGGTCATGACTTTGTGGTGATGACAGACAACAATCCCTTGACGTACGTTCTGTCAACAGCTCGATTGGATGCTACTGGACACCATTGGTTAGCTTCTCTAGCCAACTACAACTTTACCATCCAGTACAGATCAGGAAAATCCAACATAGATGCTGATGCCCCGTCCAGATTGCCTCAAAGAGAACATCAAGTACAAATGGAAGAGGTCAACAAGGACTCAATAAGAGAAATGTGTGAAGTTTAACAAGTTTCTAGTCTTGTTGAAAGTTTGATTCTATCCACACCTGACATAAATGAGCAAGAAGAGATAACTGAAGACAGATGCGAGTTTTATGCCAGGGATTGGAAACGAACTCAATCAAAGGATCCAGAGATTGGTATCATAATTGATCATCTCAGAAACAGGACTAAACCAGACAGGACACATTTTATTGGGAATCATGAATGACAACGCTGTTGAACAGTTTTCAGTACTTTCAGCTAAAGTGAGGTGTTTTGTATAGAGTCATCAAGACAGATGGAGAAGATCAAGAACAGTTAGTCCTTCCAACAAGATGTAGATCGTCCCTACTGAGAAGCCTCCACGACAATGTTGGGCATCCAGGGAGAGACAGGTCCTTGTCTCTCATCAAGGACAGATTTTATTGGCCTGGGATGACCAAGGATGTAGAGACTCATGTTCAACAATGTGTGCCGTGTTTGCGTCGTAAAACACCAACAGGAAGAGCTCCTCTGGTCAGTATAGAAACCTCACAACCTCTAGAACTGGTCTGCATGGACTTTCTCACCCTTGAGCCATCAAATGGAGGACAGCAACATGTTCTAGTAGTGACTGACCACTTCACCCGCTATGCCCAGGCCTACATTTGGGACATTATGGGATACCTAAGAGTATTCAAAATGAATATATATATATATATATATATATATATATATATATATATATATACATACATGACTTTACGGGTGTGACACACATTTAGAAACTGTTATTATGTGCCTACCCTGTGGGTGAGACTGGGGTGTCTTCCCGACTAGCGCCGCAACTTATAATTCCGGATATCTGAATAAAACATATACTTTTATAACAATGACTTATACAACTATTTACATACACGTTAAAATATTTCTCCGGATCCCATATAGTATGCACAGTATATTATATAGAACTGATCACAAAGCATTAAAAACATAGCCTATTCCGTAAAACAACACATACACTCTTCCTCATACATACAATAATAAAGAGACAGAAAAGTGATATAAGTAATTACCAAAGCTTACAATTCATAAGTCTTGTTTACCACATTTACTTAAATAGATTGTAACTGAGAATATGATAATATTAAACACGTTTAGTTAAGTTTAGTATTATAGGTTTAATATACTGCAACATTTAACTGCAATAACAACAATACAAGTATACACATACATATTAAACTAACCTGATTTTAGATTATTTCACTTGTCAACTTGTCTGTGTAAGATATGTGTGCAGACTGAGAACATGCAGTGAGAGAAAGGGTCAACTTTGAGGGTTAGACTGATACCAACGACCACATTCTTAATGGCATTGTGGGTTCAAAGCTTTCGGCCATGGGAGCCGTGTCATTTTTCACTTGTCAGAGGGGTACACAAAGTACGTGATCTGGACTAACAGTTGTTGGACTTTATTTTTGGTTCGGTGGCTGGGTTAGATCGCTGACTTTATGTGCTGGCGATAGGGTGCCTCAAAATGTGTGTGTGTGTTTGTGTGTGTTCATGTGCGTGTTCATGTGCGTGTGCGTGTCTGTGCGTGTGCGCGCGTGTGTGTGTGTAAATGTGGGCCTGTTGGATATTACATAAAACATTCATCTTGAGCGGGATGGTAGTTCTAGATGGATAACCATGTTAACTACATGATCTTCTTGAGGTAGAGAATGCCGCGCATGAATGTACTTATGAGATTGACAATGTCAATCAAGAACGTTATTTGGACGGAAAAATGATGGTTTGAAAACGTCCAAATAACGTCATTTTTCCGTCCAATGACCATATACGGGAAAAAACGACGTTTTTGTGTGTGCAGTGTGACAAGCATATTTTCGAGTTACCTTCAGTTCGAAACAACCGGAGTGCGGAACTGATGCTATAGTACTGTTAAGCAAACTGTCGAGTTATCTACAGTTCGAAACAACCAGAGTGTGGAAATGATACTATAGTACTGTTAAGCATACTGTCGAGTTATCCACAGTTCGAAACAACCAGAGTGCGGAAATGATACTATAGTACTGTTAAGCATACTGTCGAGTTATCCACAGTTCGAAACAACCAGAGTGCGGAAATGATACTATAGTACTGTTAAGCATACTGTCGAGTTATCCACAGTTCGAAACAACCGGAGTGGGGCACTGATACTATAGTACTTTGAAGTGTTCTGTCGATATCCTAAAAGTTCAAATAAGCGGAACCACTGTTAAGATTTCTGTCAAGTTATCCAAAGTTCGAAAGAAGTGACCGACAAAATGCTACAATAAACTTGTCCATTCTATCGGTGCAGCTGAGATATCGAGATAAAAGATCGAAGTCGACATATATCCGATGACATCGCGTCAACCAGGATCCAGCCCACATGGCATAGATTAGATGAGCGGGTTTGGCTGCCCACGCCCGGGAACATTGGGTAACATGAGAAGGAGGGGGTGATCACTGGAGCGAAAGAAGACCTACCCTGCATACTCTGGAGCGAGAAGCCTGCAGGACACCTAAAGCGATACGTCACAAGTCGGCAAAACACATTGCACCTTCTCAGTCAAACACCAACAGAATCCTTTCAAAGCAACTTCAGCGTGGAGCCTACCTAAAGACTTGCTGAACATACAATAGATACAAAGACCTGGGGGATCTTAGTGAACGTACATGTAAGTGAATGAATAGATGCACTGACCTATGTTTAACTGTGGGAATGGGATACACGCATTCCGCCCCTTGGGTCATCCCATTCATCGAGGGTTGAATACTTGGAGAACGTGGAGCTGGGAGCCCAGTCTGGCGTTAAACCAGAACAGGAAGGGGTGTGGTTCAAGCTAGTCCCTCCACAACTCCGTTCGCCCCTCTTTCGCTTCCATGAAGGTAAGTCTAGTCTTGTAACGTACATCTTCTATTTCCTACAGGACCAGTCACGTCCCACTCGAAATCGTCAATGTGGGATTTTGCATCAAAATGCATCGAAATTAAATGTAGATTATGAAATGAAATTAATGGGACTGTCCAACGCTCTGTCAGTGGATGCCCAGCTTTGGCAAAGGGTATCGTAAGCGACAAGGTGGAGTGGGGTGATGTTTTTGGTGTGCAGTCTTCGCTCTGGTCCAACCATGGTACGACCCTGAATGTGCAGAAGGCGTCAGGGAATATGAGAATTATGAAAACAAATCTTTGGAATTTTCACGATCCGGGGGAAAATAGCTCTCCAGCAACCCATGCTTGCCATAAAAGGCGACTATGCTTGTAAGAGGCGACTAACGGGATCGGGTGGTTATGCTCGCTTACTTGGTTGATGCATGTCATCGTATCCCAATTGCGTGGATCGATGCCCATGATGTCAGTCACTGGATTGTCTGGTCCAGATTCGATTATGTACAGACCGCCGTCATATAGCTGGAATATTGATGAGTGCGGCGTTAAACAACAAACAAATCAAGCTAGTGACGATACGCCGCGTGGTATCACAAATACTAACTGATTAGTAAAGTCTACTAACGTGTTAGTGTCTGAGTGCACAGTAAGTTAGTAAACTTTAGAAACTATTGATGTCAGTGTAGTTACACCGGAATATTCCACTGTGACATTGTTAGGTCACGTGGAAGAAGTTAGGTCACGTGGAAGGAACCTCAGAGCGTGAGGTCAGATGTCACCTTGGGCAGCGTCGTCAAATATACATCCAACATATAATTCTGGTTTCTAGTTCCTCTCTTAATCATTTTGCGTCAGTAGGTATTGTTAACGCAGCCTTCAGCAATATTTAGCCTTCAGCAATATTTCAGATTTAGCAATATTTCAGTCTTTAGCAATATTGCAAACTTCAGCAATATTTCAGCCTTCAGCAATACTTGGGCCTTTAGCAATACTTCAGCCTTCAGCAATATTTTAGATTTAGCAATATCTCAGCCTTAGCAATATTTCAGTCCTTAGCAATATTTCAGCCTTCACCAATATTTCAGCCTTTAGCAATAATTCAACTTTCAGCAATATATCAACTTTCAGCAATAGTTCGTGATAACGTACATACAATCACACTTTCCATCAGAATCTCGACCCCCGCCTCTCGTTACTGAGTGCGGTGTAACAAACAGCAAACAACAAACAAGCCAACGAAAATAACATCGATAAACATCACTATATGTTCCGGGTGCCGCTGTTTCAGTAGCGTCACTGCAGCAGGTCACCGAGGATCTCAGTTGAGGTGAAACCCACGATCATGAGTGTGGTTCTGATCATGATCAAGGCGAAACGAAAAATTCGAACCAGTGTTCAGCAGACCCTGACACGGCTAAGGGAAGTAACCCTACACAGAAGTACCACAGAATCCTGAAATACCAGTTCTCCCACCCGACTGCCCACATACAGATTAATTTCACGAACTAATTTCTCTGTGACTGTAAGCCGTGGTGACCTGCAAGACGTCACGACTAACAGTAAAATCATTGTTCCCAAAAATAGCAGCACAGAGCACCATCAATGTAATGTGTGTTGATTTTACTGACGCTTCACTGACTACTAGCACAGGTTCCGCTCTGTTTACACTGAGCCGTAATACTTTCTTTGAAAATATGTCCACTTTTCTGTGGCAGTATTACGTTGCTGTTGCTGTTGTTGTAAGGTAGCCGAGAGGTAGTTAAAGTGTCAGTCGTCGTTCCATCAGGCTGAAGTCAGGTCTAAATCCCTTCGTGGTACAACGTCCGGACACTTTCGAAGCGGCAAACTGACCTAGAGTTTATATTTGTATGTTGCAGGTTCTCAGCTAAGAACCAGGAATGATCGGACGTGTCCTTTTGTTCTGTCTGTGTATACTTGCGTGTCACATTGACCTGTCTCACCAACAAGGTAGGTGAACATGAAGGGGAATAGCATATATTCATCTAACAAAGTAAGGGGACTAACACACACCTTCCCCCCCCCCCCCCAACAAGGTAGGTGAACATGAAGGGGAATAGCATATATTCATCTAACATCCCCAAGACAGTCAAAACTGGGAGTACTGTCACCCTACAGGCCACCTTATCTCAGAGTAACATCCAAACAGGACAGTGGTATAAGAACGGGGCGGTATTGACGACCAACGCTCGCATACAGACGTCAGTGAAAGGACAATTTCAGATTCTGAGCATATCAAATGTCCAGACTTCGGATGGGGCCATGTATGAATACAGAGTTAATGGACTATCCACAAGCGCACTTCTCACTGTTAATGTTCCAATAGGTGGGTATGTGAAGACAAAGCGTGGCCACGGTATTACACGATTCATTTATATCAAAAACAGTTATTTGTTGTTATTTTAAACCGCAATGTTCCTTTGCCAATATCAACTGTTCCTGTCGCGGAGTATTTTTCATGCTTGCTGACACACGACGTTGTCAAAACGTTGTGGTAACATCGTGATATAACGTTGTCACAACGTTATTATAACGACAACGTGCAACGTTATAACAACGTTGCACTTTCACGTTGTGAAAACGTTGTGCATCGGACATCACACAACGTTTTGTAACTACGAACGCCGAGGTGAACTTTCCGCCATATTGGATAGTGTTTACAAAATCACGTTTCACGTACATCGGTTACATCACGTATATTTCAAACTTAGCTGCGATACATAAATCCTTGAATTTCTCATACATTTTAGAATCAAATGACCAATGGTCTTTGTCACCAATACAAAGTGGCGAGATGAAATCAAGCAAAATAAGATAGGTGTGAAAATGAACGCTGTGGTCGAAAAACTGCACTTGTTTCAAATGTAAACAAAGCAAAATTCAGATTTTACACAGTGTAGCATTTTCTCCTATTTTGAGCTATCCTTTGGTCTATTCGTTCAAGATATTGGCTCAACATTTTCAGAATATGCATAGGAAGAGAATTGTAGGATGAATTAGGGAATTTAAAATAGATACATTGCAATGTTTTAATATTTTCAACAGAAATTGTCAAAGTTACCGTCCTGTGTGACGCCATGACTGACGCTAAATCACGCACAACGACAACGGTATTTATCGGAATTTCGGACTATTTCCGTTGGTTCCAATGAAAATTATAACAACAAATAACAGTACATGGATTGTCAGAATGTTTCTGATTACTTACATGTCACATTTATGTATAAACGATCCCTGAATCAACGAAAGTCCCCTCGTAAAATCCCGCGTACTGTTGAAAGTGAACACGCCATTTTGTAAAAGTCGGTCACCTGTAGGGGTGTCACACGTCAACATTGTTGTACATATTTGGTACTTTCTTTGAGGTGAAGGTCCTTGAATGAGTGTACACACGATCATTGTACCATGCTGTTTACAGTTTCAGTTATGATGTAGATTTTACATATATTTTATACATTTTTTTCACACAGTTAATTTCACTTTGGATATTTGTCAATGTTCAAAATGATATCATACGTAAACATAGGCGACAACATGTAATAACGAACCTATGATAATCTCATGTTTGTTTGTATACATTGTTTATATAACAATTGATAGGTTTATAGTGTCGACTATGATATTTCTTTCCTTTGGACAATTGTTACGAGATGAAGTGTAAATGTAACTGCAGCATGTACGTATTTCTTGGGATGTGTAATAGTCAATATTATAAGTTCATATAACCAATGTCCATGAATAACCGTTTCATTTTATTTTATAATTAAAACTGAATATATTACTTCAACAAAATGGAACATATGTTTCTGAAAGAAATGTCTTGGTTTTGGAATTGTTTGTTATGTCGTTTGATACACAGAACAGTGATATCTAACGAATCCAGGTGCGCGTAAGTCACAAACTATTTACAAATTATTCCTCTCGTTTTGCACTGGGTTCATTCTTCTTTCAGTCTTGTGATCACATGATATTAAACTGTTAACTTTATTTCTCCAGGGCCCACTTGCACAGAACAATCTTAGTTACAATTAATCTTAGGCGCCTACAATCAACTTTACAATCACCATACAATTGTCCTATTCCACTTGCACAAACCGATCTTAACGCGATTGTAAGGCGGCTTGGATTTAAGTTCGCAATCTTAACTAAGATTAAAATCTTCAATGGTGGAGGTACAAATATCTTAAACTTGACTCCTGTCTACGGTTGTCTGCAAACTCGCAAATCTTGCTGCGCATACAACGTGTGGAACCGGTTACAACATACAACACGAACCTCCCTCCATCGCACCTTGCACAGCTGAAAGGTCCCAATTATTTGAAGGAAACTATTTCTAGAATGATGGCATATATTATTTTCGGCTATAATACTGTCGTGATTTAGGAATTGTTTTCTGGAAAGTATTGAAATACGAATAAATACATTAAAAATACAAATAAATACATATGTGTGAGTGAGTGAGTTAATGCTTTACGTCACATCGGCATAAATACATAAGTAGATTTGGCTCTGGATTTAGTGACATACTTATTATGAAAATAAAAATAGAAAATAATAATATGTCCTAATAACATAACAGGTAAATGTATGATCGTAATCTATTTTGGAGGAGTTTTTCGTAAAATCGTAAATATATGTATATCCTTCATGTTTTAGTTTCGGCGCTATAACAAAGGATGTTATGCCTACTTTTTCAAAACACAGTAAGACGGGAGATTTCAAGAATGCATGGACAGGAAATGAGAATAATGATTCAAGAAAGCAGTTGTTTAATATATATCCACTGGCTATTAATTATATTTCTTAAAAAGTGTGAATTTTACTTTTAAGGGATATGTTACACAAATTTCAAATGTCTCATTTGTCTTTGCTTGTTTGGTGAATATTTGTATTTTTTTCTTATAAATTTAGATATTACAACCGCTCGTGCCCGTCCCACTCGATTTTAGATTTAAACGTATGATTTTGCACTTCAACTATTTTTCATTTGTAGATTAATTTAATGATAAACTAAAGACAATATAAGTGACACAGGGGGAGCTCGGCGGTTCTACAACATTAATACACTGGGCAAAGTAGATCCTGCGATACTAATACAAAGGGAAACCACTCCCATCTAGAGTATAAACTATGATTAGCTGCCCTTGATTTATCTAAAAGGTCATGGACGTTACAAATCGCTTGCAGACGACTTAGGTTTTATCCTTCCCTTGATAAGGTATGTTGTTTCAGACTTCCTTCAGCATTGAATCGGGTGGGAATAGTACTTTTAACTATCGACTCGATAGTTATGTGGTTCACTATCGCAATTAACGATATTTCTGACGTTACATCTGTGGTGAATTCTTCGTGTTGTTGAAGTGTCGAGTCGAATCATAAAGTTTAACAAAATAAAGAGGCAGTGTTTGAACGTAAAGCTGATTATTCATGTGAAACAAAACCTGTCTTGCACGCCATTTTGTCAGAGACTACAACGATCGTAGCTACTTAAGATTGGTCCGGACCAATTTTAAGTTGCGATTGTAGCTTAAAATGATCTTAGGCTACAATCGCTTTGTCCAAGTGGATGACGATTGTGCGCCGAAGCCTAAGATCGCGATCTTAAGGATTTACAATAATTGTAGCGCTAAGATCGTTTTGTGCAAGTGGGCCCAGGAATTATAAAAAGTATGAAAACAAAACCCATGCCGGGTACTCTGTTGGTTCAACCTCATACGATTTACTTGGTGAAAGCAGTAATTTTATGTTGTGTCGAAAAAGCGTCAAATTCCGTTTTACACATCGAGATTTTCTATACCATGAACGAAAATTAGGGAAGATATATATTAATCAAAATACCAGTGTCGTCTTTCTCCGACGTTATCAAAGACATAAAACCAGCCATGACGTCAAAAGGAATGGTGTTATTTTTTGGATATTTCATTACATTTGATGATAAGGCTAGTGCTCCATTAATAATGGCGCAACATTAGTCAAATTACACTTACACAATAAGGATAATGTTGGAATCTAAGGACTAAGTTATAGGTTACATAGGGCCATCCATTTCTCTATTACCTCTTTTCTATGAAGTAAGATTTCATCATTTCTTATGGGATTGTTTTTAAAACTAAACGTATACAGTTTTAATATCGATATTTATGTTGGAATTGTTCGGTTCCTCGTGAACAAATCACCACGAAAATATATTGTCCTTACCCACAGCTAATTCTCACCAATTGACCTGAGTTACAATAAACTAGTGCTATGCATAGCGGAGTTATGCCCCCTTTTCTTTATACGTGTGTAACCTCTCTGTCGCCTTTTGACGTCATAGAGAAAAATCAATTTTCGTAATTTACGGCATGCTATTTTTGGCATTGAAGGTATGTCGTTATACATAGGCATATAACTCCATTTGATTACAGATATTAGGCAGTATTTTGTTCGCTCGCAGTTTCCGTAAAGCTTCTAGATAAAAAAAAATCGTCGCACAGTACTTTTATCAGTGTACGATAAAAAGCGGAGAAATTTACTGTTTTTCAACGCAGAATATATTCTCGGACAACATTTAGAAGTGTCTTTTTATAAAACCGGTTTAATATTTGCAGTTAAATTCAAACCATCAAAAAGGAAATTTAATATTCTCCACCTGTGCGTAATTTTATAGCCAGAGGTAGATCCAGTGCCGCGTGAGCGCAACTCTCGCACAACCTTCACTTTTCCGATCTTAGAAAAATGTGCATCAGAAAAAAATCTCGGCATCCAGAGGGTTAACGTTGTGATAACGTTGTGCTTTGAACATTACAACACTTTTTGTAAATGTTGTTTAGGAAACCACTTGTAGATCTACCATCTCTTAGTTTTATTTTTTTTAAACATATATATCTATTAACGAAGTTGTCTGTCTACTAAATGTTGTCACAAGCAATATTACAGTAAAAAACAATTGGCGCGCTTTTTTTGCGGCGTGAGAGCGACTGCTGAAAAGTTTAGCCTGTTGCCTCGTGAAGTGACGTAAGATTGACGTCACATTGTCGCGGAAGATTTGTTGTCACTCGCCATCTTAGTTCAAGCTCAGTCTGGACATATTACAACCAAGTGATTGTGCAGCAACTGGAACTGGAGAGATGATCTGTGAATTCGGATGAGGTAAGTTATTTTTCAAAAGCAGTCTCCGCTTGTTGATATGTTTATGTACATGCAGATAGTCAAATGATTTAAATGTATCGTATTATTCAGAAGTGTCGGGGTTCAGAATGCAGTTTGCCGGTCACTTTCACTGAGCGTCAGTGCTGATATTAATATTTGATACACAAAACTTGATGTATGTAGAGGTGAAGGAGGCCCAAGACTTTTTTCCATATTAGTATTTTATGGATACCAAGGGTAATTACAAGGGCAAGCAGTATATGTTTGACCAGAATTCAGTCTGGCGGCGTTTTGTGGCCGTCATATTATGTTCGGGTTTCGATCGTAAGCGTATAGGTCTGTAAATAGGCCGAACTTATGCATCGCCTACTGACCACTGACAGTTATCGCCATTTCTTCCTTGTTATTTCTGAAATCATTACTATTTAAAGTTTACACGTTCTAATCTTCTGACTTTGATTCTTGTGAAACAATGTGGCCCATTCAGGCCATGGGAAAGGTTGAGTAGATTTCTCCTATACAGCGAAGAGAGGGAATCAAAACAATGGAAGTATTTTCAGATCGACTCTCTGTAGGCTGCTAGTTATAGCCCTAGTCTAAAGCGCTCAATGATGTTATGAAAAATTGTATTTTCGGGAAGGGACAGAAACATACTTGTTGTTTCCGAAAAGGCCTAATTAGCACTGACTGAAGTAGCCTAAATGTGGATCATCTGGTTGTTGGTGTTGTCTATAAAGTTTTATTGTAGCAAGGCGCTTATCATGTGTATTTTTAATATTTCAAAAAAAGAACCAATTCATCATTTTCCGATAACTAGATCTTTGTCCGACTTCCTTATGAAAACGAGCAAAAGTAAAACGAGCCTCTCGTCGCGCGCTATAACGTGGTGTTGTCCTCGCTGGTGATAAGCTGGTCGATGGTCAAAAGTTGAATATCACCATATATTGTCAGTGAGTTGGTCATCGTTTGTTGATTATTAAGGTGAGATAGGTGTAGCCAATGTGCACCAATGAAAAATACTGCGATGAAGATGTGAGTCGTAATTAGCTACAATGCCTGTCTGATATATCTGTTCCCGTTTGGATTCCGGTTTAGAAAAGGTCCCCAACAAATCTTGTTTGTACTAACATGATTGTGTGTCATTGCACTCTGACAAAGGTTGTGAGACGTGGCTCACTATAACAATCACTGGTTTGCCTGACCGATTTGTCAGACCGGTGTTTATGGAAACCAAATTACATAAGGTGATGTTGTTTTTTTATGATGGCACTCATAAGTTTGTTACTTATATCTGTAGCCTGAGTTATTTCCGATCGGACGTAACACATGGGGACTTTAGATTTACAGGTTTTTTTCTAAATTTTAGGTCATTATACAATGTATGTTATCTTTTTGAATAGACTATAGATCTAAATCTATGTTTATTGAATATAGTTCTAGTTTTGATTTTTTTAAATATGTTTTCGTTGCAGCAAGGGGGAAACGTTACACGACCATTCCAGGAGATAAAATCAAGAATGATTAATCATTGAGGAACACACCAAATAAACCCTGGGCTGTGAATTATGTTAACGTAAGTACAATTGTTTACAGTTACATTCCATTGTCTATATCCGTGTTAATTAGTGTGTTTTTTTGCTTTAAATGGATGCTAAGAATGTAGATCTATTTATATAAATTTATGCTCGTACCACGTTTTGTGTACAACCCTTGATGTCTTTGAATGAATGTTAGTATTTGTGTTTCCATCAGACACTTGCATTAAACATTATTGTTTGAATATTGATAAAGCCATTTCTCCAAATGAATGTTTCTCGTCATATAGTATGTTTCAAATACCTGCTCGAGATTTATTAAGCTGTTTGTATTTCAGGGAACTGGAAGTGAACAACAAAGAAAGGCGATTCTGGCATTCAATAATTACCCAAAAGTGTATAAATTTTCAATTATCTAAAAATATTAAAATGTGAACACAAATGTGTCTTGGAGTTCTTTGTTGAATGGTGACGTCGCATGACTGAAAGTTGAAGTATACTATATGGACTTGATTAGAGACCGACCATTTAATATTCAAGGAGGTTGGGGACCTGGAACTTTTCTATGGAGATTACATATGTTTTCGGTCACAGCAGATAAAAGCAGATATATGATTTTATTTAATTCTATGAACCTGAAGATAAGCAACTTGCAACTAGATCTATGTCCTTTTTTGTGGCAGACATTTTTTTCACCAGTCTGAACCGTAAATATTTTTGTCAAGAATTTTCGGTGACATTATATTTTTTCGATAAAATTCCAGGACCCGACCCTCCCCAGAAAATATTATATGGTCAACCCCTTACAATGTCTGTCATTCTTAATTTGTTTCCTGCAGTACTTGCCTAAAGGGCAATGGTGTCTGACTTTGTTATAGTCATATGTATCTAGTTAACAGCTGAGTGGTGTTTTTACATTTTGAACATTGTCAGCAAAACACTACCTGTTAACTGGGCTATTCGACGCCCTGGTTTTAAAATATTGGCAAAAGGTATCTCGAATCATATACATTCACGTGACTAAAGCATATTCTAAAACATTTCCGGAAGATGTTTTTTGGGTCGTTTTTACAATATTTTAGTGGGGAATGGTCACAACGAATTTCATCCTTGAAACACAAAGTTATTTCACGTCGTTGTGACAGCGTCCATGGTAGTACACAGAATAACGTTGAAGGGACGCATTATTATAACATTGCCAAAACGTAAAATACAACATTACCACAACGTCAAATGCAGCGTTCCGTCAACGTAAAAATACAACGTTCCCACAACGTAAAATACAACGTCATCACAACGTTGTGTCGACGTGAATATGACGTAACACAACGTTAGGCCATGACGTTGTGACAACATAAATGGGAGTCCACAGAATAACGTTATATGGACGTAACATCACCACCGTTACCACAACGTTACAACAACGAAAACACAACGTTCGGTAATTGCTTTCTCCTCTATTTCAACTGCTTTCAAAAATACGAAATGTAACGTTCATATCATTGTTGCCATATTCGTAAGATAAGGTATTCAAAGTTTATAACAATATTGCCATATTTGTAAGATAAGATATTGAATGTTTATATCATTATTGCCAGAATTTCAAGATAAGATATTCAATGTTTATATCAATGTTGCCATATTTTCAAGATAAGATATTCAACGTTTATAACAATATTGCCATATTTGTAAGATAAGGTATTGGATCTTTATAATATATCATTATTGCCATAATTTCAAGGTGAGGAAATCAATGTTGCCATATTTGTAAGATAAGCTATTGAAGATAAGGTATACAATGTTTATGTCACTATTGCCATAATTTCAAGATAAGGTATGCAATGATTATGTCATTATTGTCATATTTTCAACATTAGGTATTCAATGTGTATGTCACTACTGCCATATTTGTAAGATAAGATATTCAATGTTTCTATCACTGTTGCCATATGTTCAAGATAAGATCTTCAATGTTTATATCAATATAGCCATATTTTCAAGATAAGGTATTCAATGTTAACATCAATATTGCCACGATTGTAAGATAAGATATTCAATGATTACATCAATATTGCCATATTTTCAACATTAAGTATTTCAATGTTAATATCAATATTGCCATATATTCAAGATAAGATATTCAATGTTTATATCAATATTGCCATACTATCAAGATAACATATTCACTGATTATATCAGTATTGCCATATTTTGAAAAAAGGGTATTCAATGTTTATATCATTATTGCCATATACGCAACAAAAGGCATTCAATGTTGGTATCCTTATTGCCATATTTTTAAGGTATTTTATGTTATATTATTACAGCCAGTTTTTAGATAGTTATATAATGTTAAACCGTTATTGCTACGTTTTCAAGATGAGTTATTTAATTGTTTATATCCTTATTCCATTATTTTTAAGGAGCCATAAGTGTTGTGAGTGGACTAACCCCCCAGACAGTCAATACTGGGAATACTGTCACACTACAGGCCACCCTATCTCAGACTCGACCCGTGAAGATTCCGGGATAGAAGAGGTCTTCAGCAACCCATGCTTGCCGTAAAAGGTGACCATGCTTGTCGTAAAAGGCGACTAACGGGATCGGGTGATCAGGCTCGCTGACTTGGTTGATGCATGTCATCGATCCCAATTGCATGGATCGATGCTCATGATGTCAATCACTGGATTGTCTGGTCCAGACTCGATTATTTACAGACCGCCGTCATATAGCCGGACTATTGCTGAGTGCGACGTTAAACAACAAACAAACAAACAAACAATCATTTTAGGCCCAGTGGGGTCTGTCTCAACAGTTACTCGATACTGATTGTTCTTTGGCATTTTATATAGCAGTATGCATATTTTTCAAAGGTCCTATTGTCAATGGTGGATTCTCGCAGTGGACCGACTGGACTGGTCTACCTTGTGGCGTAGCTTGCGAAACAAGAACGGACGTGATTCGGACGCGAACAAGAAGCTGCTCCAACCCACCTCCCAGCAATGGAGGACTCAACTGTACTGGGTCGTTTGTGGACGTTCTGTCCGCTTGCGTGGGTAGGTACGACCAGGGAGGCCAGGGGAGTCAGGGGAGTCAGGGGAGACTAGGGGATTCCAGGGGGAGACTAGGGGAGGCCAGTGGAGACCAAGGGAGTCCAGGGGAGGCCAGGGGAGCCAGGGGAGACTAGGGGATTCCAAGGGGAGACCAGTGGAGACCAGGGGAGACGTTGAAATTGGTGTGAAATTTGGTCATTGTATTTGTGTAATTAAGGTAATCTTTAATTGCGCAAATAATATAAAGTCCGTTAGCAGACTAACAAAGTGTGGTTTTACAATGATATGAATCTTGCTATAGGGCTGCCAAATTGCTCAAGTCCCCCTTTAAGCATGTTAAAATGGTTCCCCTTTCATCGTCTTTATAACATGGCTACGAAAGTACCAAAATCCCATTTGAGCATGTCAATAACATGGGTAATAAAGTGCCAAGTTCCCCTGTAAGAAAGTTTATAAGATGTTTACCAACGTACCTAGTCCCCATTTGAGCATGCTAACCAAGTTCCCCTTTAAGCTTGTTTGTACAATGGTTACCAAGACTCGTGGTGATGTTTTGTACAATGACGGTAGTATCTGTTGGAGTGTTAACACAAACATCGATATGTTGCAGTAAAGATGATGTTTAATAACTACTGATTTAGTGACATGGTATACAAAGACCTGACTTGGTATACAGTTCTTCCAAACGCATTACAGGACCTGTAAACGGCGGGTTTTCCCTGTGGTCTGAATGGACTGACCCTTCCTGTGGCATCACCTGTGGCTCCACCGACGGTGTCATCAGGTCACGAACCAGAAGCTGCACAAACCCCGTTCCCAGAAATAGCGGACTGTTGTGTTTTGGGGATGTAGTGCAGACGTCTGTCAAGACGTGTAGCTTCCCTGCTTGTCGAGGTGAGTGTTTTAGTGTAACCTGTTGAGGGTCAAGGTCGATTTTATTTCATTCTCTTCTCTTTATCCTTTCATTATTCAAATATTATTAAACTCATATTTTCTTGAGTATGTATTTATTTTTATCTCATTGGCGTCATTCATTTTTCAAAGTTATTTTAATAAATGGAGTTTCCTATCAATGAATGTTCCATTACTTATGCCTCGCCTTACTAGATTATCCCACCTTCCCTGTGGTGCGTCTCGCCTTACTAGATTATCCCACCTTCCCTGTGGTGAGTCTCGCCTTACTAGATTATCCCACCTTCCCTGTGGTGAGTCTCGCCTTACCAGGTTATACCACCCCTCCTGTGGAGAGTCTCGCCTAACTACATTAGACCACCACTCCTGAGGTGAGTCTCGCCTTACCAGGTTATCCCACCCCTCCTGTGGCGAGCCTCACCTTACTAGATTATCCCAACTCTCCTGTGGTGAGTCTCGCCTTACTAGGTTATACCAACTCTCCTGTGGCGAGCCTCGCCTTACCAGGTTATCCCAACCCTCTTGTGGTGAGTCTCGCCTTACCGGGTTATCCCACCTCTCCTGTGATGAGTCTCGTCTTGCTAGGTTATACCACCTCTCCTGGGGTGAGTCTCGCCTTACTAGGTTATACCGACTCTCCTGTGGTGAGTCTCGTCTTGCTAGGTTATACCACCTCTCCTGTGGTGAGTCTCGCCTTACCAGGTTATCCCACCCCTCCTATGGCGAGCCTCGCCTTACTAGGTTATCCCACCCCTCCTGTGGTGAGTCTCGCATTACTAGGTTATCCCACCTCTCCTGTGGTGGGTCTCACATGACTAGGTAATACCACCTCTCCTGTGGTGAATCTCGCCCTACCAGGTTATCCCTACCCTCCTGGGCGAACCTCGCCTTACAAGGTTTTCCCACCTCTCCTTTGGCGAGCCTCGCCTTACTAGATTATTCCAAATCTCCTGAGGCGAGCCTCGCCTTACTAGATTACCCCACCTCTCCTCTGGTGAGCCTCACCTTACTAGATTATTCACCTCTCCTGTGGCGAACCCCGCCTTACACAGTTATTACAATTATCCTGTGGCGAGCCGAGCGTTAAGGACTAGATTATCCCGCCGCTCCTGTTGTTGATGTAGAATGTGAGTTGAACTAAACACCATGGAATGTATCTTTTATATGTGGAAAATCTACTTGTCTCGTTTACATCCTGAACATAAATTGCAGGATATGTGTGTTTCTTCAACAAAAAGTTAATCAGTTTACTGGTTTCATGATGTAAATGTGGTCTTTTCGTCAGTGAATGGTGGACTAACAGCTTGGACTCAGTGGACCGATCCACCGTGTGGCATCACGTGTGGACAACGATCAGATGTCATGCGGACACGCACCAGGAGCTGTTCCAATCCACTCCCCAGCAATGGAGGACGTGACTGCACGGGGTCTTTGGTGGAGATTTTGCAGAAAACCTGTTTATTCCCCGCTTGTGTTGGTACGATGCACCATCAAACACTGGCTGCTTACACAGTTTTTCTTTGTTTGTTTATTGTTTACAGCAAGACTAATACGCCGCAGCAATATTCATGCTGTATGACAGGGGTCTCTGAAAAGTCGAGTCGATAAACCAGTGATCGATACCATGAACCACACCCAAAGCCATCTGGGGTTTATGACACACAATCAACCAAATGACCGAGACATTTGAACTTGCCAATCAGTATCTAATTTCATTCGTTTCTATATAATTTTGGTACTAAATTATATACTTCATAAATAAATAGTGTCATTTAAATAGGTATCACATATGTGTTTGTAGTGTCTATATCAAAGTTCGTGTATTTTGCTCTCACACGAATTGGCATATAAAATACATAAACGAGATCTTAGTAATTGTATATACTGTCGACAGTGGGCGGTGGCCTGATATTTGTGTGCATTGTCGACAGTTAATGGTGAGCTGATATTTGTATATGGTGTATATTTGTCGACAGTGAATGGTGGTTTGACGCCATGGTCCCAGTGGAGTGGACCACCTTGTAACTTGACCTGTGGAGCTAAGAACGATGTGGTTAGAACTAGAACCAGAAGCTGCACCAACCCTGCCCCAAGTAATGGCGGACTGAACTGCACCGGACCCTTCGTTGAAGTTAAAGCTTCGTGTGTCGGTAAGTTGAGCGAGAGTGTTGGATTAAATGCCGCTGACGTAGTGCGTTTGCTGTGTGTTACGTCCATCTGAACAGTATTTTGTTATATCAGGACTAATTAGTTTACTGCGGGGGGAACTCATTGGACACAATGCAAACTACAGTTATAACAAACTTTTTGGGACTACTAGTTTTAGCATGTTATAACCGTAGTTAGTTATTAGCATATATATAGCAAATAGTCGGGACAAAAAAATAAGTTCGTTATATCCGTCAGTTTGTTCTAAGCATGTTTGTTATAACCGTAGTTTACTGTATTCAAAAGTTCAAGAACACAGATATTTTCATATGACTATGGCCATGAACAGGTATATACAAAATATACTATTCAAAAGTTCAAGAACATTGATATTTTCATATGACTACGGCCATGAACACTTATATACAAAATATATTATTCAAAAGTTCAAGAACACCTGATGTTTTCATATGACTATGGCCATGAAACATTAACTGTATAGTCATATGAAATATCGGGTTTTTCCTAACCTCTTTTGAGTACTATATTTGGATGTAGCTTTCTTTATCGTAAGCGTCAATGCAATAATAAAGCCCTTTCATACGTCAATGAATATATTTCCAGTCCCTGTCAATGGAGGATTCACTCAGTGGACGCAGTGGACTAACCCTTCCTGTGGCATCACCTGTGGCTCCACCAGCAGTGTGTTTAGGTCAAGGACAAGAAGTTGCACCAACCCCATCCCCACTAATGGCGGCCTGCAGTGCTCCGGGGATAGTGTTGAAACATTGGTCAAGACGTGTGTCTTCCCAGGGTGCCCGGGTGAGTTCGTGAGTTTGTGTATTTCTTAGGGACAAACCACTTGACACTTCTTGTTACAGAAAATATGCCCCTTCTTACCAGATAAAGAAAATACTTCTACCATTTTACTGAAGATTGTATGACGACAGCCATGCTTATCATTTAAGATTTGTTTGCGATATAACTGGAATACTCTTAAAAGCTCACTCACTCACTGAAACATGTTGGAGAACGAATTCAGTGTTGTGTGTTGTATTTGATTTAAGTATATTGGACTGTACTCTCGAATTGCTTTTACTTTTATACAAAAACAGCATAAGCTACATTAAATCATTAAAATATACTTACAGATTTGGCAAAGCATACACCAAAGCACACATATTACACCGATGGACCTATAAGTTTCCTATCTCGGGTTATAATCCTAATTTGACAATGTCACTGCGACATGATGCTGGTCAGAAGGTAGTGGGGAACAGATAATGTACTGTAATCCACATGATTTACATAACAATAAACATCTTTCTTATTTGCATAGTGGATGGTGGCCTGACCCACAATTACACACAGAACGTTTCTAAGCAAGCAACATGTTTGTCATTGTCTAGTGGACGGTGGCCTGACCCATAATTATACACAGAACGTTTCTAAGCAAGCAGCATGTTTGTCATTGTCTAGTGGGCGGTGGCCTGACCCACAATTTTACACAGAACGTTTCTAAGCAGGCAGTATGTTTGTCATTGTCTAGTGGACGGTGGCCTGACCCACAATTATACACAGAACGTTTCTAAGCAAGCAGCATGTTTGTCATTGTCTAGTGGACGGTGGCCTCACCCACAATTTTACACAGAACGTTTCTAAGCAAGCAGTATGTTTGTCATTGTCTATTGGGCGGTGGCCTGGCCCACGTTTACACACAGAACGTTTCTAAGCAAGCAGCATGTTTGTCATTGTCTATTGGGCGGTGGCCTGACCCACAATTACACACAGAACGTTTCTAAGCAAGCAGCATGTTTGTCATTGTCTATTGGGCGGTGGCCTGACCCACAATTACACACAGAACGTTTCTAAGCAAGCAGCATGTTTGTCATTGTCTAGTGGACGGTGGCCTGACCCACAATTATACACAGAACGTTTCTAAGCAAGCAACATGTTTGTCATGTCTAGTTGACGGTGGCCTGACGTTCTGGACACAGTGGATTAATCCACCTTGCGGCATCAGTTGTGGAACAAGAACTGACTTGACACAAACACGGACCAGGAGCTGCACCAACCCTCCTCCCAGCAACGGAGGACAAGGCTGCACTGATCTTTTAGTTGAGGTCGAACCGAGAAACTGTGACTTTGCTGCTTGCATTGGTTTGTTTGTTTGTTTGTCCGTTTGTTTGTCCGTTTGTCTGTTTGTGTTTAACGTAAAAGATTAAGAAGCATCCTCGCTTAATGTATATTATATTCACTGAAAAAGAAAGAGACAGAACTTCTTTAAATGATTTTCCATAAGGTTTGTTTGTTTGTGTTTAACGCTGCACCCAGCAATCGACCATGACGGAGGGCTGTAAATAATCGGATCTGGTCCAAACAATCCAGGGATTGGCATTATGAGCATCGATGTAATTAATTGAGATATGATGACATCCCGTTAGTCGCTTCTTACGACATGTGTGCAGAAGATTGGCGCTTTTGTTAGTATGTGAATGGTGATGCTGGGTCTCCTCCTAATGTATCCCGTTATTCATTCATAGTTTCTAATGTAAGATTAATCACGTTAATTTCAGTAGACATGGTTGTCATAGATGAGGGGGCGTGGATGGGTGAGGGGGATACGTGCATCCTCCCCCGAACATCTTGTATCATCACTTTCATCACATCCTTTGGCTGTAGGGAATCGGACAATGGACTCTAATGACTCTTATGATTATGGAAAGGTTTTTGTCTTTGTTGCATCATTTACAGTTGCACGGTAGCGCAGTGATAGATTTGGCCAATATCATCATTTTGTCATCAATCACAAGTTCCGCATGACGTCTGTTTGGACCAACGATATTTGCATTGACATACTTTCTTTAAAATCGTTAAATCGGATGATTTCTCTTTAAAAGGTGGGATGGTCAAGTAGCCTAGTGATAAGAGCGTTCGCTCGTCACGCTGAAGAATTATCGGGTGTTCCTTAAATTAGTATGAGTAGTATGTGCACGTATTACAACGAAAAGGTAATCCAACTTTGTAGTAAATAGCTCCTGCATGTACTTCCTAGTGAACGGCGGCTTCACACTGTGGACTCAGTGGACCAACCCACCGTGCGGCATCACCTGTGGAAGAAGTACTGAAATACGCACACGAACCAGAAGCTGCACCAACCCTGCCCCCAGCAATGGAGGGACACCCTGTACCGGTCCTATCATAGACATTTTACCAAAAAGCTGTGATTTCACACCTTGTGTTGGTAAGTTATGTAATAAGATACCTCACAAGATTATGCCTGGTATAACATTAAATGACTAATCACAACATAAAGGGTATTGTTCGTTATTTCATGTTGCATACATATATCATATATTTGTGAAAATGTTCAGTTTGACATGAATTTTCATTTAAACTTAAAGACCACTTATCTCCGAACACTGTTTACATCTTACTGCTGTGGTAGAGACATGGCTGTTGTCCAACAGTAAATGCTAGTTCTACCAGATGGAATAAATATAAAATACGAAATATTCCCAGTCGCTGTCAACGGAGGATTCACCCAATGGACTCAATGGACCACCCCTTCCTGTGGCATCACCTGTGGCTCCACCAACAGCCTTGTCAGGTCACGAACCAGAAGTTGCACCAATCCCGTTGCCAGTGATGGTGGACAACAATGCATTGGAAATACAATTGAAACGTTGTCTCAGCCTTGTGTCTTTAGTGCCTGTCGAGGTAAACAGCTTTGGGCGTTAATGTGTGACACTATGATAAGCTAGGTATTGAATGTATGATATGTGTATTATCTGACTTAGAATACCACAGAAAAGTAACAAATATTGCGTAAACAGATACAGTCTGAAATCAAATACAGCACAAATATGCAGCACGTAACATTCAAGCAGCACATTCGTTAAACATGATACTTCGTGCTTCGATATCCAAGCTTAATTTGACCTAACCCGTATATTCGTAGTCTACGTGTATTTTGTGCGATTTTATAGTTATAGCCAGTACATTCGTAATGCATGTTCTTACATTTAATTCATGAGCTGAGAATTTGAAGATAGGTAAGTAAACTGTCAATTCGTAACAGATAATCTCCAGATAACAGATAACAGCTGTATCTTAAAGAAAAATAGAATTCATTTGAATCGTCATGTCTCTTTGATATTAGCCCCAGTGAATGGTGGGCTGACCCAGTGGACCACGTGGACCAATCCCGTGTGTGGCATAACGTGTGGGGTGGGAGCCTCTGTCAGCAGAACAAGGGACAGGACCTGCACCAACCCTGCTCCAGCTAACGGAGGACAAGTCTGCACTGGTCCTTTCGTTCAGGTTTTAGCCCAGACATGTTCATTCTCACCCTGTGCCGGTAAGGTCCAAAGGATCATGTGTTCTCGCTGTTTTCTTTTGTTACTGGAGGAGATTCTCACACAAATCTTATTATTGAAATATTGCAAGTTTAAGTATAATTGTGTGAAAGATGCATGCACCCAACAGGAATTGGATGTTTTTTAATGCAAACTTTCATTACTGTAAATTCATTATAACAATTCGTTTGCTCTTTGTAAAGTTCTAGTGAAACGTCTTGTTTACGTCGGCGATATATTTGTACAACATTTGAAAAGAACATTTGATGTCTGAATGTATCTTTGTCACATCAATTACAGCATTTAATCATGAATATGACTGTGAACATCAAAATGATATTTGTGGCAGAGTATATATAGAACATCTCGACCTACTAATGCAACACAAAATGTGATGGTACATAACTATATTGGAGCTTTGGTGTGACTTAAGGTGTGGATTTAGACAATATATATATGGACAATATATTTTTAAATCACAACAATCATTTCTAGTCAATGGAGGATTCACCCAGTGGAGTCAATGGACTAACCCTACCTGTGGCATCAGCTGTGGTTCCACTAACAGTGTTGTTAGGTCACGGGACAGAAGCTGCACAAATCCTGTAGCCAGTAACGGAGGCCAATCCTGCACTGGAGATCGAGTTCAGACGTTGATTCAGACTTGTGTCTTTAGTCCCTGTCCAGGTGAGAGGTTTAAATAGCATGGTGTGTGTTGGTGATTGTTGTTTCATGTGTTTACTTGTGTCTCTAGTCCCATACACACGTTCGATTGTGGGTGTACTATCTCTCTCTGCATGACAGTCATTCCCTCAGAAGTACACTGATAGAAATACAGCTTACATAATTCGTTGTAACTATAGAATACAGACATATTTTAATGTTAATGGTAGCTTGGACGTCCATTACAAACCTGGAATGTTAAGTCAATAGATTTATACTTATTCTTTCATTGCGCCAGTGAATGGTGGCCTCACACAATGGACCCTGTGGATCGAGCCTCCTTGTGGCATCAATTGTGGAACAAGAACCGATGTCCTGCGCACAAGAAGTAGAAGCTGCAGCAACCCTGCCCCGAGCAATGGTGGACTTGCCTGTAATGGGCCTTTTGTGGAGACTGCACAGAAAGCATGTGCTTTCTCCCCTTGTGTTGGTACGTTCAACGTTTCAAAGATTATTGAACCACTGGCGACAGTGTGTGGATTGGACTCTTTGTAAGATTTTCACCATCTTATATTTGGATTAATATTTCACAATAGGGGGCACGGTGGGTCCAGTCGTCTAACGTGTTGAAAATGTTTTGTCTAGAGACCAGTGAAACTGACTCATGTTTTTCGTATTCATAACTATGCAAAAGATTCAGAGTGACAAAAAAGGGAAAGTTGACTATTTGAAAGTTGAAGTGATCCCTCTTGTCATACAGACCTGTGGAGAGTAGCAAAGTAATAGACAACTTACACACTCACTATGTTTACAGTCAATGGTGGTTTGACTCAATGGACTCAATGGACTAATCCTGCGTGTGGCATCACCTGTGGCTCCACCAACAGCCTTGTCAGGTCACGAACCAGAAGCTGCACCAACCCTGCTCCCAGTAACGGCGGACAACAATGCCTTGGAAATACAGTTGAAACGATCCTGAAGTCGTGCGTTTTAAGTGCATGTCTGGGTAAGTGCCTCTTATGATATGGCATCATGTGCCGGCACCGCTCACTAGTATCTCGTGTGCGTTGCTAGTTACAAGAGTCTGTCGGAGTAATGCTTATAGTGTGTGGGAGTACAATAGGTTTACGTTCTATACTGGTGCAATAATGTGAGGTCATGTACATGCGCAGAAGTGTGTGTTGTCATTTGTCCGGCCTGAGGGAGCAGTTAAAAGGGTAATTGTCACATATATATTAATTCCCTTAGTTTGTTGAGGAGTGCGTGCGTGCGTGGGTGTGGGTGCTGGTGTGCGTGCGTGCATGGGTGTGGGTGTGGGTGTGGGTGTGGGTGTGGGTGTGGGTGTGGGTGTGGGTATGCGTGTGAGTGCGTGCGTGCGTGCGCGGGTGTTGGTACGTTTGTGGGCTCGTGCGTGCGTGTGGATGTGGGTATTTGGAGGCTGGGGCTGCGCACGGTTGGCCCAGTCGCCTAAGGCATAGTTGCGTCCCTTGGACACGCCGGAAACATCATTAAGCTGACACGCTGTGCCATAACTGTAATACTGTTCAAACCGGCGTTAAACTCCGACTCACTTCCTCACTCACTCACATATCATGCAGTCCACTGTCCAGTAACAGTTCACACATTATGACAGTGAACGGTGATGTATTTGGATAATGTCATCATTTCCTTAATCACACATTCCGCATGAAGTTTGTTTGGACCAACGACATGTGCATTTATATATGTTCTTTTAAAATCGTTAAATTGGATGATTTCTCTGAATTAGTGAGTTTTCATAACAGATCTACAACGAAAACAAATTTAAGGACCACCGTTTTCTTTCATATCACTATATTGGCATGACAGATTAACTATAGTCATATGAGAGTATCGGGTGTTCCTTAACTTCTTTTGAGTAGTATGTACACTTATGGCAGCGAAAATGTGAACTAAGTTTGTAGTAAATAGCTTCTCCATGTACTTCCTAGTAAACGGTGGCTTCACACTGTGGACTGAGTGGACCAACCCACCGTGCGGCATCACGTGCGGATCACGTACTGATGTCACACGTACAAGAACGAGGAGCTGCACCAACCCCGCCCCGAGCAATGGAGGACAGTCGTGCACGGGTCCTATACAGGATTCACAATCGACACAATGTTCGTTCTCTCCATGTCCAGGTAATGCTTTTTGTTCGGTGTACAAAATGTGTTTGCTCGCAAATACTTAGTCTGATAAATAAGCCGATGCACTTCCGCTTCTGAGAGTATTAGACAAACGTGGTTAATAGTATGCCTATTTTCGTGCCCCCAAAACAAAGTATTTATACAAGATGATTAAGGTCGTATAACCATGGATATAAAAAAAATCCCTTAAAACCATGATTTAAATTTACCATTTGATTAACAGTGAACGGTGGCCTCACACATGGACTTCCTCCTGTCGTATACATAGTTAGAAAACTCCATTTGTTACTGCACAATCATACGCACGTCTTTCAGTAAATGGTCGTCCCCAACCAGGAAATAGCTGGAATATTGCTAAAATCAAATCTTACCTTTGATTAACAGTGAACGGTGGCCTCACACTATGGACTCAGTGGACGGATGCTTCTTGTGGCATCACTTGTGGAACTAGAATTGACGTTGTACGTACCCGCACCAGGAGCTGCACCAACCCCCCGCCCAGAAATGGAGGACAAGTCTGTACTGGAACGTTGATAGAGAATGTGCCAATAATCTGTGTTTTCCCTGCCTGTGATAGTAAGAGGGCCCTTATATATCATATAGGTTGAATCACAAGTACGATTACGGTTGATGAAAATGAAATAAGTTGGAGCCTGGGCTGCTTGACCAGTCGTTGCACACGCACCTGTTACAATGAAGACAGTCTTCCCTGCCTGTGAAGGGAGGTTGGCCGTTAGTGACATGTGGCAAGGCTCTTAAATACCCTTGTTAAACAAGTAGAATTGGAACAGCCTTTACATCACTGTTCACAAAGGGGGGCACGGGTGGCCAAGTCGTCTGTGGCGCCGCGATTATATGTGCAGAGGTGCACCCCCTGGGCACGCCAGAAACCTATGATTGTGGGATTGAAATCACTTACTCACTCATCTAGACAGACTGGAGTTGTCTTTCCTTGACACACTCCTATCATATAATATGTAATCATGAGAATTTATGGATGTCAACTTCTATATTATCAGGAACACAACGTTTCGAAGGTTATGCTTACTCCTTCATCAGGTGAATGAATGCGTGCCAAGATGTGGAGAGCATATATGTAAATGTAAATACTACAAAAGTGATGAGATTACTTAAGCTGGAAGATCCTTGAAGATCTGGGGTAGAATAGGTCTTCAGCAACCCAAGCTTGCCTTAAAAGGCGACTATGCTTGTCGTAAAAGGCAACTAACGGCATCGGGTGGTTAGCCTCGCTGACTTGGTTGATGCATGTAATCGATCCAAATTACGTTGATCGGTGTTCATGATGTCAATCACTGGACTATCTGGTCCAAACTCGATTATTTACAGACCGTCGTCATATAGCTGGAATATTGCTGAGTATGGCGTAAAACAACCAACCAACCACAGAAGCATGTCTTGTTTCGCAAGGCATAATACGTTAGGGACGTCATTATCCTGTGGTCGTGGGTTGGCATCATAAATTGTCAGCACCTTATCACTCTTCAATAAAGAGGGGAACAGCTTAGCCTTGCATCACTCCATTCTTTCCTCCCACGTTAATCTAAAACAGTGATAGTACTCATCTACTGTTAAAAAAATTGTAAAACATAAACCACTCACTCATTTAAATCATGTCAGTCATAATATGAATCATTTTCAGCTCCGATAAATGGAGGATTCACCCAGTGGACCCAATGGAACACCCTTTCCTGTGGCATCACCTGTGGCTCCACCAACAGCCTTGTCAAGTCACGGAGCAGAAGCTGCACAAACCCTGTTCCTAGGTTTGGTGGACAACAATGCTTTGGGGATAGACTCCAGACTAATCTCCAACCGTGTGTTTTTAATCCCTGCCCAGGTCCGTGTCTCTTTTGTATATTTACAATGAAGGTGGTTGTGTATCATTTTGATTTCTTTTTAAATTTTTACAGAACAAAAGGAATAAAAAAGGTGGTTAAAATTGTAAAAACATATCTGTGTATTTTGAAACGTCTAAAACGTTTCGGAATTACATAACATTGATGAAAGAATGTGGCTTTTAGCAGAGAACGATAGTGTCAATCAACTTCAGTGATGTAATTAATAGTGTATTTAAAGATTATGTTTTCATCATACCAGTGAACGGTGGCCTTACACAATGGACCCAGTGGACCAATCCACTTTGTGGCATCACGTGTGGAATCAGAACCGATCTCGCACGTACACGGACCAGAAGCTGCTCCAACCCCGCTCCCAGCAATGGCGGCTTGCCCTGCAGTGGACCTCTCGTTGACGTGTTACCTCAAAACTGTTCCTTCACGCCTTGTCCCGGTAAACCTTCCATTTATCCAAATCGTTAAATGGAATAGTGTTGTAGCGATACAAGTTGTTTCAATGCATTCCGTTGTATTCCAAATATTTACATTAATGTCCATTTATACAGCTCTCAGTGGCTCCGTCAGAGTATGTGGATATTACATATGGACCGAAGAGCAAAGGAATTGTACACCCATGTTGGATCCTGGCTTGAAATGAATTCGATGGCCATGTATTTGATAAGGGTACCTTATGCTTGCTGTGTTTCGGCGACTGTTTTCACCCAATGTTTGGTAACTTTTGTAATTTTTGGATCAAATGCAATTTTCAAGTGTACATATTCCGTTGTCCCACAGTGTACTAAGTGTATTCTTGTCGAATACGTAGTGTAGACGACTCTATTTCTAACTAAACAATCATACGCTATCTTTCAGTACATGGACGTCTCACCTTGGTGCAATGTGTGAGGCCCCATTTCTGGTGCCCACCTCCCCCCTCCATCGAGAAATAGCTTGAATATTGCTAAAAGCAGCTTGTATTAAACCAACACCTCTTACGTTTGATTAACAGTGAACGGTGGTGTCACGCTATGGACTCAGTGGACGAATGCTACTTGTGGCATCACTTGTGGAACGAGAACTGATGTTGTACATAGCCGCACTAGGAGCTGCACCAACCCCCCACCCAGCAATGGAGGACAAGGCTGCATTGGAGCGTTGATAGAGAATGTGCCAATAAGCTGTGTTTTCCCAGCTTGTGATAGTAAGTGTAAAAACACTTTTAAATAATCTGCTCCCGCAAATGCTGGAACATAATGGGATTTTATGACAACAACAAAATATCACATGCGCAACATGCTGGCTTTTATGAAACATATGTGTTGGGTGTTCTCAAACTATTGAGCGCCTATCAGGAAAATTAAATGTTTGTCTTGAATATATATTCAGTCTTAAACAAAAAGAATTTCTTCAATCACCAGTACTTCAGGGTGTAAGCTATCGAGCTACTGTTGCAACATGATATTGTTTTGTAGGTGGGCAATTCATATTATGAATCATTTTCAGCTCCGATAAATGGAGGATTCACCCAGTGGGCTCAATGGACCACCCCTTCCTGTGGCATCACCTGTGGCTCCACCAACAGCCTTGTCAGGTCACGAACCAGAAGCTGCACCAACCCTCTTCCTAGGTTTGGTGGACAGCAATGCATTGGAGGAACACTTGAAACTGTAGCACAGCCATGTGTCTTTAATCCTTGCCCAGGTGTGTTTTGACATGCTTCTGTACACTTGCAACGATATTTTAGGCTCTTGGTATATATCATTTTTCAGGGGAAAAATAGATGTGTAATGGCTAAGCCATATCTAAGTTGTATGTAAGACATATTAAGCCCTTGCTAACTTGAAAAGATGGGTCTTGTCTTTAAAAAAACAGATAACACTTATTTCTATGATATAAAAACATGCGCGTATCTACTATGTGTATGCAATAACGTTTGGAGTGATTAAAAGATTTTCTGCATTCAAATGATGAGACATGGTAAACTATCTTGCTAGTGAACGGTGGCCTGACATTATGGTCTCAGTGGACGAATGCTTCTTGTGGCATCACTTGTGGAACCAGAACAGATGTTGTACGTAGCCGCATCAGGAGCTGCACCAACCCCCCGCCCAGCAATGGAGGACAAGGCTGCACTGGAAACTTGGTTGAAACTGGGCAAAAAAATTGTGTTTTCCCAGCTTGTAATAGTAAGTGTAAAAACACTTTTAAATAATCTGCTCCCGAAAATGTTGGCACATAATGGGATTAAACGACGACAACAAAATATCACATGCGCAATATGCTGGCTTTTATGAAACATATGTGTTGGGTGTTCTCAAACTATTGAGCGCCTATCAGGAAAAACAACTGTTTGTCTTGAATATATATGCAGTCTTAAACAAAAAGAATTTCTTCAAACACCAGTACTTCAGGGTGGTAAGCTATTGAGCTGCGGTTGCAAATAATATTGTTTTGTAGGTGGGCAATTCATAATATGAATCATTTTCAGCTACGATAAATAGAGGATTCACCGAGTGGACTCAATGGACCACCCCTTCCTGTGGCATCACCTGTGGCTCCACCAACAGCCTTGTCAGGTCACGAACCAGAAGATGCACCAACCCTCTTCCTAGGTTTGGTGGACAACAATGCATTGGAGAAACACTTGAAACTGTGGCACAGCCATGTGTCTTTAATCCTTGCCCAGGTGTGTTTTGACATGCTTCTGTACACGTGCAACGCTATTTTAGGCTGTATATAAGGCATATTAAGCCCTTGCTAACTTGAAAAGATGGGTATTGTCTTAAAAACAGATAACACTTATTTCTATGATATAAAAACATGCGCGTATCTACTATGTGTATGCAATAACGTTTGGAGCGATTAAAAGATTTTCTGTATTCAAATGATGAGACATGGTAAACTATCTTGCCAGTGAACGGTAGCCTTACATTATGGTCTCAGTGGACGAATGCTTCTTGTGGCATCACTTGTGGAACGAGATCCAACGTGGTACGAACACGTACCAGGAGCTGTACCAACCCAGCCCCCAGCAACGGAGGGATAGCATGCACTGGATTAATGGTGGAGAGTTTGCAGAAGAGCTGTGTTTTCTCCCCCTGTCCTGGTAATGAATTATTTATTGAATATCTCTGTAAAACATAAACTGATGATCAAAAAGAAGTATTCTCAGGGAAATTGGATTTGACCCAAAAATCAAAACGTTACTAGCCTGAAAACACTGCAAATATAAGGGCAAAACGCAACTATGATACCCCTATCAAATTCATCAACATCGAATATCCATTAGTTCCTGTTTGTCTATCAAACATGCGTGTGTAATTTCATTTGACCGGTAGTTTATGATAGTTTATGATAACAGTTCACAGTTCATAATAATTCATATTCCTAATTCTTCAAAAGAAATATGTTTTACCTTACCTGACGCTAAACAGTGTTTTAGCTTCCCTACCTTATACAAACAGACAGTAATGGAACGAAGAGACAGTTTAAACAGACTACAGCCCGTGCCTCAGCATCCATCAGTTATCCCCCTTGGCCCCTATGCCTCATATTCTCTGTTCAAGAGTTCTACTTACCTTATATTCGCTCATTTGCGGTTTACAGCTTGTAATTCGAATTTTTCTCTCGACTGCGTAACTGCGTGTTTCGCGCCTTGGTCGCCATTATAATTTTACTGCATCTCGTGTTTGCAAGGTAGCGCATTAATGTACCTTTTTGCTATAGTTTTTGTAAACTATTGGTGAATCTCTCATTTATTCTGTGATTTATGACTTTCTAGTGACATAATTCCTATTATTTAGGAGTATTATGTTTTAGAATTGCTCCAAGCACACCTCACACATGGTAAACTTGTGTGTTTGTGCGCTTGGTTCCCATACTATCCAATAACGTGTTTTGCTGCATATGTGCTTCTGCTAGTTTCACTTATGTGCTGTTTACATTTTTTGCAGAATGTATTCTATTCCCAAGTCGGGGGAAAGACCCTCATCAGCTTTGCCCCGAAAGCAAGCCTGCGTGCTCGTTTGATCATGGCTGCTCTGTTCGCGCACTCTTGTCAATAACAGACTTTAATTCTTACAGAAAAGCTGTTCTTCGTCGCCACAATTTGCTGTTCGGAAGAAGATGCCTGATAATTCACCACCAACCACTCCTCCGTCGAACCCGGCCCCCCCGACTTCGGATCCGTCTATGCCAACGTCTGGTCCTTCGGATGCTCCTCCCCTTCTGCGCCACTTGATTTTATGAATCCTACAGCGATTCGTGCATTTGGGGAACAACTACTTCAACATCATCCAGCCGATTTTGGCCCCCGTCAGCTCAGATCTTGCCAGTTCCCGCCTGTCACCAGATCGTTGTTCCTGCGCTTCATCTGATACTTCATCTTGCCTTGCTTCTGGTCTCTGTCGCCAATCTCATACTCCTGACGACTCCACTACTGCCTCCTCTAGGATCAATCAGCGTCGGCAGCTATTGCCGGGACAGTGTAGCCAGTTGTCTCTCGATTGTCTTCAGGCATCACCGGATCATCACCAACCGGCGCTGGACCATCGCCTTGTTTCATTGAATCGTTGTCTGCTATCGTCTGGCCATCACCAGCGATCGCCAGGTCGCCAGAGCTTGCTAGACCATCGCCAGATTTTGCCAGACCATCGGCAGCGCTCGCTGGTTCGTCAGCCATCGCCAAACCATCGTTAGCATTTGCTGTAACGCCAGATATCGTCAGGTCGTCGCCAGCATTCGCCGAGTTGCCAGTTATCACCAGACCGTCGCAAGCTATCGCCGAGACGTCGTCAGCGTTTGCCGGATCGCCAGATATCGCCGGACCGTCGCCAGCGTTCGCCGGGGCCACCAACTTTCGCCTGTCTTCTTGCCTCGCCGTCCATCGTCTGGGGCCCCCATTTTATCACTTCCTTCTTCCACGGGATCAGTTGGTGGCTGATGTGGCCGGGTCCTTAGACACAGCCTTTACGACTCTGCTGGTCCAGCCATCCATCCAAGTGCCCAGATTCCAGAAAAAAACACTGTCCTTTCCACTCCATGGACTTTGCCAAGTTTGTCCTCCAGTTGATGAGGCTGTATGGTTGCTTGTAGGATCCTCCTGGCCCAGTACATCGGATGCTGGGATGATCCGAATTGATGCTACGCTCCATCACACTCTTTACCCACTGTCGGTGGTAGCTTCTAGCAACTCGGCCATCCAGGACTGTTTGGACAAGTATCCCTCAGAGGCCAATGACCAGCTCCTCTTGGTCCTGGATTGGCAACAGAGCCAACTGGTACACATGTCGACTTACATTCAGTTCTGTCTTGGTTCTCTCAGCATAGCTAGACGTTCGTCTCTACTCAGGCAGTGCCCCTGGGACACGTCATTCAAGACGCAACTGACGCGCCAAACCTGGTCTGGGTTGATGCTCTCCAAGGGCCAGATACGACTGTGGCTAAAGAGGCCCAGAGTTGGGACGCTCATCAGTTCCGACTCCTTAACAACATTGACCGTGTCATTTCTTCCCAATTTTCTCAGCAGAGGAAATCGTATGTCGTGAAGAGGACCAGTTTGAAGAGGAAATCCGCTTCTTTTCAGCCCAAACGCTGGTTGGTCCTCCAAGCCTCCTCGCCGTGGACGCTTTTCCAGGATTGGCGATGGAAGTGATTTTCTTTGGACGTTCGACAACTGGCATCTCCATCCGCCAGTTGTCCCTGTTCATCCGTCTCCATTAGGAGGGAGACTTCAGACCTACTGGAGGAATTGGCAGCTGCTCAAGGATCCGTTTGTTACCCGGATCCTCCGCCTGCAGCTCCGTGCCATTCCTTCTCTGACTACTCCCGTTGAACCTCCATATTGGCCTCACGATGTGCCGGATCTTCAGGCCATTATCAATCTCCTGATCGCCAAGAACACCTGGACACCGATTCAATCACTAGGGGATTTTATTCTCCAATCTTCCTGGTGCCCAAGAAGGGTTCATCCCACCTTCGAATGATCAACACTCTGGCGCTATTCAACCTCCATCATCTCGCGCCTTCGCCACATTTCCAGATTATCTCCATCCGGCCTCTGTGCCACATCCTTCAACCAATGGACTACCTCATCAGTCTGGATCTCCAGGATGCCTACCTGCACGTTCCCATTCAAGCAACACATCGTCATTTCCTCCGCTTCATCTTCCAGTGGAAAGTGCTCGCATTTGGCATTTCCACGGCTCCGTGGTTATTCACACGTATAACCCATCCCATCGTGGCGTTTCTTCAGCTCAGGGGGATTCGGTTCAGGGCCTACCTTGACGACTGCATCATGACGGTCCATCAAACCTTGATTCTTCAGCGGGATTTCACCCTTCAACTCCTCCATCAGTTGGGTTGGATCATCAACATGGATAAATCGGATCTGACTCCTTCTCGCCATCTCACCTTCATAGGCGGTCTTTTTCTGACAGACCTATCCTTGATACAAGTTTCTCCGGATCAGTTTGCAGCGATCCAATCCGGGATCAGGAGAGCCCTCTCTCAACCTCTCGATCTCCGCCAGTGGCAGAGTCTTCTCTGGCTGTTGACCTCAGCTCAGGATCTAAAGTCCAGGGGTCGTCTTCAACTGCGTCCCCTTCAACGGTTTCTCCTGCCATTTTTGCGCTCAGACCTGTCGGTCCTCTTCTTCCTCTGCCAAGAGAATTACGTACATTACTGGAGTGGTGGCTAGTCCCATCAAACGTCTTGAGTGGTTCCTCTATGACAAGTTTTGAGGCCACTCGCCATCTCTTCATAGACACGTCTTTCCAAGAATGGGGCGCCCACATTCTCCAGGAAACCGCCTCCGGTCTTTGGACTCCTGCGGAACGTTCGTCATTAGCGTCAGATCCTCCGCAGCAGTTATCTCATGGTCGCCTCGGACAACTCCACAGCGGAGTATTACATCAACAAGCAAGGATCGACTCGATCTGATTCTCTCTGGAAGTGGCCTTTCGCCTGTTTCATCTGGCCGACACTCTTCCTCTTCTGATACGAGCCGGTCACATTCCAGGTTGTCATAACATCATAGCTGACTCCCTGTCAAGACCCGATCGCCTGTCCCCCACAGAGTGGATGCTCCATCAGGAAGCATTCTGGTTCTTGTGCAATCGCCTGGGAACTCCTAAGGTGGATCTCTTTGCAATGGTGTGCAACATCAATTGCCGGTGTACGTGTCTCGGGTCCCGGACCCAGCTGCTTGGGAAGTAGCGTGTAAGCTTTTCGCCCCCAGTTCTTCTCCCCCAGGTCATTCAGAAGGCGACCCAGACCTGTCCTCTGGATCTGCTTTTGTCGCGCCTTATTGACCATCCCGGATTTGGTTTCCCAAGGTCCTTCAGCACGCAGGAGAAACCATGTTGCATCTCCCGGCGTGGCAAAATCTAGTGCCCAGAAGTCGCTGACCGCTTAAAGGCTTTTCAGCTCTTGCTGCGACAGCTGTTTCCAGAGCTCATTGTCCCTCCACTCGATCCCTACATGATGACAAGTGGTGGTTGTTCAAAGCCTTCTGCTTGTCCAGGCACATCATTCCAGTAGAGGCCACCATTAGCCAAGTGGCTGATTTTTTTTGTTTTCCTTCGCCAATCCCGTCACTTGGCTGGTTCCACGATTGCTACCTATCTTGCTGCGCTCATTTCTCTCCTCAAGATCGCTATAGGTTTCAAGCTATTATCGGCCCTGGCTCTTTCTGCCATGATCCGAGGTTTTCGACTGGAGGACCAGACTAAGAAGTTCCGCCCTCCAGCTTGGGATCTCAATGTTGTTCTGCAGGGTTTAAGCCAGGGTCCGTATGAGGCACTTGCGTCTGCCTCGTTTGAAGATCTCACCTTGAAGACTTGCTTTCTCCTGGCCCTTGCAACAGCTGCCAGGGTTAGCGAGCTTCATGCCCTAGATGTGACCCGTGTCCGATTCGACCAGCGTCATCACGGTTTGGTTCACCTTGGCCTTTGTTGGGACTTCATCGCCAAAAACCAACTGCCTGGCCAACCCGATCAGCAATTTCACATCCCGTCTCTTGTGGAGATCGTTGGCCCTGATGATGACCTGGAGCTAGCCCTCTGCCCAGAAAAAAGAAGTCGGGCCCTCCGGCGTTATCTTCAGGTATCCGAGCAACATCGCAAGCAGCGCCAGCAGCTGTTCATCCCTCTTTCCAGCCATAGCTCTGCAGAGATCTCTCGGAATACAGTCTCCCTCTGGCTTTCGTTCTGCTATCCTAGGGTTTATCGTCGTGTTGACTGACCACCACCTACAGCCTCCAATCCACATGCGATCCGTGCCCTGTCTTCTTCGCTGGCCCTCTGTCCGATCCCTCATGGAGGGGTGCTTCTGGTTATCTACTACTATCTTCGCCAGCCATTATCTTTGCAACATATCTGTGGAGGACATCGCGGGTACACATAGCTTTGGTCCACTTGTCCTGGCCCAGCAGCTGACCAACGCCTGCAATGCAATGGTTTTATACTCACCTGACGCTACACCTATAGGCCCACCTGGACTCCGCCTTACCGTTGGCGCCACTGTGTACTAAACGTCTGATGTCATCCAGTGAAGAATATGAGGAGTAGGGGCCAAGGGGGATAACTGGTGGATGCCGAGGCACGGATTGTAGTCTGTTTAAACTGTCTCTTCGTTCCAGTACTGTCTGTGTGTATAAGGTAGGGAAGCTAAAGCACTGTTTAGCGTCAAGTAAGTATTAAAACATTGCATTTAATCAGAAATGCTAATTTTTCCCGCTTTGACATATGCATTCATATATGTTGCATTAAAAGAACATGTATTAGTTTCAGTCCTGTTTGTTGTGTATGTATTAGAGTTAAAACTACTTGGAACTTGTCATACGCCTGTGTTTTAGTAAATGGTGGCCTAACGGGTTGGAGTGTGTGGACGAATGCTTCTTGTGGCATCACTTGTGGAACGAGAACTGATGTGGCACTTACACGATCCAGGAGCTGCACCAACCCCCCGCCCAGCAATGGAGGACAAGCTTGCACCGGAACTTTAGTTGAGACAGTACCGAAAAGCTGTGTGTTCCCTGCTTGTGATAGTAAGTAGATCCCAAGTGATATTTAAGAATTGTCTTAAAAATTGTTTGCTTTTTTGTTTTGTTTTTTGTTTTACGCCACACTCAGCAATATTCCAGGTATACGACGGCAGTCTGTAAATAATCGAGTCTTGGCCAGGCAATCCAGTGATTGGTATCATGAGCATCAATCCACGCAATTGCGATCGATGACATGCTTCAATCAAGTCAGCGAGACTGACCACCCGATCCCGTCAGTCGCCTTTGAGATACAAATATTGTATGCCACAACCATTTCTATTGTTGCATAATTTCTTTCCTCATCGATTCAGCTCCAATTAACGGAGGACTAACCCAGTGGAATCAATGGACTAACCCACCCTGTGGTATCACATGCGGCTCCACGTTCAGCGTGTACAGGTTACGGAGCAGAAGCTGCACCAACCCCACTCCAAGGTTCGGTGGGCAGCAGTGCTTTAACGACACAGTCCAAACAGTGCTTAAACAATGTGTCTTCAATGCCTGCACGGGTAGGTGTTTGATAAATAGATTGTTAAATGATTGGTAACAACATATCAACAGAGAATCAGTACCAACTGATCTGATTGTGTTAAAACTGAGGGTTGTGGAACCGTAATGCATTTTACAAGGTCACCAGGGTACAAGGGTGACAGTAGTTCAGTTACACCACATCGTGTCAACTTCATGTCGGGGGAAAGCCTGAACTGATGCAGGTGCCCGCTGCTTCTGTCTTTCGTCTTTGTCAAAACATAGTTACGAGCCGTGACCAGGGAACCTATCTGCCTAGTGCTTGGGACTTACTGCATTCATCTTTGTCGGTGCCTATTATCTAGCTGGCTTCCATTGGCCCATTGCTATTTCTATTCTTTTACTTATCAGTCCTAATTACCCCCGACCTCCCGTTTGCCTATTGCCCATTGTCAATTACCAATCAGTGATAATTTAGTCCTGGCTTCCAGCTGTCCATAACTATCAGCGCTAACTATTGTAAAGTGTACGCTTTCACTCTGTATTGCTTATCACCTATCAGCGCCAGCTGACTGTTGGCTTCCCTGGTTAAGTTTCCACCTTTCGTATCTTATTACTTTTGTTGTCCTTACGTGTACATATATATGCGCTCTGCGTCATAGCATTCATTCACCTGATGAAGGAGTAGGCATTTACTCCAAAACGTTGTGTTCCTCATAATAAAGACGTTGACATCCAAAAATTCTCTTTCTTATGGTCCATGTCCATGTTTTAGACGTTTACCACTATGGTGCTGACAATCCAGAAATATCTTGGATTCGAATACATGATCGTTTGCATAAAGAAGACTCTTTCTGAACTCAGAAGTATTTAGCAACATTGTGTGTAGGTTTGTGTTTACAAAACGTGTGGGGAGACCTGGAACTTCTGTAATCCAATTAGATAAGTTTGCCTATTAAGACACGTACTTTCTAAACAAACATAATATCCTATTTTAGTGAACGGCGGTCTAACAGCCTGGACCCAATGGACGGAACCAATTTGTGGCACCACTTGTGGAACAAGAAATGACGTCATACGTACACGCACCAGAAGCTGCACCAACCCTCCTGCCAGCAATGGTGGACAAACATGCATTGGTCCTTTTGTGGAGTTTTTGCAGAGAAACTGTGTTTTCGCACCTTGTATTGGTAAGTATGCAACTATTTACATAGAATAATGTCTCTTCATTAATGAACTGCAGCATTTAGAATTGGCGATTATTCTTCGAGCAACATTGTTTTCCGCATCATCTGCCCTTGGCGTCGGACGAGCAGCTTTCATTCGTGACGAACAGACACTTTAAACTTATTGTTTAAGTGACGTAATCTACAACGTGGAGAACAATGGATGATGTCATAGCCTAACATTTTAAACAATAAAGAAATGTTAAATTATGTCCTTGGGTCCAACCGCGCCAGAGTCGACATTTGCTGAAATGCTCATGTGCAAATATTGGAAACATTAATTTCGATTTTACTACCCCTCTGTATTATATTATCATATAGTTTTGATTTCGTGAAAGACGACTTTAACCCTCTTCAGCCCACTGCATCGTCTTAGAGTTATGTTATTATCATAATCTGAAACACTTCAAAAATGCAACAAAATGGCAACAAAAATCAATTTAAGATATTCTGTGTATTTAGACATGTGGTAGCCAACACAAAAATGTCGCCGTTCGGGTTCGAATCTCATTTGTTGAGATTCGATATTGATTTCAGCACAATACGCATCATGTGCGATGGTTGAAAATACGATGATGCGTTTTCATTGTGTGTCAGTATGTTTCCACATAGACGTTGATGGTTGCTCTGTTTTCATTGTGTGTCAGTATATTTCCACATAGACGTTAATGGTTGCTCTGTTTTCATTGTGTGTCAGTATATTTCCACATAGACGTTAATGGTTGCTCTGTTTTCATTGTGTGTCAGTATATTTCCACATAGACGTTAATGGTTTTCAAACACTATGTCTTATTTCCACATCGAATCACGACTTGAAGTAGACAACACACCACTCTCTTAATGTGACGACTTTGTTTACACTGAGATGATTAAAAGCAACACCCTTTAAACCACTTTCTGTTGTAGTTAATGGCGGTTTTAACCAGTGGACACAATGGACCAATCCGTCGTGCAGCATCACGTGTGGAACTGGATCCAGCGTTGTGAGGATGAGGACCAGGGCGTGCTCAAACCCTCCACCCAGTAACGGAGGAACCTCTTGTGTTGGAGACAGGATACAAACATTGGCACGACCGTGCAGCCTTTCACCATGTCTCGGTATTTACGTAAACGTATTCATTAAAAATCATCCAAAGTAGGTATTGTTACTTTTGACAGATATTGTTGCTCAAGACTCAAGACTTGGAATAACACTTTTTTCGAACCCACAATACATTTTTCTTCAGGAGGTCCAATCAACAAATTTACAAAAATATTTATTTGCAGTATTTGCTGCAACACTTATATTTTCAAATCAATCCAGTAGCATAAAGACCAATCAGCAACCAAGAAAATATACCACTCCACTTTTGATAGGAACAATCTGAAATGTCATTCTGTTTAAAGACACACTTGACGTTCAGTCTTTTCCGACTGCTTCAGATGAACTCTATCTCGCAGACGGCACACTTGACATATTATGAGAATCGGTTTTCTGTATCATTGAACGATAAGAATATAACGATCAAAAGTGGAATAGTACAGGACAGGAGACATTATCACAGCTAACTCATTTCAATTGAAAAATCAATTTGAATCTGATATTTTGTGCCTTGTAGTCAATGGAGGATTCACACTTTGGACTGAGTGGACAAATGCATCCTGTGGCATCAGTTGTGGAACAACATCAAGTGTGATCCGAACTCGAACAAGAACCTGCACCAACCCTGCACCCAGCAATGGCGGACAAAGCTGCGTTGGCTCATCAGTTGAGGTGTTGCCTAAGACCTGTGTGTTCGAACCTTGTGGCGGTAGGTCATACACATACTCATGTCATTAGGGTTAGGGTTAGGGTTAGGGTTTAGCGTTAGGGTACGGTAGGGTAGGGTTAGGGTTAGGGTTAGGGTTAGGGTTAGGGCTGATTTTGTCCAGGAGGTATGTCATGCAGTGAAATAATTCAAATCTCTCAATCCTCCTGCAACTCTGGTGGGAAATGAAGGATGGTAAAGAATTACTAATTTACACTCTGCTCCATGTTCTGTAGTACTTTGTTTCCATTTCCAGTTAATGGAAGTTTTACTCAGTGGACCCAATGGACCAGCCCGTCCTGCGGCATCACCTGTGGCTCCACCAACAGCCTTGTCAGGCAGCGAACAAGGAGCTGCAGAAACCCCGTTGCCAGTAATGGCGGACAACAGTGCTTTGGAAATACAATTGAAACGTTGTCTCAATCTTGTGTCTTCGCCCCCTGCCAAGGTAAGAATTTGAATGGGCGTGAATGGGTGTCATTATGGTATGCCAGATGTCGTTGGGACGTTGTTGAAGTCGCGTGTCCTCAGTACCTGCTCAAGTGGGTGATTGTCAGAGATTGCTGGTGGTGTGCGCCATGTACAACAAATACTTCAGACATGAGTTTTAGTGTTTTTATAGAGCTGTTGTTTTATATGTGTTGTGTTAAATCTTCGATAAACAACTCTATGCCCTTATTTTTCCAACTGTGATTAATTTAAACGCAAAAGCTACAGACATTCATGTGTTTTAAAATTATTGATATATGTTAATATATATATATATGTCAGACAGTTAAAAATAGATCAACTTCAATACTACACTACTTTACTTACTCTTAGATGCGCTGTTTTAGCATGACAAACTAAACAACCATAACCCACCACGCTACACCAACTGTGTACAGTTTGTGTTTTGTTTGTTGTTTAACGCCGTACTCAGCAATATTCCAGCTATATGACGTCAGTCTGAAAAAATAATCGAGTCTGGACCAGACAATCCAGTGATTGTCATCATGAGCATCGATTCACGCAATTGGGATACGATGACATGCACCAACAAAGTCAGCGAGCCTGACCACCCGATCCCGTTAGACGCCTCTTACGACAAGCATAGTCGCCTTTCACGACAAGCATGGGTTGCTGAAGACCTATTTGGTGAAACCCATGCGCTCGGGTATGGTACTGACCAAACTAGAAACAATCGGAGAGAATCTGGATTCGAACTCTGAAAAATATTAGAGAAAGTTTCGATAATTGTGTTACTACTAACAGAAAATAGCAATGTATTTATATGGAAATAGTGTACCATAGTTCTTGGTGATAGTAATTTGAACATTCAAATGAATGTTTACACATAACTACATCTGCTCATCACAGTTTAAAAATGGCAATCTCACTTTTGTTTTCAAACGGGGGTAAATCCTAACAAGTTACACCACCATTTAACGTGAACATTTCGAAAACGTTATCCTTTTCTATCAGTCAAAACTACGAACAGATTTAAGAACTGGTGAAATCTGAAAGGAGGCACCCTTTACCTCCATAGCATTGGACGACGTTCAGACAATATTCCAGATGGTAACTGTCACATTGAGAGTAGTTCAAAACTACAGTATAATAGTTGTTAAGTTATATGCTGTAAAAAAGGTTTTAAACAATAAAGTGTTTGAAAAAGTGTGAATGGTGCCAGGTGTCTGTCATGTAATTATTCTTTCACACGTGTGTATATAAAGTGTGTGTAGTTAAAATGAAATAACATCAATTAATTTAATACCATTGAATGCAAGATGTCAAGAGCATTGTAAGCATTACGTCTTAATCAATACTAGTCAGGATTTTTCTATTGCGCCATACCTCCACACCACGAAGGGGGCTCCATAAAGATGATTTAAAAACACTCTTAATATATATTCAGAATCACGAGAGAAATACGATAATAAATAGTCACATATTTTATATCACTAAATACAAATCAATTAGTTTTTATTGAGAAAAAGTGGAATAAAATATGAAGTTTGGCTTATTTTCAAATACATTATGATCTTAATTTCATTGTTCTTTCGCCTTTGTCGAAAGTACGTCAAAGCTAAAATTGAGACAAATCTTATTATTTTCATTTTTGCAACAGTTGTCAGAAACGGTGGCTTAACAACCTGGTCTCAATGGACCGATCCACCTTGCGGCGTCACATGCGGGACGGGAGACGTTTCACGTTCAAGATTCAGGACCTGCACAAGTCCGATCCCAAGCGGCGGAGGACAAGACTGTTCTGGCACTTTAGTGGAGGTGATAGCAAAGAACTGTGTCCTCTCTCCCTGCGTTGGTAAGACATTCATTATATTAAAATAAATGCTTCACAAAAAACACACTGGCACTAACAAAAACCAAGCAAGCTGCGGGTGAATGAACGTGTTTTACGTTTTTAGAGATATTCCAGCAATGTGCCCAGCAACACCAGAAAAGGGCTTCACCCAAATGGGAACCGAACCATTACCAGAGAATGACAAGCTCATGCATTAGCCACTACACCACCGGTCTGTGCTGTGGACGATGCAACTGATAATTAATCCAATGCCCAGTTATAGATGCAGGTTACGGTACAATACTAAACAAATCAAAGCATTATTTTATTAGTATACTTTTCAATACCAATTAAAATGATATTCCAATGTTTACAGCTACGGTAAATGGAGGGTTAACCCAGTGGACGCAATGGACAAATCCTCCTTGTACCATCACCTGTGGTTCCGCTAACAGCCTTGTCAGATCCAGGTCCAGAAGCTGCACAAACCCTGTTCCCAGTAATGGCGGTCAGTCATGTTCTGGAGACAGAGTACAAACATCGGCTCAGCCATGCATCTTTAATTCTTGTCCAGGTGAGCGTTTTTGTGAAACAGTCTAAGACATCCGCCTCCGTGGTCTAGTGGTAGAGCGCCCGCCCGGAGAGCGGAAGGTCCGGGGTTCGATCCCAGGCCACGTCATACCAGAAGATGGTACTTGTTGTTACCCTGTCTGGCGCTAGGCATTAAGGGGCTAAAACAAGGACTGGTCGGCTAGGAGTCAGAATACTGTGCCTAATTGGGGTATTCATGATAAACTGCGGCATCTCAGTGGGCTAGCACTATAAATCGGCATAAGTCCGGACTATTACAAGCAGCCACACACACACACATGTATGCACGTCGCTATATAAGTGCAACGATCTTGGACGCGACGTTAAACACTCACCTCACCTCACCTCACCTTTAAACTGGAACCCGTTCCATAAAGCCATATTGCGCTACGACTGTCGTAAGTCTATGTAAAAGGATGCGAATGACGATCGTCTTAGCTCGCTTTGTGGAACAGGTCCCTGGTTTCTAGAAAGAACTTTAAAATGCACTAGGCCACCTTTTGGTTTATATGCGGGCGTCAAGAGGCAGGTGGACTGACGTGTGGTGAACAGAAGGAAACAGTTGTTCTTGGTTGCGTTGGTATAGCTCATACAAATACACTCGATTAATATGGAAGTGCTCGCCCAAACACACCCGTTGTGCATGTTCTTTTTTTTCATGCTGATGTGGCACACCACTACGTTGAACGGAGTAACATTTTTAGTTGACATTTATTCGTTGTGGGACGAAGACGTCTCCAGAGCTCCAGTCAGGAGATTGCTTTTGCTAATATTAGAAGGAACTTCCATTATCCACTTTATAACAGAAAGTGATCAATTATTCACTTTTGTTGAATATATAGAAACTTGTCATTTTTGGGGGATTTGGTCAGTGTAGAAGGTTTGTGTTTCTGTCTTTAGTCTAATTAAAATGTCCGACATGATATTTGTCTTGTTGTTTACTTAACGGGGAATAAAAAGTGCCTCATTCCCATATTGTAGCAGAGCGTGGTTTTCAAAAGGTAAGTCAAATTAATTATGTCGTATCTGCAGGAGGGAGGCTCTGTAAAGAGCAATGAGTCTCTGTCCCAAGAAACAGAAACGTCTCTGTTAAAACTGGAGAACATTTTGAAGCTAAAACAACAAAAAGCAAATGTTAAATCAACCATTACAAAAGACAAAAACAAGCTGTACAGCTTACTAGAATCTTCTGACCAACCATCTCGAATAGACATACGAGATGGTATAGATAAAGTAAATGAAAGTCTGGTGAAAGCAATCGATGTTATGACACAACTCACTCTGGCTTTTGCAAAGAATCAGCAAGGTGAAAATGTCGCTAAAACTGAACGAGAGATTAGTCATGTTGAGGATGAAACTAATGCTGTAGTTGAACAGGCACAATGTCACTTAGATAATAGGTCAGATGGGAGTTCCGTGTCAAGTAGGAGACGCAATAGATTGTATAGACCTGAACAACAGGCTGCGGGAAGTGAGCCATGCATTCAGAAAGACATTGGGCCTGATGAATGGCCAATACCAGATTGGTATTCCTTGGAAGAACGTTCCATCATTTCCAAATGACTATGCCATGGCATTTTGTAGGTTGCTTAGCACTGAAAAGAAGTTATCCAAAGACCAGGACACGGCACTAGCCTATGACAATATCATCTTGCAGTATGTTGAAAAAGGTTATATCCTAAAAGTAGATCATGAGGAATCGAGGGAAGATGTGTGGTATCTTCCTCATTTCCTGATATTGCGGCCAGAGAAGACCACAACGAAGGTCCGTATTGTTTTTGACGCTTCGGCAAAGTATCAGGACACATCATTGAATGATGTAATCAGTCCAGGTCCGAAGCTTCATAGTGAGCTCTTTGATGTGCTGATACGGTTCAGGAGAAAACCAGTAGCTCTCATTTGTGATATAGCAGAGATGTTCTTGCAGATCAAAATATCACCGGAAGATAGACCTTAACACAGATTTCTCTGGAGATCCATGAATACAGATATGCCTCCTGAGGTATACGGGTTCACTCGTCTTGTATTCGGGAACACCTCTTCCCCTTTCTTGGCTCAGTATGTTACCAAGGAACCTGCTAAGGCACATCTTGTAGATCTGCCTATGGCTGCAGAAACTGTCATAAATTCCACATACATGGATGACAGTATGGACTCGGTAGAGAATGAGGATGAAGGTATAGAACTGTACAACCAATTAACTCAGTTATGGTCCAGTGCTTCAATGCATGCTCGGAAATGGTTGTCCAATTCCCTGAATGTCCTTAAAACATTCCTGAAGAAGATAGGGCTTCTGAAATTGATCTTTGTAAAGGCCATTTACCATCAGTGAAAGCACTTGGGTTAATGTGGGTTACTGAAAAAGATATGTTCGCATTCAAAGTTGGTACGTTTCCTGAAGAAGAAACCACTAAAAGAGGTTTTCTCAGGCAAATTGCAAGACTATTTGATCCTCTTGGATTCATAGGACCATTTATAATCACTGCAAAGATTCTGTTACAAGAAATGTGGTTAACAGCACACGATTGGGATGATGAACTGCCTCAGAACCTGCAACAGAAAATAGAAAAATGATTGGTACAGTGGAAAGAAGTACAAGGTGTTCAGATACCCAGATGTTTGCACCTTGATGCTGCTGTTTGTTCAGTCTCGATTCATACCTTTGTTGATGCATCACAGGATGAATATGGCACCGTTGTATACGCCGTCTATACTTACATGGACGAAAAGAAGTCAAGCAGGAAAGTTGCTGCAAAGAGTCATGTAGCTCCGTTGAAAGCCTGTAGCATACCACGCCTTGAACTGATAGCAGCTGTACTTGGACTCAGACTTGTCTCTGAAGTGGTCAAAGTCCTTCAGATTAAGATTGAAACAGTTACCTTCTGGTCAGATAGTAGGAATGTCTTGTGTTAGATAAGAAACAATAGTAGTACTTTCAAACCGTTTGTTGCCAACAGAGTTGGAGAAATACACAGCACTACAAATCCATCCCTATGGCGCCACATACCATCTGCAGAAAATCCTGCAGATCACTTAACAAGAGGTCTGTTTGTTTCACAACTCATACACAATGAGTTATGGTGGCCTGGTCCTACGTTTTTGCTCAGAGATGAAACTGAATGGCCATCTGATAAAGCATTTTCCCTTGACATGATCAATGATGATGAAAGAAGTACAAGCAATAAGCAGGTTGCTCTAGCTCAAAACAGAAACCTAACCTTGAGACGTGGAGACTTGACCCTTCCAGATTCTCCAGCTGGAGAAAATTGACACGTGTGAATGCTTGGATTTTCAGATTCTTGCATAACTGTTCCACGTCGGATGATTACAAAATGAAAGGTGAACTGATGGTAGAGGAAATAGCAGATTCTGAGCACAGAATCATTGCCGATGCACAGGCGGATACATTTTCAATTGAATATGCAACTTTGTTGACAGGTAAGATGTTGGCTTCCAGTTCAAAACTCCTTACACTTCAGCCACAACTAGATGAAAATGGGGTCATGAGATTGAGTCAACGCTTAGGCGATGCTGAATGTTTGCCACTTGGAGCGCGATTTCCCATAATTCTGCCTCGTAGAAGTTGGGTGACAAAGCTCATCATAAAACAGTATCACAAAGATGGTACCCATGTTCTGGGCACAAACCAAACATTGGCTGCAGTATCATCTTAATACTGGATTATCTCAGCACAAGAAGTAATACGTGAATGGGAGAAAGAATGTGCTCGACGTCATAGGGACAAATCAAAACCTGCCTATCCAATGATGGCTCCGTTACCAAAAATGAGACTTTGAACATCCTTCCCTGCATTCAGCCAGGCTGCTGTTGCCTGTGCTGGACCTTTCATAACAGTCCAAGGCAGAGGAAAATCACGTCAGAAACGTTATTTGTGTCTATTCACCTGTTTGACTACAAGAGCTGTTCACATAGAGATGGCATACGGATTGGACACCTGCGCATTCCTAAATGAGTTTTACCGAATGGTAAATCGAAGAGGTCTACCACAAGATGTCATATCTGACAATGGAACAAACTTCGTTGGTCCCGTCAAAGAACTCAAGGAACTTCTTCACATGCTGGATCAAGATGCTGTTCGACGTTCTATGGCCAATCGAGGAGTGAAATGGCACTTCAACCGTCCATACTCTCCGCATTTTTTAGGGGTATTCGAGACGATGATAAAATAGGCTAAGCGTGCTATCTTTGCTATCCTGGGGAATGGTGACGTCACAGATGAAGAACTGGAAATGGCATTCACCGGAGCTGAAGCGATGATCATCTCGCACCTTCTGACATATCAATCGACTCATCCTAAGATGCAATTCCTCTGACTCCGGAATCCATAGACACAACAGATTATCACGCTGGAAGCGCTGGAGACATATTCAGGAACTGATGAGGCACTGTTGGAAGCGTTGGATGAAGGAATGGCTCCCAGGTCTGCACCCAAGACGGAAATGGCGAACTCCAAGCAGAGATCTGTGTATCAATGATGTTGTGCTGGTGATATCTCCTGACCCTCCAGAGGGACAGTGGCCACTTGGTAGAATTGTCAAGACATACCCAGGAAGAGATAGACATGTGCGTGTGGTGGATGTACGGATCAGACAATCGGTGATTACTAGAGCAGCAAACAAGATTTGTCCACCGGAGTGGTCAACTGTGAACTGTGATCCGGGATTGTGAACTCGGATTATGTGACTTTGTGAACTGACGTCGTGAACAGTGACATCGTGAAACTGACGTCGTTAACAGTGACATTGTGAAACTGAAATGTGTTGTGAACTGTGACTCTTGAACTGTGACATTGTAAAATGTGATGTGAGCATTCATGGATATTCAAGGAGTAATGGATTGTAATAATTTCAGTAATTTTGTAAGTATGGTACAGTTTTATTTTAATTCATTGCAAAAGCTAGAAGTGTTTGTATTGTGTTGATATTGTTTGTATTGTGTTGCCAGGAATCTATCAAGGAAGGGGTATGAACAGAAGAAAACAGTTGTTCTTGGTTGGGTTGGTATAGCTCGTCCAAATACACTCGATTAATATGGTAGTGCTCGCCCAAACACACCCGTTGCGCATGTTCTTTTTTTGTCATGCTGATGTAGCAGACCACTACGTTGAACGGAGTAACATTTTTAGTTGACATTTATTCGTTGTGGGACGAGCTCCAGTGAGGAGATTGCTTTTGCTAATATTAGAAGGAACTTCCATTATCCACTTTATAACAGAAAGTGGTCAATTATTCACTTTCGTTGAATATATAGAAACATTTCATTTTGGGAGGATTTGGTCAGTGTGGCAAGGAAGGTTTATGTTTCTGTCTTTAGTCTAATTAAAATGTCCGACATGATATTTTTGACTTGTTGTTTACTTAACGGGGAATAAAAAGTGCCTCATTCCCATGTGGCGTCCGACAACAAAAACAAACTTTTTTATGCAAGTGGCGTCAGTGATGGGCGCAAGCGGTAGATCGGGACATGATTACCAATTTCGGGAGCACCTGGTGTCATCACTTATTTTCAGTGATCCGTTCACATGTAATGTGCATCGGTATGTAACCTTTTAATTCCAATGAAAACAGTATCGGCGGATAATCGAGCATGGTATTTCTCTGACGCTGACGTTTTGTATTCGCTACAGTATCTTGAGGATGTCTTTGTTATTTTTGAAAGCATGCAGGATGCAGTACGCGTCTCGTGGCACCATACATCTTCAGCTTCTGCCCGAGGCATCTGTGTCATACTTAGAACTTTAAATTAATAAATTTGTGTCATCTTCACCTCAGGTGTGATATTTGGAATGTGTGGAAGATTTAAGAACAATTATACTCTGTTTGTCATGTTTAGTTAACGGTGGCCCGACGCTCTGGACACCGTGGACCAATCCACCTTGCGGCATCAGTTGTGGAACAAGAACTGACTTGACACGAACACGGACAAGGAGCTGCACCAACCCTCCTCCCAGCAACGGAGGACAAGGCTGCACCGGTCCATTCCTGGATATAACACAGAAAACCTGTTCCTTCCCTGCTTGTGTTGGTAAGTAGCGTCTTCCACACCTTGTCCCGTGGGGAGCCAAGTATTGAATTGGTCCTGAGAAACCTGTGCTTGTTGGAAGACCCTGTTAATGAATCAGGTGGTCAGTGTCTTGGTAGATTGTCATCGCAATGTTACGCTGTGTGAGATTGCTGATTGTATCAACCACTGTTTTTTTTTATCCAGACACGATTATTTGCATGAAGCTACTGCTACTGCGGTGTAAAACAATATTTAGCAAACATCTGAAAAATAGCTTTCAATATAAATAGTTGTAAATATGAAACTGCTACTGCGGTGTAATACAATATTTAGCAAACATTTGAAAAGTAACTTTTAATATATATACAGTAAACTACGTTTATTACGAACATGCTTCTAACGGATTTAACGAACTTATTATTAGTCCCGGTCATTTGCTGTATATATGCTGTTTATATGCTTATAACGAACTACGGTTATGATAAACTAAAATTAGTGGTCGCTTTGAGTTCGTTATAACCGTAGTTTTCTGTATTTGTAAATTGAAATATTTAATTTCTCCATATTTATTACTTACAAACCAAAATAATTATATGTCCAGTGAATGGCGCTTATACCGAATGGACTCAATGGACTGCACCTTCCTGTGGCATCACCTGTGGCTCCACCAACAGCCTTGTCAGGTCACGAACCAGAAGCTGCACCAACCCTGCTCCCAGTAACGGCGGACAACAATGCTTCGGTAACACGCTTGAAACATCGAGTACCCAGTGTGTCTTCAGTGCTTGTCCAGGTGTGTATTTGTTGAGGTATTGCTCATCTTATGTAACACATTTGCTTCAGATGCTTCATAGTGCTTCGGGGAAGGTCGGGTAGCCTTGTGGTTAAAGCGTTCGCTCGTCACGCGGAAGACCCGGGTTCAATTCCCGACATGGGTACAATGTGTGAAGCCCATCTCTGGTGTCCTCCGCCTTGATATTGCTGGAATATTGCTAATAGCGGCGTAAAAACATACTCACTCACTCATTGTGTTTCATGGCTTTTGACACAACGTACACATGTGCCTCCGTGAAGATCCGGGTTAGAATTGGTCTTCGTCGTCAACCCATGTTTGTTGTAAAAGGTGACGATTGGGATCGGGGGCCCAGGGTCGCTGACTTGGTTGATTCCAAGTGCGTAGATTGATGCTGGTGTGTGTGCCACAATCAGCAACATATGGTCAATAATCTGTAATACCGGCTGAGACAGTGTGGAGTTGAATTGTTTGATAGGCATTACTCAGAAGTTGGCAAATTACAAAGTAGACACGATTTATGGATAACAACATCTTTAATACTGTAAAGGCGACCTTTCGGCATAGATCCTTATACCGTTATTAACAAGATTGAATTAGGAAACGTTGTGCAGAATATATATAGTAGGTGGAGGATTGACAGTAACAACAATTGCATACATGAGTGGGATAACATGAGTAAGTAATGAGAACAGAAGGATAAAGCTGTCACATAGTGATGGACAGAGAACACATGGCTGGAAGCCAATGGGACATGAAGCCAATGAAACAGGATAAGATTGTGTAGGTATGGGGATTATTGCTTAATGTGTTCATAGTGGGCGGGTGGGATGAAACAGCCTTGATCTCTGTTGATTGATGGCTTGTGGCGGCGAATGTGGACTGCTTCTGTTAGTTTCTTTGTGTGGAGTTGGGTGTTGGGAGACTTACAGACTTTCAGGATTCATAACAATTTCACAATTCCAGGCTCATACAGGAAAGATCATGGTTATCGGAATCCCACAATGCAACAGTGGATGGTTAGTTATCGGACCAGTTATTTACAAATATAAGTGAAAGGAGTGTGTAATGTGTAAATTAAAGTAGGTTTCCTTCAGGAAGCATTGTGAAGTTGGTTAAAAACAATTTATCGATTTGTTTGATGGGCGGATGACAAAGTGGACACAATATATGGATATCACCTTCTTTACTATACTATCATAGCGAGATGTTTCGGAATAGATCCTTATACCCGTCTCAAGCAAAACTCAAGCAGACACAATATGTGGATACCACCTTCTTTACTATACTATCATTGCGAGATGTTTCGGTATAGATCCTTATACCCGTCTCAAGCAAGACTCAAGTAGACACAATATATGGATATCACCTTCTTTACAATACTATCATAGCGAGATGTTTCGGAATAGATCCTTATACCCGTCTCAAGCAAGACTCTAGTTGACACAATATATGGATATCACCTTCTTTACTATACTATCATAGCGAGATGTTTCGGTATAGATCCTTATACCCGTCTTAAGCAAGACTCAAGTAGACACAATATATGGATATCACCTTCTTTACTATACTATCATAGCGAGATGTTTCGGTATAGATCCTTATACCCATCTCAAGCAAGACTCTAGTGGACACAATATATGGATATCACCTTCTTTACTATACTATCATAGCGAGATGTTTCGGAATAGATCCTTATACCCGTCTCAAGCAAGACTCTAGTGGACACAATATATGGATATCACCTTCTTTACTATACTATCATAGTGAGATGTTTCGGAATAGATCCTAATACCCCGTCTCAAGCAAGACTCAAGTAGACACAATATATGGATATCACCTTCTTTACTATACTATCATAGCGAGATGTTTCGGTATAGATCCTAATACCCTTCACAAGCAAGACTCTAGTGGACACAATATATGGATACCACCTTCTTTACTATAGTATCATAGCGAGATGTTTCGGAATAGATCCTTATACCCGTCTCAAGCAAGACTCTAGTGGACACAATATATGGATATCACCTTCTTTACTATACTATCATAGTGAGATGTTTCGGAATAGATCCTTATACCCGTCTCAAGCAAGACTCAAGTAGACACAATATATGGATATCACCTTCTTTACTATACTATCATAGCGAGATGTTTCAAGCAAGACAGGATAATGTGAGCATGCTATTTATCTTTGTCCCCAGTGGATGGTGGCCTGACCCCCTGGACCGAGTGGACCAACCCCCCTTGCAGCAGCGCGTGTGTGATTCGGACTCGAACCAGGAGCTGCACCAACCCACCTCCCAGCAATGGCGGTCTGAACTGTACTGGAGCTCTGCTGGGGGTAGTGAAGAAGACATGTGATAACGTCCCTTGTCTCGGTACGGACAACCTCTTGTATATGCTCAGTTTCTAGGAACAACAGGCAACAATCTGTCATTATTCATCATTATTTTGTAAGAAAGTTCTCTTGTTTCAGCATTGATGACCTATTGAACGTTTCATGTCCATTTAATGTTCAAATTTGTGATTGTGCTAGATTACACGGAAGGGTATATATCAATTATGTTTATTACTCGCCCGTTGCAGATACCATTGTTTAATAACATCAAGCTGTTATTACATTAGTGTTTAATACCACGGTGCGTGCTTATGTGCCGCGGGACCTAGTGTTACTAACAAATATTGAAAACTCTCAACATCACTGGGTTTATTAAATGACATGTGTGTAGAGGATGAAAGATCCTCGAGAGGAGCTTATGCAAACTCGATGACCCCCAGCATCCCTATTGCTAGGCTGACGTCACAGGCATTGTATCGCTGGTGTATCTTGCAACACAATTTCACAAATTACGTCACAGGATGTGACGTAGTTGCGTACTTCGTGGTTCAGGGCCCCGTTCCACAAATCAATCGTAGCGCTACGACAGTCGTAAGGGAGATGGGTGAGAGATGTGCTAACCTTATCGCTACTATAGTTTTGTGGAACGGACCCCTAAATGCTAAAGGTGGGCCGCTGTATGATATAAAATAAATGCGTGTCAACGTTTAACGTATTTATAGAGGTTATCGCGCCAGTGTGTTTGGGGATGATAAATATCCTGCATTAGGAATGAACATTGTATTTAGCGAGCCTTGGCGATCTAAATACATAGTGTTTATTCCTAATACAGGATATTTACCATCCCCAAACACACAAGCATGATAACCACTTTATCATATTATTTCATTCTTTAATTCTGTACTTTAAAATCGCTTTCCCTCTCTCACAAACATTACCGAAACATTGCGAGTTTTCCTGGAATGCGCGCCTTAATATCTATTAGGTCACAGGTTAAGTCATGTGTCAGTCGGACACTGACAGTAGCCAATATAGCTCCAACTGAAATCTGTTTCTTATACAGTGGCAAAGCAACATATACGCAAAACAGCAGTTGTTTTTAATTGCCTTTCGCGGCAATCCATCGGTCTGTCCGCTAGAGTAACTGCCCTTTGTCAAAGGGAAGCTACTCTAACCCTAGTCTATGAGACGTCACGGCCACGGTCAGACGTTGTTGACAGTCGGTCTGCCCTGTCATAACGTTAAGAAGTGTTGTCAGATGTACACACAGCGACAAAACGAAACACGGTAACATATTTCGGCCAAATCCAACTATTATAATTTGTGGAGAAGGTTTCAAGTCGCAGAGGTCTATAAGCACAGATATGGCTATTGATCCCGCTTGGCTAGGCCTCTTGCCCTCGCAAAATTGTTTCGAAATTTATATCCTCAAAGTTGCCAAAACTTATAAAATGCCTTAGCTACGTCACAGTTAGCCACTGATTTTCAGTATATTAGACTTTTCTTTTGATAATGATAGCAATTATCCCTGTAGTTTATCCAGATTCCCGATGGTTAATTCTGACTCGGTCGCCGAATGACAAGGGCGACGCTATGTTTGCTTATAAACAGTGAAAGTAGTCCCACTTGACCTTTGATATTTGCATCTCTATCCGCATATGACCCCAACGGAAATCGTTTTTATCCGTTGGCTTTATCCTGCCGAGAAACCTACCAATTATATAATCAATAGTATTATTCTCAATTAGATTATGTTTTGCATCGCGTAGATGTCTGCCTTAATCACACACGACATTATAAACGACAAGTAATAAATACAATACTAAACTCGCTCTCGTGTAATACCAATTCTATGAAACACCGTGAATTGTGAATAGTTCTTGTATCGGACTCACTCTCGCATAAAACTGGCAGTACGCGGGAGCGAATTTGGTATTCAATATTAATAGCTGGTAACTTTCTTCGATCACCGTCTGTATTACGGAAGGGTATTTTATAACAATCTACCTAGGGCCCGTGACATTGAGAAGCCATCAAACATTCCACGTTAAGAAATGCAACATCCAACGTAACAGAGTTGATATACATGTAAATAAGACCTGTGATGCCGTTACTCGTCACGGTGCTGAGAATGTATTGGACACTGGGCATTTCAAGTCAAGGCATACATTGTACAACCTGGTAGCTTTGATGGACGATATTGAAGTATGGCTTAGAAAAGTCGACTTTAGAACCCGTGAAGATCCGGCTAAGAATTTTTATTCAGCAACCCATGCTTGTCGTAAGAGGCTACTTGCGGGATCGGGTGATCAGGCTCGCGGACTTGGTTGATGCATGTCATCGTGCCCAGAATGCGTAGGTCGATGATCATGATATTAATCACTTTATTGTCTTTTCCAGATTCGATTATTTACAGATAATTATGTTTGATACAGTTCCCTTTTTTGACTTATGTTCCATATGTTCTCGTGTATGTTCTGGTGAATACTTGACTTGCCGTTGCATGTGTTTATGTCGGGTGTCGCTGCTGGGCAGGATATCATCACTATTTGATAGTGATAAAGAAAAAAAACGGCTAACGGGATCGGGTGGTCAGGCTCGCTAAATTGGTTAATGCATGTCATCGTATCCAAAAATCGCGTTGACCGATGCTCATGATATGAATCACTGGATTGTCTGGTCCAGAATTGATTATTTACAGATCGACAGCCGTCCTATAGCTGGAATAATGCTGAGGGCAGCGTTAAACAACGAAAAATACCAAACAAATTTAAGCTTATGGAAAATCATTTCAGGATGTTTTGTCTTTCTATAACCCTCAACCTGCTTTTTCAGTTAAGATAGTATACATTAAGCAAGGATGTCTCGTAATCATCTTACACATGTTCAGTTCCAGTAAATGGCAGTTTCACGCAATGGACGGAGTGGACAGGACCTCCGTGTAGCGTCACGTGCGGAGCCGGGCCGAGCGTGGTCAGGAGGAGGTCAAGGTCGTGTACAAACCCCCCTCCAAGTAACGGAGGCAACGGCTGTTTCGGGGATGTCTTGCAGACAATATCAACACCTTGCAGCTTCCCAGAATGTGGAGGTATGGACTTCCACTGTTATAGGAGACTGTGCTCCAAGCTCCTCTGCACATTTCCAGTTTATAATGAGCGTCATTACTGACTTAAATGATAAGTGAGTGAGTGAGTTGGGTTTACCGCCGCAGTAAACAGTATTCCAGTTATATCACGGCGTGTCAGCTAAATGTGAAAGGAAAGCCCGGAGTGATGCAGGTCTGAGACGTTTATCACTACGGTGAAACCCACGAGCACAGGTATGGTGCTGATAAACCTAGAAACATAATCTAGGGATTCGAACCCACAATAATTTTTCTGGACGCAACTCTGCACAGCGAATTTCGAATTTGGGCGCCTTAGACAACTGGTTCTGCAGACAAACATGGCTGCAAGTCATGGCTCTGTACGGTAGATGGAACATTTCAAACCTCAGCTCAACACACAGCTTCTTCAGTTACATCATTGAGTGAAAATAAGTATTAAACAAACATTGATAAGTTAAAGAATTACATTATCTAATAAGGAGATTATTACCCTAGTTCGTTTCCATATCATACGTATCGTATGTTAGAAATAGGCTCGCATATCGTTGTATTGCGGATTGGAGCACTGAATGCTAACAACAACATCTGGCACTGGATAAGTATCTATTATTGCATGCATGTATGTTAAGACGCATTTGATAAGTGGATAAGTATCTATCATTGCATGCATGTATGTAAAGACGCATTTGATAAGTGGATAAGTATCTATTATTGCATGCATGTATGTTAAGACGCATTTGATAAGTGGATAGGTATCTATTATTGCATGCATGTATGTAAAGACGCATTTGATAAGTGGATAAGTTTCTGTTATTGCATGCATGTATGTTAAGACGCATTTGATAAGTGGATAAGTATCTATTATTGCATGCATGTATGTTAAGACGCATTTGATAAGTGGATAAGTTTCTGTTATTGCATGCATGTATGTTAAGACGCATTTGATAAGTGGATAAGTTTCTGTTATTGCATGCATGTATGTTAAGACGCATTTGATAAGTGGATAAGTATCTATCATTGCATGCATGTATGTTAAGACGCATTTGATAAGTGGATAAGTATCTATTATTGCATGCATGTATGTTAAGACGCATTTGATAAGTGGATAAGTTTCTGTTATTGCATGCATGTATGTTAAGACGCATTTGATAAGTGGATAAGTATCTATTATTGCATGCATGTATGTAAAGACGCATTTGATAAGTGGATAAGTATCTATTATTGCATGCATGTATGTTAAGACGCATTTGATAAGTGGATAAGTATCTATCATTGCATGTATGTATGTTAAGACGCATTTGATAAGTGGATAAGTATCTATCATTGCATGTATGTATGTTAAGACGCATTTGATAAGTGGATAAGTATCTATTATTGCATGCATGTATGTTAAGACGGCTTTGATAAGTGGATAAGTATCTATTATTGCATGCATGTATATTAAGACACATTTGATAAGTGGATAAGTATCTATCATTGCATGCATGTATGTTAAGACGCATTTGATAAGTGGATAAGTATCTATTATTGCATGCATGTATGTAAAGACGCATTTGATAAGTGGATAAGTATCTATTATTGCATGCATGTATGTTAAGACGCATTTGATAAGTGGATAGGTATCTATTATTGCATGCATGTATGTTAAGACGCATTTGATAAGTGGATAGGTATCTATTATTGCATGCATGTATGTTAAGACGCACTTGATAAGTGGATAGGTATCTATTATTGCATGCATGTATGTTCAGACACATTTGATAAGTGGATAAGTATCTATCATTGCATGCACGTATGTTAAGACGCATTTGATAAGTGGATAAGTATCTATTATTGCATGCATGTATGTTAAGACGCATTTGATAAGTGGATAAGTTTCTGTTATTGCATGCATGTATGTTAAGACGCATTTGATAAGTGGATAAGTATCTATTATTGCATGCATGTATGTTAAGACGCACTTGATAAGTGGATAGGTATCTATTATTGCATGCATGTATGTTAAGACGCATTTGATAAGTGGATAAGTTTCTGTTATTGCATGCATGTATGTTAAGACGCATTTGATAAGTGGATAAGTATCTATTATTGCATGCATGTATGTTAAGACGCACTTGATAAGTGGATAGGTATCTATTATTGCATGCATGTATGTTCAGACACATTTGATAAGTGGATAAGTATCTATTATTGCATGCATGTATGTTAAGACGCATTTGATAAGTGGATAAGTTTCTGTTATTGCATGCATGTATGTTAAGACGCATTTGATAAGTGGATAGGTATCTATTATTGCATGCATGTATGTTAAGACGCACTTGATAAGTGGATAGGTATCTATTATTGCATGCATGTATGTTCAGACACATTTGATAAGTGGATAAGTATCTATCATTGCATGCACGTATGTTAAGACGCATTTGATAAGTGGATAAGTATCTATTATTGCATGCATGTATGTTAAGACGCATTTGATAAGTGGATAAGTTTCTGTTATTGCATGCATGTATGTTAAGACGCATTTGATAAGTGGATAAGTATCTATCATTGCATGCATGTATGTTAAGACGCATTTGATAAGTGGATAAGTATCTATTATTGCATGCATGTATGTTAAGACGCATTTGATAAGTGGATAAGTTTCTGTTATTGCATGCATGTATGTTAAGACGCATTTGATAAGTGGATAAGTATCTATCATTGCTTGCATGTATGTTAAGACGCATTTGATAAGTGGATAAGTATCTATTATTGCATGCATGTATGTTAAGACGCATTTGATAAGTGGATAAGTTTCTGTTATTGCATGCATGTATGTTAAGACGCATTTGATAAGTGGATAAGTTTCTGTTATTGCATGCATGTATGTTAAGACGCATTTGATAAGTGGATAAGTATCTATCATTGCATGCATGTATGTTAAGACGCATTTGATAAGTGGATAAGTATCTATTATTGCATGCATGTATGTTAAGACGCATTTGATAAGTGGATAAGTTTCTGTTATTGCATGCATGTATGTTAAGACGCATTTGATAAGTGGATAAGTATCTATTATTGCATGCATGTATGTAAAGACGCATTTGATAAGTGGATAAGTATCTATTATTGCATGCATGTATGTTAAGACGCATTTGATAAGTGGATAGGTATCTATCATTGCATGTATGTATGTTAAGACGCATTTGATAAGTGGATAATTATATTTTATTGCATGCATGTATGATAGAACTTATTGGCTCCTCAACAGGGCTCTGTACGTCAGTAACGTATCGAGACGGCATTGGCTACCGCTACCACCCTACTGACTGCGACAAGTACATCCAGTGCTACAACAACCCCAATGGCAACGTTGTTGCTATGTACAGGAGATGTCCGTTTGGTAAATTCTGGAACCAAGTCACATTCCAATGTGACGATTCCTGGAGAGTTGTGTGTCCACACGGTAAGCAAGCGTATTCTCAAATCTTAAAGCAGGTCAGTTGAAAGCATACAGTCAAGTACCACGGTGAGACTTTCCTGAGATAAAGTCTCAAGCATAGAAAGAAAGGCATATGCTTAAAATAGCAGTTCTCACGTCTTTCAAGACATTCAAGCAACCTAAAAGTGTTAGGAAGCATCCATTGATTTCTATGGGGTGGTTGGAAGAGTTTTCTAATGAATAGTTAGAAAAAGAAATAGGCACAAATTGATGACTTTGTTGGCAATGATGAAACAAATGATTATTGTGTTAATAGTGCAAATGAATTGTTTGATGGTGCTCAGAAAATAAATAGTTTATTGGATACAGCTGGGCAATTTATGAAATGAAAAACAAATAAATCCCCCACACCACCATACAAGGTTGCTCCCTTAGTGTTACACTGACAGATACCAAGAAAGTCACTCAGAAGTATGGATGTTGTTTAAAGCCGCACGAAGCAATATTCCAGCTATATGACGGCGGTCATTGACATCATGAAGATCGATCAACGCAATTGGGATACGATGACATCCATCAACCAAGTCAGCGAGTCTGACCACCCGATCCTGTTAGTCGCCTCTTACGACAAGCATAGTCGCCCTTTACAGCAAGCATGTGTTCCTGAAAACCTTTTCTTACCCGATCGGGGCCAATCCAGAGCGTAACTATGTGCTTTGATCAGTTAAATCTCGTCCCATTGTTATGACTGTTTGGAAAGATCCCCTTGACAAGGACAAGGGCGACAGCACCACATGTTAAAGCACAGTATTGTAACACAAGCACATTCTTTCCACAGACAAGTGCAAGGACAACAGCACTGCGACCTTCATCCTTCAGGGCAGCTGCCGTGCATACTGGGAGTGTGACACTAACCTCGTGGCAGTGCCCAAGTGTTGCAGCATGGGATACAGCTATGTGCATCTCGAGGGATGCAAGCGTAACCTCTTCTGTCAGGACCTGTGTCCCACTGCATGTGAAGACAGGGGTTAGTAGGTTTGCACTCGTATGTCAGTGGTTCGGTATGAGAGAGACAGGTGGAGAGAAAGCGAGAGAACGAGAGACAGTGAGACCGACCGAAAAAGAGAGCGAGATAACGAGAGACAGTGAGACAGACCAATAGACAGGGAGCGAGAGACGGTGAGACAGACCGATAGAGAGGGAGCGAGAGACGGTGAGACTGTTGGACAGACCGATAGAGAGATAACGAGAGACGGTGATACAGACCGATAGAGAGGGAGCGAGAGACGGTGAGACAGACCGATAGAGAGGGAGCGAGAGACGGTGAGACAGACAATAGAGAGAGAGCCAGAGATGGTGAGACAGACAATAGAGAGAGAGCGAGAGACGGTGAGACAGACAATAGAGAGAGCGAGAGAACGAGAGATGGTGAGACAGACCAATAGAGAGGGAGCGAGAGACAGACCGATAGAGAGGGAGCGAGAGACGGTGAAACAGACGGATAGAGAGAGAGCGAGAGAACGAGACTGTGGGACAGACCGATAGAGGGAAGGCGAGAGAACAAGAGACGGCGAGACAGACTCTAAAGAGAGAAAGCTAGAGAACGAGAGCTGTTGAGACAGACTGATAGAGAGAAAGCAAGAGAACGAGATGGTGAGACAGACAGATAGAGAGAAAGTGAGAGGACGAGAGTCAGTGAAGCAGATTGAGAGAGATTGAATGATTGAGAGAACAAGAGAACCGTGAGACAGACCGATAGAGAGAGAGAGAGAGATGGTGAGACAGACAGAGAGAAAGCGAAACAAGAGACGGTGAGACAGACCTATAGAGGGAAAGCAAGAGAACGAGATGGTGAGACAGGCCGATTGAGAGAGAGCGAGAGAACGGTGAGACAGACAATAGAGGGGGAACGAGAGACGGTGAGACAGACCAATAGAGAGGGAACGAGAGACGGTGAGACAGACCAATAGAGAAGAAGCGAGAGACGGTGAGACAGACCGATTGAGAGAGAGCGAGAGAATGGTGAGACAGACCGATTGAGAGAGAGCGAGAGAACAGTGAGACAGAACGATAGAGAGAGAGCGAGAGAACGAGAGATGGTGAGACAGACCAATAGATAGGGAGCGAGAGACGGTGAGACAGACCGATAGAGAGGGAGCGAGAGACTGTGGGACAGACCAATAGAGGGAAGGCGAGAGAACAAGAGACGGTGAGACAGACTCCTAGAGAGAAAGCTATAGAACGAAAGATGGTGAGACAGACCGATAGAGAGAAAGCGAGAAAACGAGAGTCAGTGAAGCAGACTGATTGAGAGAGAACAAGAGAACGGTGAGACAGACCGAGAGAGAGAGAGAGAGCGAGAGACGATGAGACAGACCCATAGAGAGAAAGCAAGAGAACAAGATGGTGAGACAGACCGATAGAGACAAAGCGAGAGAACGAGAGTCAGTGACGCTGACCTATAGAGCGAGAGAATGATAGATGGTGAGACTGACCAATAGATAGAGCGAGAGAACGAGAGACGGTGAGACAGACCGATAGAAAGACGGCGAGAGATGGTGAGACAGACTGATAGAGAGAGAATGAGAGACAGTGAGACAGACCGATAGAGAGAGAGCGAGAGAACAGTGAGACAGACAATAGAGAGAGAGCAAGAAAATGCGAGATGGTGAGATAGACCGATAGAGAGAAGGCGAGAGAACAACAAATGGTCAGACAGACAGAAAGAGAGAGAGCGAGAGATGAGAGAACAGTGAGACAGACCGATAGAGAGAATGCAGGAGAACGAGAGACGGTGAGACAGACCGAAAGAGAGAATGCGTGAAAACGAGAGACGGTGAGGCAGACCAATAGAGAGAGAGCAGGAGAACGGTGAGGCAGACCAATAGAGAGAGCAGGAGAATGAGAGAACGGTGAGACAGACCAATAGAGAGAGAGCAGGAGAACGAGAGAACAGTGAGACAGACCGATAGAGAGAGAGCAGGAGAACGAGAGAACGGTGAGACAGACTGATTTCGGCGACCCTTTTATCTGTTTTCCAGTCTATTTGATGAGTGTTAATGCATTATCATTTGTGTTGTTGTGTTTCAGATCTCTGCGACAAGCGGCCCGACTGGAGCGCCAACCCAGCCACGTACAACATGTCTGTCGGCATTCTCGGCTGGGTACCCACCTCATGTGCTGCCGGAACTCAGTTCGACATCACCAACTGTGGCTGCAGTGCTCTCAACCAATGTAACATAGCTTTCTATCGTAAAGATATCATCAACAGTTCTATTGTTGGCAACAAAATACGTTACAATGACTAAAGGGACATAATTTACCTATATATGCATGTATTAATTTGGTAATGCTACATTTGGAACTATTGAAATACTAAAATATGTGTTCTTGCTACCTTGCTAGATGTCAAAGCCTGTGCAGATTGCAAGCACCTGTTTATTGGTGAGATTCGAAATGAAACACCAGTCTGCGCTGCATTCATTATCCTTAAAGGCGTCCTGTCGCTGTTCTTGCATCACACGCCTCCATCCACTAGCTATTCACTGTGTTCACTAGTAACGTCTTCGTTTCTGACAGTCTGTACGGCCCCGTCGCCACACTATTCACTCTGTTGCCTAGAAACGTCTTTGTTTCTGCCAGTCTGTATGACACCCATCACCAAGGTATTCAATATGTTCACTGGTAACGTATTTGTTTCTGACAGCCTGTTCGGCCTCCAACGCTGTCACCTTCACCGCGGGAAGTAGCTTAACGTCAGCCCTAGCATCATGGCTTGAACTCTCTAATGTCGAGGTTTCCAACGGAATCGCCAACTTCAACGGCAGCAGTCGGCTTGTAGCCACAGTCACCATGCCAACTGCAACAAGCGCTGACCCTTTGATCATCCGCTTCCGGTATCGTGAATCTGGCGCTGTGTTCGGACGTCGAGTGCTGGTCAGCACAAGTGACTGTAAGAATGGCAGCAGCCTGGTCATTGCTGTGGACAGTTACACCATGACCTTTGAACTGACGTCTTGGTATAACTGGGCAGTCACGTTACCTGTGTCCATGGCGGTAGGTCATTCAAAACTATAAATGTTCAATGTTTCATCCACCCTCAATGTCTCAAGGACTCGCATTTCGGTAAACCTACACTGACCCCTGGATGCACTCCAATGCCCTTGTTTCTCATTCACATTTTAGACTCGTGAAGACCCGGGGTAGAAAAGGTCTTCAGCGACCCATGCTTGCCGTAAAAGGCGAATATGATTGTCGTAAGAGGCGACTAACGGGATCGGGTGGTCAGGCTCGCTGACTTGGTTCATGCATGTCATCGCATCCCAATTGCGTAGATCGATACACATGATGTCAGTCACTGGATTGTCTGGTCCAGACTCGATTATTTACAGACTGCCGTCATATGGCTGGAATATTGCTGAGTGCGGCGCTAAACAACAAAGAAAGAAAGAAACAAACAAACACTAACATTTTACCGAGCAATCAAACGTCGAGATAGTAAAATTTGAATTGGTAAGGGAGGACTTGCCACCGCCAGTTATAATGGACAAGAACATATCCTTTCAATTAAAAGCATTTTTCAGGGCTTTCTTTTGCGTGTCAGTCAGTTTTTCAATGTTGAATTTCTCACAATCTGTCGTAATCAATGGGACTGACCGCCATGTTATTGATATCGTCATCGTTGATATGGTCAACGGGACATTGACGCTGTTTTGTAACTCGCATTCTGATTGGTCCGTTGGACTAAGTAGCGTTGTAAATCAAATTGGTTTTCCTCGCTTTGGACCACTTAAATGTCTAAATGGTTTCATGAGGGTGAATGCTAGTACTGACTCTCTACTGTAGGGCTTCTCCCGTGGCGATTGGAAGACGGTGACGTTATCTCACGCGGGCTATGACATGTTGGCTGTAGTGGAGAGCGACACGCTGAAGTATGCTGCCAAGGTTCACGGTGGGTAGACAGTAGCTAATCACATCAATGGGATTGGAGTGAGTGAGTCAGTGAGTTTCGTTTAACGCCGTTTTTAACAGTATTCAAACTATATCGCGGCGTGTCAGCTTAATGTGGGAGGAACAATGGGATTGGAATTACGTTCTCGTGAAAAGTGAGTGAGTGAGTTGGGATTAACGCCGTTTTTAACAGCATTCAAATTATATCTCGGCGTGTCCGCTTAATGTGGGAGTGAGCCCGAAGTGATGCAGGACACGTTTACCACTTTATTGAAACCCAAGAGCACGGGCATAGTGCTGACAAACCCAGATATATAATAAGGGGGAATTGGGTTTCGAATCCTAGATTTCTGGTGTGCCCAAGGGAGGCAACGCTGCACAGCGATTTGCGGCGCCTGAGACCATTGGACCACCCGTACCCCCCATTCGTGTTTGTTTGTTGTTTTATGCCGCACTCAGCAATATTCCAGCTATAACGTCGGTCTGGACCAGACAATCCAGTGATTGACATCATGAGCATCGATCCACGCAATTGGTATCGATGACATGTATCAACCAAGTCAGCGAGCCTGACCACCCGATCCCGTTAGTTACGACAAGCATAGTCGCCTTTTACGGCAAGCATGGGTGGCTGAAGACCTATTCTCCCCCGGATCTTCACGGGTTCCCCCCTCTCGTGAAAAGGATTTGACTTACAATCGTATGAGAAAATATGCGAGGAAGGATAGACGTGTAGGGTTGTATAAATGCTTTAATGTGGTGATCCACGAGGGGTGAGGTGGACTTACGGTCCCCTGGAAGATAACAGTGTCGCACGAAAGACTGGACATACTTCTGACAATAGGGGAAACGTGTCAAATGAGGCATATATTGTTGACTTCAGTCGATTATCATTGAGAGATTTGTTTTGTTTGTTTCCTGTTTTTCGCCGCACGCAGCAATATAACATCTATATAACGTCGATCTGAAAATAATCGAGTCTGGGCCAGACAATCCAGTGATTGACAGCGTGAGCATCTATCTACATTATTGGGCTATGATGACATGCATCAACCAAGTCTGCGAGCCTGCCCACCCGATCACGTTAGTCGCCTCTTACGATAAGCATGGGTTGTTATTTCAGCGCCACAATCAACCATTATGCAGTGTGGAGTGACATTCGGAACAGACTCCAAGAACGATGCGACCAACAACTTCATTGGGCAGCTTGATCAGGTATATATTTCATGTGTGGTATATCAGGAATATATCCTCTCTATGCAACAATAAAGGAAATAACGTATTTCATGTGTGGCGTATTGGTCAATAATAAAGCCGTTCTATTTGACACTACACGAAAAACTGTATTTCCCGATTTGGAAATGAACACTTATTAGGCATACATTCCAGGACAATGTTCAGATGTCGATTTTTTTAATTGGATTTGATTGTTATGAACTGTGTTGCCCTGGTCCTGTGTGCACTGTGTGAAAGGTTGTGTTTTAGTTGGAAAAAGATTAGAATGTTAACACATTGGTAAAGTCATACTGGGGCTGGAAACATTCAATTTCTGTATTTCATAATGACTATGTCATGTTGTGAAACTGTCTAATTTATATGGGAATATAAAGTAAATGATGCTTGTGTTCCAGGTGTATGTCTGAGCCATAACCGACGTTCCCTAAAATAAATGTGTTCTGTTTCAGTTATCGCTGTACCAGTGTGACCCAGGCAACCTGTATTAATGGATGCTACGGTGGGGGAAACACACAACAATCAACAGACTGTGGTGTCACATTCAACCTGAGACCAACTACGCAATCAAATCGGACACAGCCGTCACTCATATAGAAGACCTCTGTGTTTTTATAACTTGCCCAAGAGATGGAAGTAACTAAGAGAAATGAAAGAGACACATACATGACATTAGAACCTGTCTACGATATAATTTTTACAAGATTCATTCCAATCTTCTGTCAGTTAAACTGCCCGGCAAAGAAATGATACACCCATGTTTGATGGTGACTAAAAAATAAACAAATTGTGGAAATACACCTGGCTGGTGAGTGGACATGCATAATCATCATCTGACAATGTTTGTTTTGTTTGTTTGTTGTTTAGTGTGCTATATTCAACAATATGACTACGGTCTGCAAATCCTCAAGGTCTGGACCAGACAATCCACTGATTGACATCATGAGTATCGATCCACGCAGTTGGGAGCCTGACCACCCGATCCCGTTAGTCGCCTGTTACGACAAGGATAGTCGTCTGTTACGGCAAGCACGGGTTGCTGAAGACCTTTTCTACCCCGATCGTAACGGGTCGGTTCAGTAAAGTTAGTAATTTCTTGGTTATATCCAATATCCGAGTGTATCCTTTCCTCCGCCCGGCAGTTTAGTATCGGATACTTTGCCGATATAAAATGAATCATACGCAACGCCACATTGCTCCAATTTTCGATTGGGTGAGTTATTAGGTAATGTTTGTGAGAGAGGGAAAGCGATTTCCAAGCACAGAACTAAAAAATGACATTATATGATAAAGAGGTTATCACGCTTGTGTGTTTGGGGATGGTAAATATCCTGCATTAGGAATAAACATTGTATTTAGCGAGCCTATATTACCTATATACTGTATACCGAAACTTATCTTGACAGTCTGCATCAATATTATAGTACATACAATTAGTTCATACTCATCTTATAAAGGTTGTTCATGTGGTCGTTGTAAAGTGTATCATATTTTGTTACAAAAATAAAGCTTTTAACATTGTTCACTGTATATGCCCATTGTTGTAGTGTATTCAAATAAATTATATTTCAATTAAATTGTTGGTTTAATGATCCAAATCAAATTAGGGGTTGATTGTCCTTTCTTTGCCACTGTTGAGAGGTAGGCTGTGGACTTCAAGAGAGGAAGAGAGGTCTTTAAAGATGATCCAACATCAAGTTGACCCTCAACTTCCACCAATAAGGAAATATTGAAAAATACAATTGATGCGGACAATCAAAGCCTCGGCACAAGTCACAGTGATCTCTCGTGGGAGAATTGAGAACATTCTTGGGAATGTACTGGGCATGACAAGAGTTTCAGCACGTTGGGGGTTCGGGCTCCTGGTCAGAACACTTCACGTTTATCGTATCTGTCATGAGCATTTACGTCGTATTGATGCAGACCCAGCTTATTTTGCTAAGCGATTTGTAACCATGAATGTGTTTTGGTGGGAATCTGAAGAGTCAAGGCAGAGGAAACATCAAACGCCTCGTCCAAAGAAGGAAATGTGTTTCAAAGCACTGGATCACCGTCATGTAGCTGGAATATTGCTGAGTGCGGCGTTAAACAACAAACAGAATCAAAGCAGTGGACATATAGAATCTCAGCCTCGACTTTTTCCACTTTAATCGAGTGTTGATATATTTGATATCAAAACACACGAGGGTGAGATCTTATTTAGCATCCAACATCATTCTTCCAACTTTTTCAGTTTGTAGATAGAGAATCTCAACCGAGTGTCTTTTGATATCAAATATATCAACACGATTTGATAAAAGCGGAAAGCCAGTGGGAGCCAGTTTTGGATGATAAAACATCAAAGATCTCCAAAGTCTGTTTGTTTGTTGTTTAAAGCCGCCCTCGACACTATTCCAACTATATGACGGCGATCTGTAAATAATCGAGTCTGGACCAGACAATCCAGTGATTAATACCATGAGCATCGATCCATGCAATTGGGATCGATGACATGCATCGACCAAGTCAGCAAGTCTGACCACCCGATCCCGTAAGTCGCATCTTACAACAAGCATGGGTTGCTGAAGACCAATTATAACCTGGAATCTTAAGTCTTGACAAGGAAACCAAGGAGTGATGTAATGAGTACTGTCATATGACGCGGGGTACAATGACCTGCCATCAATCAAGTCACCAAACCTGACAGTCCCATGAAATTTAGTGCCTCTCAACGTAACGATACAACTATTATGAGATATGAGGTGTATGTGTGTGTGTGTGTGCGTGCGTGCGTGTTTGCAAGTCTCTGATCCCTGAAGTCGCCTCTTAAGACCAGCATAGGAAGCAGGGGACCAATTCTAACGCGAATCCTCACCATTTAGTAGCCTCTCACAACAAGCAATAGCTTGGACTACCCCGGTAATATCAAGTAAGCTCTCGTCTGCTGTCTCAAGGAAAAAACAACAACCCAGGGATGAAATAAATACAGTTTAATTACTGTCATGAAAATCCCAAAGCTGAATCCAGAAATGTTGCAAAGTTTTCAGGTTTACCAGGGGGGAGTGGTTTCAACGTGGAGAAGTCACACGATTGTAGTTTCTCACACAATGAGCTGAAGCAAAGAATTAAAGTTATACAGAGCTCTTTATAAACATAACATAAAATACTCACAATAAGGCTTAGCAAAATAAAAGAATTGGTTCTCTGGCAATGGTTTTTGAAAATATAGTGCAGGCGGGCATTGTTTTTCTTCTTTGCTTGTTGAAACTAGTATGTTACCAAAAAACCAGTTGTGTACCATCAACCTGGGAAAGCAAAACAAACTCCTATTGCCACAATGACCATAACACGTGATGTAGCACTAAGCATGTAAAGGGAAGTAACTGTGTGCTATAGGGATCGAACTGTTTTCAAGTATTAGGATTATTTTATTATTTTGAAAATGGATTTATAAATGAAACGTGCGACAGACTTTATGATGATGCCAGTGGTCCCTGACAACCAAGACTATTATTTTTTATAGCCTAATTCCTAATGACTCAAATAATTTTAGTTGCTTGTGTACAGCAAATACAGAACAAAATATATAAAAAAAACATGAGTTTATTGACACTGTATGATTAGCTAACGTAGCCCCTCAGTATGTCGTTGTCAGGTAGCCTAGTGGTTAAAGTGTTTGCTCGTCACACCGAAGACCCGGGTTCGATACCCCACATCGGTAGAATCAAAGACCCATGTGGGGTATGAGGAATCTATAGTTTTGGTGGGTTAACAAGTTTGATTGGTTGGTTGGTTTGTTGTTTCACCACACTCAGCAATGTTCCAGCTATATGGCGGCGGTCTGTAAATAATCGAATTTGGACCAGTCAATTCAGTGATTGATATCATGAGCATCAATCCACACAATTGGGATCGATGACATGCATCAACCAAATCAGCCAGCCTGACCACCCGATCCCGTTAGTCACCTCTTACGACAAGCATAGTCGCCTTTTACAGCAAGCATGGGTTACTGATGACCTATTCTACGCCGGATCTTTACGGGTCTAACAAGTTGAAGCTGGCTTCGATTGCTGTATTGTTCATAAGCATTGGCCAAACAGTTTTAGTTGCGTTATTCAACTGTGACACGTTGGATTAGTCAGACATTGATGACATGGATGATATCATGCAAGATTGGAAATGGATGATGCAGTGGAAGAGAATGAAGAAATGAGTGAGTGAGTGAGTGGGTATGGTTTTACGCCGCTTTTAGCAATATTCCAGCAATATCACAGCGGGGGACACCAGAAATGGGCTTCACACATTGTACCCATGTCGGGAATTGAACACGGGTCTTCGGCGTGACGTGCGAAAGCTTTAACCACAAGGCTACCCAACCGCCCCGAATGAAGAAATGAATGATGTTATATCTCAAATAGGTGATGCAATGGAACGAATATTCATTTGGAAGAAATAAATTTGTCGCAGTCAATGTACATATATGGTGTTGGTGATAGCGAGACGATGTTATTACTAACAATGTGACAGAACAGACAACTCACCTGCAGGTGTGACAGAACAGACAACTCACCTGCAGGTGTGACGGAACAGACAACTCGCCTGCAGGTGTGACGGAACACACAGCTCACCTGCAGGTGTGACGGAACAGACAACTCACCTGCAGGAGTACCAGAACAGACAATTCACCTGCAGGAGTAACGGAACAGACAACTCACCTGCAGGTTTGATGGAACAGACAATTCACCTGCAGGTGTAACAACAAACAACTCACCTGCAGGTGTAATGGAACAGACAACTCACCTGCAGGTGTGACGGAACAAACAACTCACCTGCAGGTGTAACGGAACAGACAACTCACCTGCAGGTGTGACGGAACAGACAACTCACCTGCAGGTGTGACGGAACAGACAACTCACCCGCAGGTGTAATGGAACAGACAACTCACCTGCAGGTGCAATAGTACAGGTGTCCGTCCATGGCCAGCTGATGTGCCAGCTCTATCTGGTGGTTTCCCTGCAACTCCTCATTGATGACCACAAGCAGGGGCTTCCCTGCCCCCAGGACGTCCAGGACACTCCCCGCACCTGCCCCACAAATATAAGTGAGTGAGTGAGTGAGATGGTTTTATGCCACTTTTAGTAATATTCCAGCAATGACAAGACAGGGGACACAAGAAAAGTGCTTCATTCACTGATAGTATGGCCACCACAGACTTCCAATGGGCAAAGGTTTATTTTATCTAAAACGGCACCGCATCATAACAGCACCCACCCCTTCCTATAAAAACAAGCATTAAATACTCATATCCCTGGCCAATATTACATGTCCGGTTGTGTGCAAGGCATTAGCCCCTGTGAACTATGTTCACTGAACCTTTTTGTAAATGGCTTAATTGCAAACACTAAAATAGTTATTACTGGTGTTGTTTTGCCATCTGCAGTTTATGTCAGAATACGTAACTGTTTTTGTAATGAGTTGTGGTAGTAAGGGAGTTCTTACTTAGAGTTAATGAGAGCAGGGGTCACCATGAGGTGTACTGAGAAGTACAGCACCAATCATCTGATGATCTGAGTAGTAGACTAGAGTCTGGAATGCTACAGCACTGGCATGATCAGTAAACAACAAGTCCAGTGTAAGTCCAAGACAGTGAGCTGGAGAGTGAATGAGTTGAGTCATTTTCCGCACATTAAAGAAATCTTCAAGTTTCAGGTTTTTTTCATGTTGCTACCATAAACTGCAATGAAGTATGCTGGTTCGGGTGCCACTTGTAAATTGTGTTTTCACAATAATTCACCATGGACCTTGTCTAAGTTCCTTTGTCAGTTTACCACTACAGCTATGCCAAGTTTGGTTGAGATACCGTATTTTCTTGATTATAGTGCGCACTTTTTTTCCAAAAAATACAGCTTAGTAGAAGGGGTTGTGCATTATACACGCAATAATGAGTTTTGATGTTTTTTCCCCTCAACGGAAAGACATTACCGTGAGCATGTAACACCGGAAATACCATGTCAACAAATCCATACTGAAGTATGCAAATTAATCAAGTAATTACACTGTCTGGTTATAAAAAGTGTTCTTTCTATATCTAGATATAATTATGTTTGTAATTTATTTCATAAATTTTATTAAAAATTCCTTTAAATATTGTTTTAATTAATTTCGGCGAAATAGTGTGTGAAGCGATCGGAAAATCGCACAACTTACTGTTATTAACAGCAACCACGGTCAGATTACCGCTACTGATGCCTTGAAACGAACTTTAGTTGACAGAGAATGGCTACATATATCATAAATGCCATACTTTAACTCGTTGAAAGTCATATTTGTTATAGTTTGACGATTCTATGACAACACGTAGTTCTCGCGATCACGTGCGCGGAAGCCTCGACGGTGACTGGTCAAACTGGTTCGATGTGAAAAATAATAACCAGCAATAGCGATCAGCTGTATCGCTTAGGGTTATAATTATTTTAATTGTATTTAGTGAAAGCTGCAACTACAATAACAAGATATTGGAATATATTATTCCTGATAAAAAAAATAGTTTCAGATACAATTTTTGCCGATTCCATGCATTAAAATCCGGTAAAGTTATATCATTGGGTGTGTCTTGACCAAATCACCAATAGATTCCAGGAAAATGTGTGAACAGCTGATTGCTGTTTCCGGCTTAGTTTACGAGAAAATACACAAGGTAATCTTAATCACTGGATGTAAAACAATCCCTAGCAGAACAAAAAATAAAATTTAAATGGTAAATCAACATGTCTTGGGATTTTTTTATCTCTAATTTCAAATTTGTACTGACCAAGTTTCTCATCAGCCGTCCATTACGGTGTAATTTTTTTCTGCACATATTTTCGAAAAAAAAATTAAAAAATACTGAATCTGCTAGAGGGGTCTGCACATTATATTCGTGTGTGCACTATAGTGACTATACTCAAGAAAATATGGTATATCTCATGGTTCTTGAGTTCGTCTCCAGAAAAAAAAGCTGATGGACAGACGGACGAACGGATGGATAGCACCCATTCCTATATCCCCCTTCCATCCCCGTGGGGGATTATCATCCATACCTGCATGACTTATGACAAGGGAAGCTCCTTGAATGTCCTCAGCAATGGAGTTTTTGTAGTCGAAATGTTCCACTGTAAAATCATCCACTTCGCTGTCTTCAATATCAAAATCTATTCTTCCAGTCTGCAATGTCAGCTTGTTGTAACCAAGTGTCTTGAATATCTGAAAATCAGAGTGAGTGAGTGAGTGAGTGAGTGAGTGAGTTTTTTATGCCATTTTGAACAGTATTTCAGTTATATTTACAATAATGCAGAGATCCAGATAACTTTTGAGCAATTGAGTTTTTACTCTAGGGTTTCGATTTTAATTGGGTTATTATATTTTTCATTGGATAACCAACATTTTTTCACACATCTATTCATCACTCCATTGGGTTTTTCTCCAAATTATTTAACATTTTAAGATTTAAAAAAAATGACATAATGTGTTAGATGTATATAACTGTTCTAAATATATAGGCTTGACTCAGAAAGTAAATTAGCTCATAGTTGTGTATCGGATATTAGCTCCTTTTAACCCATGCTGAAAGAGTTTCAATGGGTATTTTTATACATTGGAGTTTTTTGTTTCACTTCATGCTGGCTAAAGTATGCATACATATTCAGTGCCTGTCACATTAATGTTTTGCATATATACTAATCAAAGCTTGCTAAGGATCAGCACTTTGTGAAATTGCATGCATTTGTTGAAATAGGCTAGGACAATATTGCGTGAAGACATGATCAGTGAACAAACGTTTCCTTGTCATGTGCCACACAATGCCAACAAACAACATGTGACCATTAATCAGACAGATCACCCGTTAAAATGACAGTATCTGACCAAAACTGAAACGAAAAAACGTAAAACAAATCACAAATCAAACTCATTGTCCATAAAACAGCTCTCAGTAGCATGTATTTAATTGTGCTGTATCGTGCTCCCAGTTAGTGTCCGGACGTTGCCAAGGGAAGATTGTTCTACTCTTCAGTAAGAACACTGATGAGTTCCTGTGAAATTGTGTTAACACTAAGGAGAGTAAAAATGACCCAAGCAGCATTAGACAAGTTCATTCCTTTGTCAGTCTGAGAGTAGTGAAAATCAAGGGAGACAAGTTGTTTTCCCCTGAAATCTAGTTGTTTTACATAAACTACCAGTTCAAGATAAGCTGCAGACTACAGTCAAGTCTCATTAATCCGACACTCGGCTTTATCAGACACAAATGATGGGAACCGATTGATTCAGTGCTATTTAGTCCCGTTAATCCGACATTCTCGCACTCCGACTCCGACACACCTAATTTGCAGCGAATTACCGAAATCCCTCATTAATCAGTCTCGTTAATCCGACACAGTGGTCAGCGTACTCTGTGGTCATCTGCCATCTGAATGAATGATTAAACAACATAACAATATAAGCATTCCGTTTTTAATGATTTTATTACAAGGTACACACGGTTATTATCTATCGTGAAGACGTCTGATTTTCGATCACAAATCACTTAATTTCGTTAATCTGACATACTCGTTACTCCGACACAATCATGTGCAACCAGCGATGTCGGATTAACGAGACTTGACTGTACTTAGATTTCACCGCTGGTGTCGACCCCTGCCTAGGGCTAAAGGATCATGAAGACAACATTGACAGTAGAGGTCAGTGACTGAGCGGAGAGTGAGCCGGAGACAGCAAGTCGGCAGACAGGTAAACTGCAGCCTGCCACTACATCATGATAGCTGTGTTAAAAAAATTGCAGTCTTGCCATGGAATTACCCTCAAATTGGCCAGTATTAAGCTTTGACCGGTATAGGGCTGGGACGTGTAACTCGTAGTGGGTATATGCGTGGGTTCTGAGTTGGTCAATTACAAATTATCGAGGCAAGCCGAAATCCGAAAATGCTTTCACTGCATGGATACTTTTTTTAGTATAAAACTATAACCATCTGGGGTATTTCCAAATGACGACATCCGATGAGCTCCGCTGTTCTTTTTGTCTGCTTGTTTAGGCTGAAGAAATTAATTAACATGCTCCCTTTGTCAAAATCTGTATAGATCACAGTTAACCAATCAGTGTTTATGCAAAAATGCGTAAAACAAATATTGCCTCCAGCCTCCAAGTTTATTTAGCTGTCCTTGCAGACGGTAGCCCAGTCTCTGGTCACACTCAGTTGCATTGCGTATCATCCGGGTACTCACGGGGGAAAAAACAATAACAAAGGCAACAACCAGTCCGGGGAATTGCGTTAGATCAGTGCCCCTTTAAACATCAAAATGTTTGGAATTTGTTATCATAATAATAGAGATGGAAATGTTTTTCAGTCAATTTGTAAAATAACTGAATATTTAGACGTTTAATAAATATGTTACACATTTTGACAGTAAAATAATATACACACTATAAAAAAAGCAATGCTCAGTTGAAATATTTACTTTATGTTGCAAGTCAAAATAGTGTAAACGAAAAGCGCAAAATTACCAAGCAAGTGACTTATCAAAACTTCCTCACCATTACAGATGCTACCCACAAAGATACCTACATTTCCTGGTCAATTACAAATTGACGGTATTACGGTCAATTACAAATTGACGGTAATATATACACGCTTACAAAGGAAAAGACCTGTGAAAACAACGTCTATCGCGCATTGAAGAATTTCCCAACCAAGACGTAGAGAAACAAGAACGAACCGGTTCAAATGAAGGAAAACAAAATGCAAATATCATAATTACAACCTACCAAATTTATGTGTATAAATTTTAGGCAGCTTCCTTGTTCGAGGAATGTATCCGTGAATATCCACACAAAGGAACAATATCCCACTCGTCTGCAGATGTACAAAGAAACTTATTCGATGTCACGTGTCTCAGTAACAATCAAATATTTTAAAAGATGTATGTCGTTTCGGTATATTATAACCCGTGTTCGTTTCTCAACTGATCACTTGGATTGTTTCAGGTGTTTTACATAGGTGTCAAGTCTCAATGGTCGGCTGAGAAAGCCCACGTGACAACTATTTTCATAACGTTCACGGTTCCTAAAAAATCCATTGAGTGATAGATAACAATGATCAATCAATCAACGTATTATAAGTTAACCCTTTGAACAAAGTATGTTGTTTTTACATCGGCACTTCACGCCATGGTATGAGTGTATTCCCTTTGCTTTAGTAAACCTAGACATGTAAACACTCACTCTTGACATATCCACTGTGCAAGATAACAGTGATTAATCAATCAACGTATTTTCTGTTAATCCTTTGATGACTAGGAACGTTCCGTTGATTTACAAAAAAATAAATCAACTGATCATTCATCTCTTGCTGGGCTGCCACGTGCATATTACATAACACACATTTCACCTCACTTCAAACTTGGATTTAGATTGAATAATTACCCCAGACACAATAAATGCCAAATGGGAACCTTTGTCAGGTAATCTAAGTGGTGCTACCACTAATTGTACCTGTAATAAATTCATTAACTGAGCATCAAGTGAATGACATATACACAAGTGAAGGGTTATACGAGAAAACGTGGATGTCAACAAGGGAGTAGTAATCGTATTATCGAGGCAAGCCGAAATCCGAAAATGCTTTCACTGCATGGATACTTTTTTTAGTATAAAACTATAACCATCTGGGGTATTTCCAAATGACGACATCCGATGAGCTCCGCTGTTCTTTTTGTCTGCTTGTTTAGGCTGAAGAAATTAATTAACATGCTCCCTTTGTCAAAATCTGTATAGATCACAGTTAACCAATCAGTGTTTATGCAAAAATGCGTAAAACAAATATTGCCTCCAGCCTCCAAGTTTATTTAGCTGTCCTTGCAGACGGTAGCCCAGTCTCTGGTCACACTCAGTTGCATTGCGTATCATCCGGGTACTCACGGGGGAAAAAACAATAACAAAGGCAACAACCAGTCCGGGGAATTGCGTTAGATCAGTGCCCCTTTAAACATCAATATGTTTGGAATTCGTTATCATAATAATAGAGATGGAAATGTTTTTCAGTCAATTTGTAAAATAACCGAATATTTAGACGTTTAATAAATATGTTACACATTTTGACAGTAAAATAATATACACACTATAAAAAAAGCAATGCTCAGTTGAAATATTTACTTTATGTTGCAAGTCAAAATAGTGTAAACGAAAAGCGCAAAATTACCAAGCAAGTGACTTATCAAAACTTCGTCACCATTACAGATGCTACCCACAAAGATACCTACATTTCCTTATTATCTCGAAAACTGTATTTCATTTTGTTGATCAATGTGACCATACGCCCTTATTACTACCGGTATCCATAAAAGTGACTAATGCGCTTCATTCGTCACCACTCGCCCCTTTCCGTAACCTGTAAGAAGACTAGTCCCCCTTTCGATGAATGTTATGTGCGAAATTACGACAAACCAATCAAAATGCGCGTATGATTTCGAGTTCTTTGTCAAATAATCCCTCAGAAATAATTTTTGATTTAACATATGTCTTGCACCTAAAAATATACCCAAGACACAGTTAAATGTGTTTAATCATACTGTATAATTCAGCACGTCCCAATGTGCTTTAAATTACATCTGAAATATATATAATATATGGGGAAATATATGTGAAACATTACGCAACGAGTTGACAATTGTTTAGGTATGCCCGTTTGCGCTAAGACGGAACCCAGTCGCAAAAATGGCCATGAGAGGGGCACGAGTCGCTATTCGGCTTGTCCCGGAATAACACGAGTTGGTCACGAATGTAATGCGCTTACGAATGGCGCAGCAGAGGTCGCGAACTAGTCTAGATTTCTGCTATACATCCGGGTACTCACTGGGAAAAAACAATAACAAAGCCAACAACCAGTCCCGGGGAATTGCGTTAGATCAGTGCCCCTTTAAGTCCAGAAATGCAACAAAATTTTGGAGACGAGTTTGCAAACATAATTAATCAGGGAACTTTTCATTGCCTTTGCCCATGAACAAAGCTTATTTGGCCTTGTTTTGTAATTTGACATCAGCACCAACCTTGCAAAGGCGCCTCGATGATGTTGTCTTTGTGAGTGCATGAAACGTTGTTGTTCCAACTGTTACAAACACTGTTTTCGACATGTTTGCCAACAAAACAGAGCCCAACACGCGGACATACTAGTAGCTATAAAGCTGCTTTCTTTATACGCGTGTGAGGTGTGAATATAAATAAAAAACTATCTTTAGACTTATTTGAAATTATTTGAAAATATTGTTTACAAAATTTGAATTTTTATTCAATTGTTATGACTGAGATTAAACAATATCTGATTAAATGAGATGTTTCATGATTTTTGGTTATAATAAGTTGTGTAGGATATGGATTTGGATCGAAAGTGCGGGACTAATGTTTTGAGCTATTAAACTGAAATTATTGTTTAAATAACTAGTAACAGTTGATTCATAACAAATATACCCAAACATAATTCACAAGTGATTATCCATTGAGCCAAAAATAGTTTGCTGTGTAAAAATGTTATCGAAAATTGACCAATGAACAGCATTCGAAATATTCCATGCGTTGCAAAGATGGCTGTCAGTTTATCGAAAGAACAGAAGAAAACAACATAAAATATTTTGTCCCAAGTAAGTCTTTTTACCCGTCTTAAATTGTAACTTGTTTCATCCGCGGGTAATATTTGTGTTTATGATCACTAATTAGCTGTTTCTGCATCAGGCGAATGGATCACAGTTAGAAAATGGCAAGATTGAATACGGCGCACCCACCCAAATCACGTTAACGTAAATCCACAAAAATACTGGGCCCAAATACTGTTGAGTCCACTTTTAGAATTCATACGGTAGTAAACAACGACGTCTATTGCATCCCAGTTGGATTGTAATATGCATCCAGTATGACATTGCGACTGCAGTGTTTGAAAGTTGGGTGCACTCACACGGAAACGTGCATCTGTTATCACACACACAAGAACACATCCTCTGTGAAAAGAAGGATCACCATCCCACCCGGTGCTTCACCAGCTGGTACTAGTCACTGTTGCCGCACTGACACTCTGATATATCGCAAAACCATTAAGCAGTCAGTTCAGCTCTGTGTCCAAACCCAATGCCCCCATGTGGACCTGCGGTAGAATATGTCCCCAGTAGGGCTGGGAAGGTTATCTCGGGACACTCAGGTCGGGTGGGTCCTGTGTAGGACCTGGGTACCCACAGGACTATCTGGACCCGTTGTTAGTCATGTGATATATTGTTTGATGGCAAAAACTCACTATAGCTTACTGGTTACACTACATGTCACTAATCATGCTAATGTTCACATTTCTTTCTGACGATACACACATTCTATGAGATTACCCGAACTCTATCCTTAGCCCTTGGTTCCCGTTTACGATCATTAGGGTTAGGTACCTGTTTAGTGGCTGGTATAGATTCTATATTGCGGCTCCTTATATTCTTCACATGAAAACGTCGAGCAAAAAGGGATGAAAAGGTTTAGTGTCAAATATTTTGGTTCCTGGAAACTGTCCTTGAACATTTATACAAGCCTTTTCATCCGCTACATTTAGGCCTATTCAGTACTAATTCAAAAGCTAGATTCATCCTTTTGTCATCACTAGCCATGCTCATGCCTCCATCTGACGCCTGGATCCGTTTTCAGTTCGCGCCATATCGGCTCATTTCTCACCACTCGGTATCTTGTAGATTACGGAATCAGACGAGTGTGCCATATGGGATTGGGATCATTCGTATGTGTCCGTAGACTAAAGTCACGAGACAGGCCTCAAAGTTGCGACTAAAACTGTCGCCATGCGACCTAAATTTCAATTTGTCTACTGACTAAATTTCAGAGGTCGCCAATGACAACCTTGAAAAATATCTTGTGGCAACTAAATTCTGTTGCTTCACATACGCAAACACAAACATAAATAATTTGATTGACATTTACGATGCCATTTTCTTGATTGTGTTTTCACAGTTGCAATGGAACACATATATACCATACTCATCGTCTGTTTCATTGACATTCCGATAGCTCAGTGAATTATTATGAGGGATTCGGTTATCCAAACTCTTTCAACACCATAGGCTGGTACATCAGCCAAGAAGCCCAGAGTCCCCAATTTCATTCAATATTGTTTACATTTATTTTGGCGAAATCGTATGTGAAGTGATCAGTAGATCGCACAGCTAACTGTTATTTTAACTGTAACCACGGTCAGATTACGCCTTAAAACAAACTTTAGTTGCCAGAGAATGAATACATATATTATAAATGCCATACTTTGACATGTCAAAAAACATATTATTTATAACTATTATATGGCAACATAATGTTTTCGCAATCGAAATACATGCAGCATGGGAAGTCCCTACAGTGACTGGTCAAATTGTTCCATGCGTAAGATAGATATCAATCGTGTTTTCTGGACAAAAAACGTATTGTCACACATCCTTGGAATATTGTAGTGCAGCAGGGCGTGGAGTCATCCCACAGTTAACATCCTTACCCAGCTTGCTGACGGGGTTAACCTCTTTGGTCATGTGGACAAGGCGTCCGACCTCTGATCAGAAGGTCCGTGGTTGGAATCCCATCACAAGACTGGGACATTTTATGGCCGGTACATTGGCGCCCAACGTTGGGCTTAGCACGTTCATATTAAATTTGATCAAAATAAGCCTCAGTACCCTACTATGCGGCCCGGGACGTGCCTTCTGTTGACGAGGGAGTATGTAGCAGGGGGTGGAGTCATCCCACAGATGACATCCTTACCCTATCAGCTTGCTGACGGGGTTAACCTCTTTGGTCATGTGGACAAGGCGTCCGGCCTCTGATCAGAAGGTCCGTGGTTTGAATCCCATCACGGGACTCGGAAATTTTATGGCCGCTACAGTAGTAGTCACAACTTTGCATTTTGTAGCCTTTGATTGTAGATATAATTAATTAAAATGCCTACAGACAATGACGGACAGACAAAGATGCTTTATTGGCTTCCACGTTGATGCAGCAGTTAAGTTGGCTGTTTCAGTCAGAGAAGGTTTATTGTGACTTGATAACCCCTGATTGACCAATAAGCATCATTGGAGTAGAGTAATTTCCAAATTCATGGTAGAAGGGTCATTTGTTTGCAGAAAGACATTGTCGCTCATGTAAATTATTATAGTCATAAAACATTTATGAATAGTACATTTATTAGCATATGTTCCTCCAATAATTCATTCCACAAAAATAGATGTGTGATGCCAATTCCTGACAGCAGTCCCCCGCTGTGATATTGCTGGAATATTGCTAAAAGTGGCGTAAAAGCATACTCACTCACTCACTTCACCTGGCAGCAGTTATCTGAGATTAAGGTTATGATGTGTCATGGTCCTGTTATATAGGCCAGAAAATACAATCAGCTATACATACATTCTACCATAGTTCTGTGACAACATACCCAATATAATGACACAACAATCATTAGAAATTAATCTAAGGTATACATGTACCAGGAAAAATATATTCTATTTCTTGTTACATTATTTGCTGCTTTTCTTGTGCATACAGTTTGAAATTAACCAATCAGCGTTTGCGACATGATTCCTTCTGTTGGTCTTGCTATTTCAAACGTGAAATAAATATTTTGACATAGAATGATGCAATAACAAGTACCGCTTATTACAAGTGTTAAAGTATGCCATTTAAATTATGATATATGTATCCATAGTCTGACAACTGAGGTTCGTTTGAGGCATCATCAGGGGTTATGTGATCCAGGTTGCTGTAAACAACTGTGAGTTGGTGCGATCTGCCGACCAGTTTAAGACCTCAGATCTCCCCTTAATTTTAAACTTTTGATTTACTCTCACTCTCACTCACTCACTCACTCACTCACTCACTCACTCACTCGGGGACACGGGTGGCTCAGTTGTCTAAGGTGCTGTGATTCGCTGTGCAGAGTTGCGTCCCTTGGGCATGCCAGAAACCTATGATTGTGGGTTCGAATCTCAGTTCACCCCGATTATGTTTCTAGGTTTGTCAGCACCATACCCGTGCTCGTGGGTTTCACCGAAGTGGTAAACGTCTGAGACCTTTTTCTCCCACATTAAGCTGACACGCCGTGATATAACTGGAATACTGTTAAAAGCGGCGTTAAACCCATCTCACTCACTCACTCACTCACTCACTCACTCACTCACTAGGGTTAGAAATTGGCACTCGTCCTATAGTCCTTGAGAAACTGCCCAATAGTAAAGGTATCCTAAGGACTAGTAGAAATTTGATATTTTTCAAGGTTTTGCTATATAGTCATTATAAGGACTAGTGGACTGAAACTGTTAGTTTCTACCGCTGCTACCTCACTCACTCACTCACTCACTCACTCACACTCACTCACTCACCCACCCACCCACCCACCCACCCACCCACTCACTCACTCACTCACCCACCCACCCACCCACCCACTCACTCACTCACTCACTCACTCACTCACTCACTCACTCACTCACTCACTCACTCACTCACTCACTCACTCACTCACTCACTGCAATGTGTGTTTCAGCATCTGCAGCCAGCAACGCAAGAGATGGAGGACCGTCTCCTCTCTCTCGGACCCGGGGCCAGCGAGACGAGTGGTATGGCCTGGCAGACTCCAGTCCCTCTGCCCGTCGCCATTAAGGAGGTACATTAATATGTGGTTCTTGAGACATAGCCAAACCTCTAAAGACAGCCTGTCACTGAATTCGTTGGATGTCGCTGATGTGACATCAATATTGATTTTGGAATTTGTTCTATCTGATCGAGTTACAAGAAAGGCCTAAAACTTGCTGTACATTGCTCTGTCTCCATTGAAATGTTCAAGGCATCAAAAGAAACTGCATATGATTTTATCATGTGTACAGTTTTATTTGGAGCCTTGTTATGATTAGTTTCTCAACATCCTGAGGACACGTGTGATGTTGTCACTTCCACCCTGATGACAAATGTGGTATTATCACTTTGACATTCCAAGACACAAACATAAATAATTTGGGTGACATTTGCAACGCCATTTTCTCGATCGCCAGTGTTTTCACGGTCGCAATGGAATGCAATTACCTAACTTTCCCATAGCTCAATGCAGCATTACGAGGGATTCGGTTACGTAAACTCTTTCAACATCGACCAAGAAGCCTCGAGTCCTGACACCGTAGGCCGGTAAACCGGCCAAGCCGTAGTCCTGTCAAAATAGTATATGTAAGTTTATGAACATACCTATCACATCATGCATTTATTAAATCTATCACATTTCACAATGTCTGAAAAACATATTCCATTCCAATTTATAATTTTTTCTCGATAGATTAAAAATTCTTACACACCTGTGGGTGAGAAACCCATTTGAGATAACTGGTTTCAAACATATGAGTGAGATCGAATTCCAGGCCAGTGATTGGCTACTCCATGGTGATGACCTGAGGTCAGATTATGACGGACTACTTTCCAGATCGTAAGTCATTGACAAGTTGCTCGTGCTTCAGTTAAATGTCCACCTACGTCAGTGTTGAACGTAATGGTTTTAAAAATGTAAACAGATATATTCCCGTGTTATGGGTTTTCGGGCGCTTAAGAAACATTCGCTTATCACAAGAACCGTAAAACATCTCATTCACTTATCAAAGACAGTTTTATCTAAAAGTCGAGCCATCATCTGAGTCTTTACAATGTCTGTTGACACCACAACCCCAATTATAGCGGGAGTAATCCGCGATAAACATGGTAATTCAACAGAAATCGTAAAAGATTCCATCCTGTGTGACGCCATGACTGACACAAAGTCACTCACAACAACGACAGTAGTTATCTGCATTTCTGACAAATACTCTTGGTTACATTGGAAAACATAAAAACAAATAACAGTACACAGATTGTCTGATTGTTTCTGATTACTTACATGGCACATTTATGTATATACCATCCCTCACAAAAACCCTCCTCGGTCACCTGCAGTGATGTCATACGATAGTAAACATTGTTGTACATATTTGGGAATTTCTTTGAGGTGAATTTTTTAAACTCTGCATCATGCGGGTTCTTTGATCTTATCTAGTTTGCACTATCATCATCGCCTGTGTAATCCACAGATGGTGGAAATGTTTTTAGGTGTCCGTGTAGGGTCACATTTTTTATGAATAGTAAGCAGTACGTCGGATGACTTCACTCATGACTGTTGTGTTATGTATTAATGCGATCATGAGAACAGACAAAATGCATTGATTCGATGCTAAAAAGATGCAATATTAGGGTGTGTAAGAAACAGATTACTGCACTCAGGTCTGTCGGATACCATTTATCTTACAACTCGTTGTTTCAAAGCGCGTCTAACTCACTTTCGCTCGATAGATCCGCTTTGAAACAACTCGTTGTAGCATAAATGGTATCTGTTGGTTGGTTGGTTGGTTTCTGGTTACCCCAAACGGTATCTGACAGGCACTCTGACAGGCACTCGTGTAGTATTTTGGTTTGGTTTGGTTTGTTGTTTAACGCCGCATTCAGCAATATTCCAGCTATATGATGGCGGTCTGTAAATAATCGAGTCTGGACCAGACAATCCAGTGATTTACATCATGAACATCGATCCACGCAATTAGGATCGATGACATGCATCAACCAAGTCAGCGAGCCTGACCACCCGATCCTGTTAGTCGCCTTTTACGACAAGCATAGTCGCCTTTTACGGCAAGCATGGGTTGCTGAAGGCCTTTTCTAGCCCGGTGTTTTCACGGGCCCACTCGTGTAGTAATCTCTATTCATCCATTATGGCCTATTTCCTGCTATGTTATTGAAAATAAAGTTCTCAGACACACACTTCGACAACGGGTCCACATCAAACATGTCAAAGAGCAAAGTAAAAACGTTTCAAGCAAATCTTGAAATATATTATACAAAGTAATAAAACAATAAACAAAATATTTCTAAAAGTTGTCAAACTTACATCTGAGTTATTATTTCCATTTTTTAGTGCTATCATGTGTACTGTAAGTCAAATGACACCTCGGATTTCGTCACTGCGATTTCTCAGCTCGGACACGATTTTTAGTATCAAAATATATGCATGAAAACTCTCTGTCACAACTTGTAACCTAGCGTGATACATCCATTGAGTTCAATATTTTTAATATAGATTGCCATTTCCTGCCTAAAAATGTTAGGAATTTACGAGATTTAACAAAAATCTTTTGTTACAACCTGAAATTCATCACACACGCTGACAGAACCATAGCTGTAGTTTGATTGGCTGCCTTAGGTCACATGCTCAGATTTGACCAATCACGAACCTTGTAGCAGATTTCAGCAAGACAGCTTCATTAAATACCAATTTTTATCCAATAAAATAGCATGTTATGACAGTGTAGATGCAAAAACAAGCTTTCTAGCGGTGTGTCATTTGACAGTCTTCGACGAACGAAGGAAGCTTGAAAAACGGAGGTATTTCTTCATGTTACTGAGCGCCTTTTGCGGGAAATAAATTATTTAACTGTTGCTCAGTTAACAAAAGAGTGAACCTGGAACAATATTCATTGCATGATGAAACTGTAACACCATTTACAATACCGGTGTTCGCTTTCAATGCTTATCACTTTGAATATATTCAGTTACGATCTAACACACAATGTCAAAAACATAAAGAAAACTGTTAGTGGCAGATTGTTATACTATTTTATTTTAGTTGACAATGCTCACTGGATAAGCAAGGATATACCTGTGTCATTTCGTAAAATTAATTGCATCATTGTTCGAGTCACAAATAACACAAATAACAAAAATCAAGTACAGTTTCCACAAATATTCAATTCCAAGACTAGTGCTATGACTTGTATACATATTATTATAGTTATTTGCTAAAAAATAATTTTAAAATATTTTGGCTTTTCTTGTTGATTTTACCAGTGGCTACCTCTAAAAAAGTTCTTGTAGCCATATTGCTACAACTTAAAACAAAAATTAAACTTTGAGGCCTGCATGGGGAATCAGCCCCACAGGGCTTCCTGGTAAGACTTGTTCTTCATAGTCGACACGGGGTATCAGCCCCATGGGGCTTCCTGGTAAGACTTGTTCTTCATAGTCGACATGGGGAATCAGCCCCGTGGGGCTTCCTGGCAAGACTTGTTCTTCATAGTCGACATGGGGAATCAGCCCCACAGGGCTTCCTGGCAAGACTTGTTCTTCATAGTCGACATGGGGAATCAGCCCCATAGGGCTTCCTGGCAAGACTTGTTCTTCATAGTCGACATGGGGTATCAGCCCCGTGGGGCTTCCTGGCAAGACTTGTTCTTCATAGTCGACATGGGGAATCAGCCCCGTGGGGCTTCCTGGCAAGACTTGTTCTTCATAGTCGACATTGGGAATCAGCCCCACAGGGCTTCCTGGTAAGACTTGTTCTTCATAGTCGACATAGGGAATCAGCCCCACAGGGCTTCCTGGTAAGACCTGTTCTTCATAGTCGACACGGGGTATCAGCCCCACAGGGCTTCCTGGTAAGACTTGTTTTTCATAGTCGACATAGGGAATCAGCCCCACAGGGCTTCCTGGTAAGACTTGTTCTTCATAGTCGACATAGGGAATCAGCCCCACAGGGCTTCCTGGTAAGACCTGTTCTTCATAGTCGACATGGGGAATCAGCCCCACGGGGCTTCCTGGTAAGATTTGTTCTTCATAGTCGACATGGGGAATCAGCCCCACGGGGCTTCCTGGCAAGACTTGTTCTTCATAGTCGACAAGGGGAATCAGCCCCACGGGGCTTCCTGGCAAGACTTGTTCTTCATAGTCGACATAGGGAATCAGCCCCGTGGGGCTTCCTGGCAAGACTTGATCTTCATAGTCAACATGGGGAATCAGCCCCGTGGGGCTTCCTGGCAAGACTTGTTCTTCATAGTCGACATAGGGAATCAGCCCCAGGGGGCTTCCTGGCAAGACTTGTTCTTCATAGTCGACACGGGGTATGAGCCCCTGTGGGGCTTCCTGGCAAGACTTGTTCTTCATAGTCGACATGGGGAATCAGCCCTGTGGGGCTTCCTGGCAAGACTTGTTCTTCATAGTCGACATGGGGAATCAGCCCTGTGGGGCTTCCTGGCAAGACTTGTTCTTCATAGGCCCCATGGGGTATCAGCCCCATGGGGCTTCCTGGCAAGACTTGTTCTTCATAGTCGACACAGGGAATCAGCCCCGTGGGGCTTCCTGGCAAGACTTGTTCTTCATAGTCGACATGGGGAATCAGCCCCGTGGGGCTTCCTGGCAAGACTTGTTCTTCATAGTCGACTCGGCCAACCACTTCATCGGGTGGTGAAGCTCGGTGACTTGGTTGATTGCAGATCTTCATACTCAGACTGCTTGGACCCTGCTCATACATAATATCATCACTGGATTGTCTGGTGCAGTCTCAATTATTCACAGACCACCATCATATTGTTTGTATGTTGCTAAGTCAGGCATTAAGCAACAAACAAAACAAACAGGATGGAATGGATCTGGAATATTCAGCATCATTATGTCAAAGATTGTTACAATACACTGATAATGAGTGATTAGTCTGTTACATGTTGTTCTTGGACAATTGTGTTAAACATGTTAAATATATCTGGCATATGAACCATGAGTACAAATGAATATTGATACTCTGTAGCGTATTGTGAAATGTATGTTTGTAGAAGTGTAGACGGTGCTCTAATGACTGACAGAAACATGTCTTTGACAGGAAACTTTATGAAGTAAACTCTGTATGTGTTGCAGGATTCGGATGAAGGTGATGAGGAGATCGTCGTTGATGGCAGAGACAAGCCACTGGGTGCCCTCATTACTGAGGGTATAGCTGCTGGCCCCTCCCATGTATCCCCACCGGCCATCCCCGGACCAACTCCTGTCAACCAGAACTTCGTGGCTGAGCTGAATGCCAGAGCAGAAGCAATAGTGGAAAGGACAATGGGTCAGTTCACTCACTCACTCACTCACTCACTCACTCACTCACTCACTCACTCACTCACTCACTCACTCACTCACTCACTCACTCACTCACTCATTGCACTCACTCATTGCACTCACTCACATTCACTCATCCACCCAAGCACTCGTCCAAGCACTCACTCACCCAAGCACCTACTTACTCATTCACCCATCCATCCATCCATCCATCCATCCATCCATCCACTCACTCACTCACTCACTCACTCACTCACTCACTCACTCACTCACTCACTCACTCGTCCACCCAAGCACTCACTTGTCCACCCACTCACTCACACATCAACCAAAGCACTCACTCACTCATCATCACAAGCACTCTCATCCACCCATCCACACAAGCACTCACTCACCCAAACCCACTCACCCAAACCCACTCACCCAAACCCACTCACTCACTCACTCACTCACTCACTCACTCACTCACTCACTCACTCACTCACTCGTCCACCCAAGCACTCACTCGTCCACCCACTCACTCACACATCAACCAAAGCACTCACTCACTCATCACAAGCACTCTCATCCACCCATCCACACAAGCACTCACTCATCCACTCACTCGCTCGCTCACTCACTCACTCACTCATCCACCCAAGCACCCACTCACTCACTCACTCACTCACTCACTCACTCGTGACAGTAATGAATGTGTAGTTTGGGCCTTCCTTCATGGCCATGTATGAAGTTAAGGAGGGTCCTTGATGTCTTCAATTGTAATGGAATACACTGAAGCCCCAAATCTGTAATTTTCAACATGAGGGCAATGACAGTGGCTCCTTGACTTTCGTGCTTAATTTCCAACACTGACGTGGCTAGTCTGACCAAAGAAGACCTGGGGTAGAATAGACTTCAGCAATCCATGCTGACCGTAAAAGGCAACTATGCTTGTCATAAGATGCAACTAACGGGATTGGGTGTTCAGACTCACTGACTTGGTGGATGCATGTCATCTTTTCCCAATTGCGTGGATCGATGCTCATGATGTCAATCACTTGACAGTGGTAGAAACTAACAGTTTCAGCCCACTAGTCCTGATAATGATCACATATAGCAAACCCCTTAAAAATGGCAAATTTCTACTAGTCCTTATGATACCTTAACTATTGTGCAGTTTAGCAAGGACTACAGGACTAGTGCCAATTTCTAAAGCTGCTGGATTGTCTGGTCCAAACTCAAATATCTACAGACCGCCGTCATATAGCTGGAATATTGCTGAGTTTGGCATTAAACAACAAATAAACAAAGAAACAAACAATCTGTGGCTAGTCTAGGCAGGAAACAGTAGCCTGCTGGTAGGCGTGGCAAAATTGTTTTTGGTTTATCTGAACACAAATGAAAAAAGAAATCTTAGTTAGCCATGGAATTGCTTGCAATTTATTCAGGTTTAACGGGTGGGGAGGACGACATGTGGCACTCTGCGGAGGAGGACATCGATGTTGTATCTGTTGACACCGCCGCCGCTGCTGCTGGTGTGCGATCTGGGCCGACTACCAGAAGTAAGTCTAAATTAGAGTGAGTGAGTGAGTGTGTGAGGGAGAGATTTGGGGTTTTCCTGCCACTTCAAACCGTTTTCTAGTTATATCATGGCGTGTCAGCTTAATGTGGGAAGAAAGCCTGAAATGATGCAGGTCTCAGATGTTGACCACTTTTGTCAAACCCACGAGCACAGGTTTGGTGCTGATTAACCTCGAAACAAAATCAGGGAGAAATGGGAATCAAACCCACAATCATGTAGCTTGACTATTGCTGAGTAAGACCACAAACAAACACATTTGAAGTCACTTAGAGTTTTTCTTTTTCTTGTCTAGGTGCTGCTGGGAATTCTGGTCAGCCAAGAGATGGACACAGTGGCTCTCTCAGTGAAAACTTCCGCAACTATCTTGGCCATTTGTCTAATCTTACTGAAGACTCACACCAAGGACAAGTCTTCTACCCAGAATCACAACCAGGTCTTGGTATCTGCTCCTCGGACGATGAAAACCATGGCAACCATGAGTCTTGGTTGAACCCGCAGCACAAGCACCGCTCGCATCCTCCTCCTCCGACGTGCATGATGGGAGAAAACAGCCAGGATCATCCCGTCATTAGGGACGTGCTCTTCAACTGTGAGTCCATGGACGATTCCGAGTCAGACGATGTCTTTCAACCATCCTCCTCCAGTGACATGTTCGAGCCCACAAATCCCTACTCTTTGTTTAATCTTCCAAGACCCCAGGTACTTCGATGCATGAAGGAGAAGGAGAATGGCAAGAAAGGTGATATGTGTAGAAACAGTTCCGGGGCTGCTAGAAGAATTGGATGTGATTCGAGACAGCCCGAGTCAGCCATGACGCAGAGCACGGCAAGCCACAATGTGACAGATGTGGACAGTATCAGTGACGGTGATTCGGACGTGGATATTGTGTCCCTGCCTTGTTCAGAGAATGCCCAGAGGTCTCTCCCAGCTAATGATGAGTGCAGGATATCTAAAGTAACTCTGTCGGATCAGACGAGAGACCATGTGACTCTGTCAGAAGATGGCGGTGTGGCAACGTCGGGTGTGTCACCTTCGCCTGTTATTACCCAAAACATCGACATGGCATCTGTTGGAGAGAGCCATAGCTACCTCAGTAATGGTCTGTCTCAGGACCAGCGGAAGAGAAAGTGTGTGTCATTGAAGCGCGGTTGCCAGGAGAACATGGCTGGCCACACCGGTGGAGACAGATCGGGGGAGGCCACGGCCGTCGGGTATGGACAAACACCTGCTCCTAATAGTGCACTCTTCGTTGACCCTGACCCCACAGGATTTCGTCGTTACCATGGTGATCGGCAGCAGAGGACATCGCCGATTATTCCTGATGTACATCTGACGGACGGATCAGATGACAGTGATGTGGAGGTTGTCAAGATAGAGCCAAGGTACCAATACTATCAATCATTCATCTGTTTATAGGGGTTATTTGCAGCCAAGGGTTCATCATCATTTCACATTGAGTCAGGGCCTGTGGGGACTGGGTGATCTGTTATCTGTTTAATGGAGTTAATTACACACAATTCCACAGATCTATAATCCTCATTTTCACATTGAGTCAGGGCCTGAGGGTAACTTTGTTGGGCAGGGGATATAGAAACGGGCTCCGTCCGTCTGTCACGTTTCGTTTCCGGAGCATGACTCAGAAACCGTTCAATATTTTTTCATCAAACTTTGCAGGTCTGTCAGGTACATGCTGAACTGGTGCCTTTTGCTATTTAGAAATTTTAGAAATGTTTATTTTTTTACGTTTCCATGGCAGCAAGATGGACTTAGGTTCCAAACTTTTCTTTTTTTCACAATTTCCATGACAAGTTCCACCTCGGTTAAAAAAGGTTAGGGTTTGTTTAGATTTAATTATGTCATAAATTCTGCAACAGGGTGGGGGATATAGCCACGTTAGTGGCAAACTCTTGTTTTCACATTGAGTTAGGGTCTGTGGGGACTGCGTGATCTGTTATCTGTTTAATGGAGTTAATTGCACACAATTCCACAGATCTATAATCCTTATTTTTACATTGAGTCAGGGCCTGAGGGGATTGCGTGATCTGTTATCCGTTTAATGGAGTTCATTTCCCAGAATTCCATAGATTATCCTCATTTTCACATTGAGTCAGGACCTGTGGGGATCCCACGGTGGAATGATCCTCAAAATATCCAGGGTTGATATTTCGGTAAATCTGCACTTACCCTTGGATCCATCCCCGTGGTTTTCCGATCTCAGCCCTTGATTTTCATTCACATCTTCCTGACCAGTCAAACGTTGAAATTAGTAAATGGGTAAGGACTTGCCCCTGCCAGTGTTTATGGGCATGAAGACATCCCTTCCATCAAAAAGGTTTTTGAGGGCATTCTTTTGCATGAGTAGCGTAGCGTGTACAGTTAAATCACCCTCCCTACAGCCCAGACTTAGCCCCCAGTGACTATTTCCTGTTCCGGCTAATGAAATCTGCCCTACGTGGAAGACGCTTCCAGGATGACGAGGACATAAAGGCTGCCACAGAGGCGTGGATAGAGGATTTCTATAAGAGTGGTATTAAAAGCTTGAAGGACAAATGGAATAAGTGTATTGAGGTGAATGGAGATTATACTGAATATGCTGAAAAATAAAAGTGCAAAAGATATTTTGCGACTTGGTCTTATATTGAAGTTGCAAAACGTATTGAACACCCCTCGTAGCTGTAATTATGACTCACTTGGAGACGTGCAGTTACTTACTCGCGAAGTTCTTCAGTGAAGTTAACATGGTTAATGATTTCTTCAATATTCACTCATAAAAAATATCTACAAGATAAAGTGCAAAGAACAATGACGAACGAGTCGTGGTTTATTTCTGGATATTGGAACGTACACTCGCAGCTTGGTAACGTTAGCTAGTGACACTATTTTGAGGGGGTAGTTCCCTTTGGATAGTCAACGCAGATATGAAGGCAATGGCCAAACTATCACATCAAAAGTCGGTGAGATACGGCAATCAGGAATTAGCCAAACGATACAGATAATGGCCACAGTCGTTGATTTCTGACATAGGACATGATACAAATTTGATTCTCTCATGCTTATTTTCATTACTTATAGATTAGGCATGTTAAGTTGTTCATGTTCCTCTTCATGTTTATTATTGTGTGTAATGTTAATAAGGATCATTGTTTACCCTTGTTGACTATTGTTTGTCATATTAATCATGTTTATGAACATCACTGTTTACCATTGTTTATCAATATCATGCTCATGAAGCTCACTGTTTATCATTGTTGACCTTTGTTGACCATTGTTTGTCATGTTAATCATGTTTATGAACATCACTGTTTACCATTGTTTATCAATATCATGCACATGAAGCTCACTGTTTATCATGTTTATGTCAAATTTTGTAGGATCACTGTCTACCATTGTTAATAACACTGTGCACAGCTGTCCCAGTCGTCTAAGCATCCACAATTCGCTGTGCAGAGTTGCGTCCCTTGACGTATGATTGTGGGTTCAGATCCTGGTTCGCCCCGATTATGTTTCTAGGTTTGTCAGCACCATACCCGTGCTCGTGGGTTTCACCGAAGTAGTAAATGTCGGAGACCTGCATCACTTCGGGCTTTCCTCCCACATTAAGCTGACACGCCGCGATATAACTGGAATACTGTTAAAAGCGGCGTTAAACCCAACTCACTCACGCTTTGTCATTTTCAGGAAGAGCACTGTATCTCGTGTATCTCGTGTTTATGAAGTTCTGATTTACTTTCAGACCAAGGAAGAGGCTTGAGTCGTCAGGAAGAGCCACAGTTGTTGTTGATCTCACAGAATCAGATGATGGTAGAACATATTTTTTGTCAAGCAAATAATTTTTTTACAAAAAATCATGGATACTGATGGCTTTTTCTGGTATGCATAATGATAAATACAGGCCTGGTTGCCCGGTGCTAAGCATACTGAATGCATGGCCTTGAACCCAGGGGCTCAGAAGGCCTGGGTACGTTGCACAGAACAACCTTAGCGCTACAACTGTCGTAAGTCTATTTTAAGATAAGGGAGTTATGATCACCTTAGCTCAAAGATTGCTTTGTACAACGGCACCCTGGTCACCATGTGGCAGGATCTGGAGGTGTCATTGATTGCAGATTTTAGTATTGAATATCACCTCAAAAGTAGCAAGATATTTTTATTTATTACACATTTGTTGAAAACAACAACGACCAACCAATCTTTTTAACCAACTCGTAAGATAATTCGTATCTGACAGACACTCATTTAGTAATCTCTGTTTACTACTTGCCCATTGAGGATACCTCTGTTTGATAACAATGAGCCTGTATTTTACAGTGTTAAATACTAAGGCCGGTGCTTAAATCTGGCGACTAACGGGATCGGGTGGTCAGGCTCGCTGACTTGGTTGATGCATATCATCGTATCCCAATTGCATGGGTCGATGCTCATGATGTCAATCACTGGATTGGCTGGTCCAGACTCGATTATTTACAGACCATCGTCATATAGCTGGAATATTGCTGAATGCAGCGTTTAACAACAAACCCAACCAACCCTCTGTGGTAGCTAGTTTCACAAACACATACTGAAAACTCGCGACATAACTGGGCTTATTCATTGACTTTGTGTGTCAAGATGATAGATCACTGAGAGGAGCTTATGCACACTCGACGTCAGCAATCCTGTTGTTATTCTGAAGTCATGTGGCATTGTTAACTGCTCAATAATTTAATGAAATCTTACAGTTTTTTTCCATATTATCATTGTTTAAGGATCACATGGACAAAAAAGAGTACATATTTTCATGACTATAGTGGGCACCCAAGCATAAAGCTCACCCCCTCTGGAGGATGCATCACCTTGAAAACAAAATCGACATTTTACCACTTCAGGTGAACAAACAGGTCACATCCTCTAAACTCAGTGATGGGGCTAGTATGTACACCCACCTCAACACAGCTGTATTTTGGGGATAAATGTGTGCACTCTCCTCAAGAACATACAGTTATGTTTAAGGTATTCTTTTGTACTCTTGAGCTGATTCTTTGCCATACAAACATGTGAACCAGGTCAGTTGTAGTATGATGTGAGGTAGCCATGGTAATGTTTTGTGTTGTGTTCCAGAGACCAGTGCTTCCCAGTCGTGTAAGGTGGTTGCCCAGGCCGGGCCCGAACCCAGTACATCTAGTCAGCCTGGGACATCCTCACAGGCGCTTCCCACGGCCACTCAACAGACACCAAGTGTTGCTGTCACCCAGCCGTCGCCCCACGCTCAAGTTCCCAGATCGTTTGCTGCCGGCAGTCATCACCATTTCCACCCCCGCCCCCCACCCGCCCATTCCCAGCATGTCCACCACCCCCAGCCAGCACACACATGCCGACTCCATGACCACACACCCTGCCAGGACCACACCTACACATGCAATGGGGTGAGTACATGTGCAAAAGAAATCAGAAGTGTGCCTTATGCCAAAAATAAGCTCAGAATTTTGCATGTTTTGCCATGTTTTATTTTCAAACATGGGATTCTTGTCAGGTTCCCTGTTTTCTACATAACCATAACAGAACGGGGGTAGAATAGGTCTTCAGCAACCCATGCTTGCCCTAAAGGGCTACTATGCTTGTCGTACAAGGCGACTAACGGGATCAGGTGGTCAGGCTTGTTGACTTGGTTAATGCATTGTATCTCAATTGCATGTTTCGGTGCTCATGATATCAATCACTGGATTGATTGGTCTAGACTTGATTCTTTACTGAACACGGTCATATAGCTGGAATATTGCTGAGTGCGGAGATAAACAACAAAGAAACAAACAAACAACTGGAATACTGTTGAAAGCGGCCTTAACCTCACTCCCTCACTCACCTCGGCCTCTGTTAATTTGGTGACACGTGGTCCTGGGTAAAGTGCACAAGTCACAAATCATCTCATGTTAAGCATCAATATTCACAGATAGTAATTGGATAGGTGCCCCTGTTCTACAGTTTGACACCTCAGAGTTATAACAGGGTTAGAAATTGGCACTAGTCCTGTAGTCCTTGCCAAACTGCCCAATAGTCAAGGTATCATAAGGACTAGTAGAAATTTGCCATTTTCAAGGGTTTTGCTATATCTTTTCATTATAAGGACTAGTGGACCAAAAACGTTAGTTTCTACCACTGTATAAGGGCTTTCAAATCACATGTAGCCCGTATGGAGTCTTGGGCAAGTGGCTGTTCGAAATATGCAACCAGCAGTGAATGGGTACCTGGTAGGATATTATCCTTCTTGCGTCCCACCCGCAGCTTGAGTTGTATGATCAGTTAGCTGAGGATGAAAATCAAGTGCAGACTGATCCATTGACCGGGGTAATAATAGTGCACACTGATCCATTGACCAGGGTAATAATAGTGCACACTGATCCATTGACTGGGGTAATAATAGTGCACACTGATCCATTGACCGGGGTAATAATAGTGCACACTGATCCACTGACCCGGGTAATAATAGTGCACACTGATCCATTGACCGGGCTAATAATAGTGCACACTGATCCATTGACCGGGGTAATAATAGTGCACACTGATCCATTGACCGGGGAAATAATAGTGCACACTGATCCATTGACCGGGGTAATAATAGTGCACACTGATCCATTGACCAGGGTAATAATAGTGCACACTGATCCATTGACCGGGGTAATAATAGTTCAAACTGATCCATTGACCGGGGTAATAATAGTGCACACTGATCCCTTGACCGGGGTAATAATAGTGCACACTGATCCATTGTCCAGGGTAATAATAGTGCACACTGATCCATTGACCGGGGTAATAATAGTGCACACTGATCCATTGACTGGGGTAATAATAGTGCACACTGATCCACTGACCCGGGTAATAATAGTGCACACTGATCCATTGACCGGGGTAATAATAGTGCACACTGATCCATTGACCGGGGTAATAATAGTGCACACTGATCCATTGACTGGGGTAATAATAGTGCACACTGATCCATTGACCGGGGAAATAATAGTGCACACTGATCCATTGACCGGGGTAATAATAGTGCACACTGATCCATTGACCAGGGTAATAATAGTGCACACTGATCCATTGACCAGGGTAATAATAGTTCAAACTGATCCATTGACCGGGGTAATAATAGTGCACACTGATCCCTTGACCGGGGTAATAATAGTGCACACTGATCCACTGACCGGGGATTATAATAGTGCACACTGATCCACTGACCGGGGTAATAATAGTGCACACTGATCCATTGACCGGGGTAATAATAGTGCACACTGATCCACTGACCGGGGTAATAATAGTGCACTCTTTGAGCATGCTCCTGTGTGGTGTGGAAATATAGCATGATATACCGTATTCGACGTAATAAGCGCCCACGGCGATATTTGCTAATATATTGGCTTGTGAACAATACCTATTAGCACCCCTTCTGATTGATCAATGTACACAAGACTTATTTATTCGCGTATAATACACATTCATGCGTTATATGCACCCTTAATTATGGGCAATTAAAATCTGGAAAAATGTAACTCGTATTTAAACATTTCAGGCTGTCAGCATAAACCACAAAATTTATCTTTCAACTCTAATAAGAGCCCCCTATTTCTAATTTTGAGAGCGCCCTGGGCGCTTATTACGTCGAATACGGTAAGTAGTATTATGATTGTTATTATTTTTTTCATTTCGACAATTAGAATTGTTAAACACTGCACGCCCCCCGACATCTGACTTTTTGTGTATGTTGCAGCACCAGACAATGCCAGAGTGCAGTGAGCGAGGATCCTGTGGACTGCATCACCATGAACGTGGTCACTGCCGCCTCCACGCCATGACCCCCCACAGCCACACCCACCATGGCCACACCCATTCCCCGCACCAAACTCACCGGGGCTTGCATGGACCATGTGTTGGTAAGCGTTTCACATTGCAAACTGGTGAATGTTTCACATTGCAAACTGGTGTGTGTTTCACATTGCAAACAGGTGAGTGTTTCACATTGCAAACTGGTGAGTGTTTCACATTGCAAACTGGTGTGTGTTTCACATTGCAAACTGGTGAGTGTTTCACATTGCAAACTAGTGAGTGTTTCACATTGCAAGCTGGTGTGTGTTTCACATTGCAAACAGGTGTGTGTTTCACATTTCAAACTGATGAGTGTTTCACATTGCAAACTGGTGTGTGTTTCACATTGCAAACTGGTGAGTGTTTCACATTGCAAACTGGTGTGTGTTTCACATTGCAAACTGATGAGTGTTTCACATTGCAAACAGGTGAGTGTTTCACATTGCAAACTGGTGAGTGTTTCACATTGCAACATGGTGAGTGTTTCACAGTACAAATATTCTGTACTGTAAGCATTCTGATAATATTCGGTATGAGAAAAGTGTGTAAGTGTGTTTTGATTTTGATGTTCAAATCCCCTCCACCGTGTTTTAAAGGTATAAAAAGTATGTGGCAGAAATTCTGAGACTGAGATTGATATCCACCTATGTGAAGTACTCTGTGACCAATAGACAACTACATGAGGTGCCGCCTCTAATTGAAAATTGGGTTTCATGGATGAATCTTTATGGGAATCTGTGGTAGAATGTGTCCCCAGCACCCCAGTGCTAGTCATAAGAGCTAACTAAATTGGGAACCTGGGTGATACCGGGGTAGACTTGGTCCCTAGCTACCTATGCTGGTTGTAAGAGGAGACATAATTGCCTGGGTGGTCAGGCTGGATGACTTGGTCCCTAGCTACCTATGCTGGTTGTAAGAGGGGACGTAATTGCCTGGGTGGTCAGGCTGGATGATTTGGTCCCTAGCTACCTATGCTGGTTGTAAGAGGAGACGTAATTGCCTGGGTGGTCAGGCTGGATGACTTGGTCCCTAGCTACCTATGCTGGTTGTAAGAGGAGACGTAATTGCCTGGGTGGTCAGGCTGGATGACTTGGTCCCGAGCTACCTATACTGGTTGTAAGGGGAGACGTAATTGCCTGGGTGGTCAGGCTGGATGACTTGGTCCCTAGCTACCTATGCTGGTTGTAAGAGGAGACGTAATTGCCTGGGTGGTCAGGCTGGATGACTTGGTCCCGAGCTACCTATACTGGTTGTAAGAGGGGACGTAATTGCCGACCTCATACCCCTTGTATTGCTCATAATATCAATTACTGGAATGTCTGGTCAAGACTTGTCTTTTTCCAGGCTGGCATCATACACCTGGAATAGTGCTGAGTGCAGTGGTAAAGAACGAACACACACACATGCACTCACACCTCTGGTGGATTTGCATGTCATGAGGATGTTCACCAAGGTGGCATATGTCCAAGACCTCTCTCTCACATCCAGCTGACACTACAATAACTGAAATAATGTTCAAAGCAGTGTTCAACCCAACTTACTCACTCACTTTTGATAAATGGAGGAGAAACTATTCAGAATTCAGTATTATGGATCCGAACGGGATACGTTGGAAGCCACTGTGGGATTGACACTGTATACATGATGTAATAGTCATTCAATGCTTCCATTGTCTCTGATTTACAAGCAAACATATTCATGACATTTATTCACACTGTGTGTGATATTATGATCGACAAGAACTAGGCTGTGTATTGGCAAAACATTTTTATTGGAATATATTTCGATACAGGTGTCCATATTTCTATATATTAGGAGCTTTAATGTCAAACAGTGACTTACGCTAATTGTACATGTATGCAGATCCTGTTTTTTACACACTGAAGAGTTAAGTTAATATTCAGCATGATCAGTTACTGCCATTTTGTAGTCATCAATACAGGGAAAATGCAACGTGAGAGAAAAATCACTTCCTCGTTTCTGACGTTTTGTCAATGGAAGGGAAAGATCATTTGTGAGTGAATTTGTGTGAAAATTTTAGTTAAATGATACAAATAATGATAACGAAACTTGTTGTGGGTTTTTGTACTCAATACACTGGAACACAGACAAAATATTGCAATACGTACCGTTTGAGTTGCATATTGCAGTATGCCAGCAGACCGGTTATATTGTGCAGTCCTGAGGGAGCATCGATTTAATTTCTCTGGGGTGGGTGGAAACATTTTATAAATGAATAGTTTGTTCAGAAATATGCCCCAAATGAATTTTTGTTGGCGGTGGTGAAAAATATGAATATTTTTTTTGTGGAAAATACCCAAACATCATTTTTTAGTAAATAATGAATGTGAATAGATTGTTTGATAGTGCTCAATAGATTATTCTCAGAACAAGTTCCCTCCCACCCCATACAAACCAAGAGGATGCTCCTAATAAAAACTTAGATCCAGTAACGGATGTAAATATTTATGTGTTGCTTTTGATTCCAGGATCCTGCAACCACGTGAACCATGTCCACCGCCCCACCCCCCAACCCCCCCGGGCCCATATACACCATCACCACTACCATCCAGCAGCCTTCGCAATGCAACCTCACAACGTAGCCATGCCAATCGCTGCTGCACCTCACCCCCCACCCCACCACCACCCCCACCCTCACCCTCACCAACGCCTGCTCCACCACCACCAAGTGCCTGACCTCACCTGTGAACCTGGCCCTCCTGGCATGGGAGTCTACAGCCACAGGGACATGCCCAACCCCAACCACATGCACCCTGCCCCACCCCCTCATCAACCAATGCCCGAGGGGATGGGGATGCACCCTTCAGGGGCGAGGAACTCTTGTGCTATGAGTGTCAACACGGTGCCCCCTCACACAGAAGTAGTGGTACAGACAAACCAAAGGTGAGTCTTAGAAGGAGTCGGAGAATCTCATGTCCTTAGAAAACTGACCTTTATAATTTGGTTTGAAAAAATATGACAGGGCCCTTCTGTATATAAGATGGTGGATGCAATATGCTATCATCTTATCAGCGGGATGTGACAAAAAGGACAAATTCAGAATAAAAGTTAAAAAAAAACCATGTCAGCAAAATTTACAGGCGGCAGATCCACAAATGAAGTAAAACGTGGCCTTAGCCATTCAAGACTTTTGAGCTCTGATACAGACACTGTTTTGTTAAGCACTGACACAGACACTGTTTTGTGGAGCACTGACACAGACACTGTTTTGTCAAGCACTGACACAGACACTGTTTTGTCGAGCACTGATACAGACACTGTTTTGTCGAGCACTGATACAGACACTGTTTTGTTAAGCACTGATACAGACACTGTTTTGTTAAGCACTGACACAGACACTGTTTTGTCGAGCACTGATACAGACACTGTTTTGTCGAGCACTGACACAGACACTGTTTTGTTAAGCACTGATACAGACACTGTTTTGTTAAGCACTGACACAGACACTGTTTTGTGGAGCACTGACACAGACACTTTCTTGTCGAGCACTGATACAGACACTATCTTGTCGAGCACTGATACAGACACTGTTTTGTCGAGCACAAACACTGTTTTGTCGAGCACTGACCCAGACACTGTTTTGTCAAGCACTGACACAGACACTGTTTTGTCGAGCACTGATACAGACACTGTTTTGTTGAGCACTGATACACACTGTTTTGTCGAGCACTGAAACAGACACTGTTTTGTCCAGCACTGATACAGACACTGTTTTGTCGAGCACTGACACAGACACTGTTTTGTCCAGCACTGATACAGACACTGTTTTGTCGAGCACTGACACAGACACTGTTTTGTTAAGCACTGACACAGACACTGTTTTGTTAAGCACTGACACAGACACTGTTTTGTTAAGCACTGATACTGACACTGTTTTGTCGAGCACTGATACAAACACTGTTTTGTCGAGCACAGATCCTGGTTTGTGGAGCACTGACACAGACACTGTTTTGTCGAGCACTGACACAGACACTGTTTTGTTAAGCACTGACACAGACACTGTTTTGTCGAGCACTGATACTGACACTGTTTTGTCGAGCACTGATACAAACACTGTTTTGTCCAGCACTGATACAGACACTATTTTGTCGAGCACAGATCCTGGTTTGACGAGCACTGACACAGACACTGTTTTGTCGAGCACTGACACAGACACTGTTTTGTTAAGCACTGACACAGACACTGTTTTGTTAAGCACTGACACAGACACTGTTTTGTCGAGCACTGATACAGACACTGTTTTGTCCAGCACTGATACAGACACTATTTTGTTGAGCACAGATCCTGGTTTGTCGAGCACGGACACAGACACTGTTTTGTTAAGCACTGACACAGACACTGTTTTGTCGAGCACTGATACTGACACTGTTTTGTCGAGCACTGATACTGACACTGTTTTGTCGAGCACTGATACAGACACTGTTTTGTTGAGCACTGATACAGACACTGTTTTGTCGAGCACTGACACAGACACTGTTTTGTTGAGCACAGATACAGACACTGTTTTGTTAAGCACTGACACAGACACTGTTTTGTCAAGCACTGACACAGACACTGTTTTTCGTCCCCAGTGGTGGCCACACATCTGGTGCAGCTGGCCCGACGCCGCCCCAGCATCAACACCTGCACCACCATCTGCATCACTACCACCTGAACCCAACAACACGAGGAGGGGCTGCCCACAACCCGTGCTGGCCCATCAGGGTACCTTCATTTCTTATGGTGAGTTGGCGGCAAAAACTGTATTTATCCCCCGCCATAATGCGGAAGGGGGGATATAGGAATGGGTGCTGTCCACCCGTCACGTTTTAATGCTGGAGCAGAACTAAAAAAGCATGAGATATCTCAACTAAACTTGGCACATAGATAGGTCTAGTGGTGAACTGGTGCCTTTTGATAGTTTGGGATTTTTTAGAAGTTTCTTTTTTAAGGTTTTCCATGGTAACAACTTTGACTTAGACTGAAAATGGTGGCAGTGCTCTTTTCCAGAGCAGACCTTGAAAACCGTATATTTCTTCACCAAACTTGGCACATAGTTATATCTATTGGTAAACTGAGATTTTGATGGTTTGGGATTTTTGAAAAATTTATTTTTCGAGTTTCAATAGCCATGATAGCAACGACTTTGACTTTAACTGAAAATGCCAATGCTTATTTTAGGAGGGCTAGTACCTTGCACAGAACTGCATATGTCATATTGTGTGGGATAATGAGTATTTCGTGTTCGTTGTAACATTGTATTTAATGAAAGTCATGAGCAGGCTTTTACCTTGACCTACAAAACTTGAGTCAAGGGGACCACCAATAACAAAACAATTCAAGGGTCCTTATCCTCTAAAGATTTAATGATTATTGTATTTACAGGACCTCTACATTTCTTTGTCAAGAATTTGGTACATTTACTATTATGAATACTTTTTTCTGTGTTCCGTAAAACCCTGCGTTAGAAATCCTGATCAGGGAAGAGTAATCCCCCCTTGGCGATTTCAAGGCTCACATCTTTGTATTTGAATCTATTTGCTCTGTTTCAGCCTCCTATGCCAGAAATGCCACCTTTCCCCCCATTTCCTGCATTTCCACGGTTACCAAGAAATATGCAAATGAGGCTCGGAGGTATGGTGTACCATGGACCTATTGTTGAGGTGAGGGTGATCAGCGGTTATCAGATCTACCTAGTTAATGTGAAACTGTTGTGCTAGCTGTTTGTTGAGAATTTGGCAGGTGTGATTTCACAGAGGATTTGTTTGTTTCAGTTCAACTTTGATGGGCGTGGCGGAAATGTTAATTGTGGAGCGTCACCAGCAGTCATTGAACAAAACACGCTGCCGCACAAATACAGGAAGGTGGGTAGTTAACATCTTTCCTCCAGTTTCAAAAAGACATCTATCTCCATGCACCATGGTGTCCATGTCCCTGTCAGGACAGACAGACAGGTCCCCAGTGGCCCATGCTTGTCATGAGAGATAGCACCATGGTGCCCTTGTCCATGTCAGGACAGACAGACAGGTCCCCAGTGGCCCATGCTTGTTATGAGAGACAGCACCATGGTGTCCATGTCCCTGTCAGGACAGACAGACAGGTCCCCAGTGGCCCATGCTTGTCATGAGAGACAGCACCATGGTGTCCATGTCCCTGTCAGGACAGACAGACAGGTCCCCAGTGGCCCATGCTTGTCATGAGAGACAGCACCATGGTGTCCATGTCCCTGTCAGGACAGACAGACAGGTCCCCAGTGGCCCATGCTTGTTATGAGAGACAGCACCATGGTGTCCATGTCCCTGTCAGGACAGACAGACAGGTCCCCAGTGGCCCATGCTTGTCATGAGAGACAGCACCATGGTGTCCATGTCCCTGTCAGGACATACAGACAGGTCCCCAGTGGCCCATGCTTGTCATGAGAGACAGCACCATGGTGTCCATGTCCCTGTCAGGACAGACAGACAGGTCCCCAGTGGCCCATGCTTGTCATGAGAGACAGCACCATGGTGTCCATGTCCCTGTCAGGACAGACAGACAGGTCCCCAGTGGCCCATGCTTGTCATGAGAGACAGGAACCTTGGTGTCCATGTCCCTGTCAGGACAGACAGACAGGTCCCCAGTGGCCCATGCTTGTTATGAGAGACAGCACCATGGTGTCCATGTCCCTGTCAGGACAGACAGACAGGTCCCCAGTGGCCCATGCTTGTTATGAGAGACAGCACCATGGTGTCCATGTCCCTGTCAGGACAGACAGACAGGTCCCCAGTGGCCCATGCTTGTTATGAGAGACAGCACCATGGTGTCCATGTCCCTGACAGGACAGACAGACAGGTCCCCAGTGGCCCATGCTTGTTATGAGAGACAGCACCATGGTGTCCATGTCCCTGTCAGGACAGACAGACAGGTCCCCAGTGGCCCATGCTTGTTATGAGAGACAGCACCATGGTGTCCATGTCCCTGTCAGGACAGACAGACAGGTCCCCAGTGGCCCATGCTTGTCATGAGAGACAGCACCATGGTGTCCATGTCCCTGTCAGGACATACAGACAGGTCCCCAGTGGCCCATGCTTGACATGAGAGACAGCACCATGGTGTCCATGTCCCTGTCAGGACAGACAGACAGGTCCCCAGTGGCCCATGCTTGTCATGAGAGATAGCACCATGGTGTCCATGTCCCTGTCAGGACAGACAGACAGGTCCCCAGTGGCCCATGCTTGTCATGAGAGACAGCACCTTGGTGTCCATGTCCCTGTCAGGACAGACAGACAGGTCCCCAGTGGCCCATGCTTGTTATGAGAGACAGCACCATGGTGTCCATGTCCCTGTCAGGACAGACAGACAGGTCCCCAGTGGCCCATGTTTGTTATGAGAGACAGCACCATGGTGTCCATGTCCCTGTCAGGACAGACAGACAGGTCCCCAGTGGCCCATGCTTGTTATGAGAGACAGCACCATGGTGTCCATGTCCCTGTCAGGACAGACATACAGGTCCCCAGTGGCCAGACAGACCGACAGACAAAACTCCCTCACAACTAGATTGAGTTACACCCTTACAAACTGATTGGTTGTTACAGATGAAGCGATGCAGTGACAGCGACAACCCTGACGAGGATGGCCCTGAGAAGTGCACCATCTGCTTGTGTGAGTTTGAAGAAGGAGAAGATGTCAGGTGAGCCCACTGATCATGAGAAACCCCAGTGCTGAATGTTTGTACTAAACTTTGTGTGAATGATGTGTTGATCTAAATATGTTTCTTCATAGATGACGTCATTGCTTTAAGTCCCCGGCCGTGATATTGCTGGAATATTGCTAAAAGTGGCGTAAAACTGTGCTCACTCACTCACTCATTGCTTTGAACACAGGACTGGCAGTTTTAAAAGTCAGCAGGAACACTGCCGTGCATGCATCTATTCTACAGTGTGTGTGTCACATTGTTGCAGACAACTGCCGTGTATGCATCTATTCTACAGTGTGTGTGTCACATTGTTGCAGACAACTGCCGTGCATGCATCTATTCTACAGTGTGTGTCACATTGTTGTAGACGACTGTCGTGCATGCATCTATTCTACAATGTGTGTCACATTGTTGCAGACAACTGTCGTACATGCATCTATCCTACAGTGTGTGTGTCACATTGTGGCAGACGACTGCCGTACATGCATCTATTCTACATTGAGCATGTCACATTGTTTGTTGCAGACGACTGCCATGCTCGCATCTATTCTACATTGTGCATGCCACATTGTTGTAGACAACTGACGTGCATGCATCTATTCTACATTGAGCATGTCACATTGTTGCAGACAACTGCCGACCATGCATCTATTCTACATTGAGCGTGTCACATTGTTTATTGCAGACGACTGCTGTGCATGCATATATTCTACACTGAGTGTGTCACATTGTTGCAGACGACTGCCGTGTATGCATCTATTCTACGTTGAGCGTGTCACATTGTTGCAAACGACTGCCGTGCATGCATCTATTCTACGTTGAGCGTGTCACATTGTTTATTGCAGACGACTGCCTTGCATGCATCTATTCTACATTGAGCGTGTCACATTGTTTGTTGCAGACGACTGCCATGTATGCATCTATTCTACATTGAGAGTGTCACATTGTTTGTTGCAGACGACTGCCATGTATGCATCTATTCTACATTGAGAGTGTCACATTGTTTGTTGCAGACGACTGCCGTGCATGCATCTATTCCACATTGAGTGTGTGGACCAGTGGTTGTCCACCAACAAGAAGTGCCCTATCTGCCGTGTGGACATTGAGGCAGGGTCCAAGGATCAGATATCTCTAGAATGACAAAACCTTCAACAGCACCAGCCTACTGTAACACAATCATGGTTCCTTAGTTAATCATGACTGTTTGATTTTTGTCCAAGAGACAAGTTGACCTTGAAGCTTGTATGTTCTGCAAGTAGCAACAGAATAGGATTTTCACACCAGCTGCGACAATGCAACACCTTTTTCACTGCATGTAACTACGTGGCTTGTGTGTCATTTCGGGAAATATCTGTTTATTTGTCTTGGAGAATGGTAAAATTGTTGATAATATATTTGCCTAGTGGCCAGATTGTTAAGGAACCTATGTTTGTCACACAGAGAATTTGTCCTTTAAATTTGATGTGTGATGGAATTGTGCAAACATTCATTTTGGAAGGACTTATTGCAGATACGTTTACCCATTTTAACCCTGTTACTGACGTCCTCAGTGCTGAGTGGATATTTATTCTTTCTTACGTTTTGAGTTATGTGGAGCTTGTGAATGGAGGTATATTTTTTTGTTGTTGACAATATTGTGTTGAGTTTGGTTTTAGTTTGATCGTTTGAGTGTCTTGCAAATACCAGCCAGATGTTGGTGGGCAGGTGGAGAGTGGCGTGATTCTTGTCTCTATGCAAGTCGTAGTTCATTTGACAGAGATTGTCAGACAATCTGACCAAGTGTCCAACAAACACAGGTGTATACATGGTCAGGGTTGAAAAGGACTTATCAGGAAGGACAATTTTTTCTCTCCAAAACTCTTGAAGGAAAATGTGGAAGGACAAAAAATGAAGTGGTGTGACATACACCACAGCCGGGAAGAAGCCTACTGCGGATTTAATTGTTGGTGTGTCCCGAACGTAGATCTGCAGTGTCGGTCGTTTGGGCTCTTAACAGTTAGCATTATGACATGAAACCTATGATCGTAGGTTCAAATCCTGGTTCGCCCCAATTTATATTTTGAGGTTTGTCAGCACCTCCCACATTAAGCTGACAGGCCGCGATATAGCTGCAATACTGTTCAAGGCATGGTCAAGTGTGGTCCTGTGAGAAGCCCATATAATGAACACAGCTTCTTTATTGGTATTAAGTGTCCAATCGAGACACTCAACTCATATCATTGGAAGTTCTTGTACTTGTAATAGAAACTAAGCGATAAAATGAATAACTGAGTTCGGAAGCACATGGTCGTATTGAACTGTAGATGATTCATATCGCCAAAGTTTGGTGGTTAGAAGATCTAACAAAATACTAATTGGAAATTGCAAAAGTTACGTACTAGCGAACTATGTCATATAAACTTCTGTTAATGACCTATGAAACAATTTTGGGCCAGTGGACTCATTCTTATGGTGTTATCCTAGCACCACAAATGCTATTTGTGCTATATAGTGCAGGATTATCCATGGGATGATCCTGAGAGGTGTGTACGGGTGTCCATGTGTGTCGGGCATCAGCTGTCTACATGGCAGGATTCACCTCAGTCAAGGGAAAGGTTCATCGTTTGTCTGCTGATGGGGCTTGTGTAGTTGAGGTAGCAGTCACACAAAACACATCATGGTCAGTTTGGTTTGGACTCAACATTACCTTTAAGACTCACAACAATTTCCAAATTATATTGTGAATTCCCTTCAATCAAAATTCTTGGATGATGTCATAATAGACTTGATTTGGCTTTATCTATATTATCAGTTTTATATTGAGAATTTAACCTTGGGCAATCTACAACTTTAGACAATAGTGCGAAGCCCGCGTCCCGTAAATTTTTGCTAGTCTGGTAAGGTCAACTTAAAAAAGTGCATATGATAAGAATAAAATGTACAATAAAAGTATGCTCAGAACCATTTCCTGGCCAGTGGACTCAACAACATTGGGCACCTTTTAACCTGAAAATAAATAATATGTAGCTTTAAAAGCAAAGAAAACTGAATTCTTGTACCTACTTCCTGTTATTAGAGTTATGTCAAATATCCTAAAGGAGAGTTGAAACATGAGCTCGCATGCCAAACGTTCTGGAACAGTGATATTTAATCAGGTATTTTTTTTATGCTTTTCTTTTCTTTTATGATGTTATATATTGACCATGAATCTTGTCTGGACTGGTGGACAAAACTGGCCGTAAATCCCTACCTTAGAAGTACTACTCGGAAACAGATTCAAGTTGCTAAGTTTCAATGATCAGTGGCTACTGGAATCGAATCGACACTTGTCAATACTTCACAAGATTGTATACACTGTGTTCCCAGTGATGGGGTCCTGTGGTGATTACTGGTAAGAATATAGATCCCCAGCAACTTATTGTCGAAAGAGGCGTTCGGGTGGTCAGGCTCTGTGACTTGTTTGATTTAATATCATCACTTCCCAATTGCCTCGATCGATTCTCATGATGATGCTATGTGTTGATTCCCAAATGGATACTCAAAGGTTAACCCAGAAATCAGTACGTACAGAACTAAATTGTGAAATAAGTAAGGTCACAAGGTCAGTGAACAATCAATAAATGAGGTTGAAACTCTAAAGCTCAAGATTGTATGAGCGCTTCATCTTGCTGCCCCCAGCAATCATCAGAAATGACCTCACAATACAGGTCTACTGCTACATAACAATGTCAGTCACTGGATTGTCTGGTCCAGACTCAGTTATTTAATCCTACGTGATGTATATGAGACTGTGAAGTACTGACGATGTGCTCGGAACCAGAAAGGTTTTGTCTCACATCATGTATTGAGCGAATCTTAAGGTGTGATGTATATTAAATATGTTTCAAGATGTTAAGTACTGTCCCTTCCGATGATATGTTTTTTGTCTTTTCACTTGTGTAACTTTCGTATACACTGTGTGCAACCATTGATGTGTTAAAGCAGCTTTATGCACTTGTTTATTTACAATTTTCTAACAAGAACAAAGTACACCTCAGATGAGTTAACACAAAAGCTAACCTCTAGAAGCAACCAAGCACTACACTATTGTGATTGTTTTTGCATCAGGTGTTAGTGTGACTGTGACGTACATCCCCACCTTTGTACATTATCATTTCATACAATCATTGTCATTAAGCTGGGCTTATTTATATTGTCTGTGTGTATTCTACCATGATTGTTCTACAGAGTAGACAACCTGCTCCAGTGACCGTTGGGTCACTACTAAGTGTCGCAGTGTCTGAAGATATGATAGATGTACATATTTATTATATAATTATTATATATTATAATCTTGTACCTATTCCTTGCAGTAGCCCTGTCTTCATATATTCAGATCAAGTTTGAGCATATATATATATATGTATATATATATGTGTGTGTGTGTGTGTCTTGTATTTTAAATGTCTCCTTGCTGAGTTCCACAAACTAACTCTATGCTACAACATAGCAATATGACAGTCGTAACTCCTACACTACAGCATTAGTTGTACGACTGTTGTACATAGAGTTGGATGACTGTCGTAACTCCTACACTGCAGCATGAGTGGTACGACTGTCGTACATAGAGTTGGATGACTGTCGTAACTCCTACACTACAGGATGGAGTGGAACGACTGTCGTAACTCCTACACTAAAACATAAGTGGTACGACTGTCGTAACTCGTACACTACAGCATGGAGTGGTACAACTGTCGTAACTCCTACACTATGGCATGGAGTGGTACCACTGTCGTAACTCCTATACTACAGCATGGAGTGGTACAACTGTCGTAACTCCTACACTGCAGCATAGTGTGGTACAACTGTCGTAACTCCTATACTACAGCATGGAGTGGTACGACTGTCGTAACTCCTTCACTGCAGCATAGTGTGGTACAACTGTCGTAACTCCTATACTACAGCATGGAGTGGTACAACTGTCGTAACTCCTACACTTCAGCATGAGTGGTACGACTGTCGTAACTCCTTCACTGCAGCATAGTGTGGTAAGACTGTCGTAACTCCTACACTTCAGCATGAGTGGTACGACTGTCGTAACTCCTTCACTGCAGCATAGTGTAGTATGACTGTCGTAACTCCTACACTTCAGCATAGTGTGGTACGACTGTCGTAACTCCTTCACTGCAGCATAGTGTGGTACAACTGTCACAACTCCTATACTACAGCATGAGTGGTACGACTGTCGTAACTCCTACACTGCAGCATGAGTGGTACGACTGTCGTAACTCCTAAACTGCAGCATAGTGTGGTACAACTGTCATAACTCCTATACTACAGCATGAGTGGTATGACTGTTGTAACTCCTACACTGCAGCATGAGTGGTACGACTGTCGTAACTACGACACTGCAGCATAGTGTGGTACAACTGTCATAACTCCTATACTACAGCATGAGTGGTATGACTGTCGTAACTCCTACACTGCAGGATGAGTGGTACGACTGTCATAACTCTTAAACAACAGCAAATAGAAATACTATTTATAACTCATAACAAGAGCCTTCAGACAGTCTGAGAGGAGATCCCAACATTTGTGAAACGAGGTCGAGATTAGTGGATAGTAAGAATTGCTTGGAAACAGTTAAAATACAGATGTTTGTTGTGTCAGTTCTTACACATTTTTAGTTGAGTGAAATGTTTTAATATCATTTCTCAAACAAAACTTTTAGCATTACTCTGAATAGTTTACTAATGCTAAGACTTTTCTGTGCAGTGTTATAACTGGGTTTGAATGATGAGATAAGACTTGAGCTATGTTTGCATCATGTGGATTAGACCCATGGTGGTGCCATGAGTATCATTATGGGACTTGTTTCTCTGCAGAGGTTATCTCCGATACCTGTTTAGTAGGCATGCTGCAAAGGATATCTCCGACACCTCTTCAGGAGGCATGCTGCAGAGGATATCTCCGATACCTGTGTAGTAGGCATGCTGCAGAGGATATCTCCGACACCTCTTTAGGAGGCATGCTGCAGAGGATATCTCCGATACCTGTTTAGTAGGCATGCTGCAGAGGATATCTCCGACAATTGTTTAGTAGGCATGCTGCAGAGGATATCTCCGACACCTGTTTAGTAGGCATGCTGCAGAGGATATCTCTGACACTTGTTTAGTAGGCATGCTGCAGAGGATATCTCTGACAATTGTTTAGTAATGCTGCAGAGGATTTCTCCGACACCTGTTTAGTAGGCATGCTGCAGAGGATATCTCCGACACCTGTTTAGTAGGCATGCTGCAGAGGATATCTCCGACACCTGTTTAGCAGGCATGCTGCAGAGGGTTGACTGTAGGTTCTGTTGTGAAGTTTGTACATTGTACTTTGTAATCTTTCAGTCAAAACTGGCTGTCCAGGGCATTATTTGGTGCAGCTTTTACTTTCAATTATGAAAGCTGTCCAACTCTAACTTGACCAGCATCAAGTTCAAATCTACAGGATTGTTTGGGTGTGTAGTTACCTTACAGACTTAAGCAGTTTAGAAATGTGATGGCCGGTTTTGGTTCATTTTGGAATTTGGAAACTTGGGACTGTGCAGACGTTATGATTACTTTCCCTGTGTCTGATGTTTCAAGTATCCTCAATCCACTTAGTCGGCATTCCTGTAGAAGTGTGTTAATGTTGAAGAGTGCTCTGCCTTTGCTGTGATGTATGTGTGTAAGAACTGACACAAGGTATGTCAACATGTACCTCAAGTTGTGCCATGTGTCTCTGTCCCGCCCTGCATCGCCCACGTCCTTCCCCTCACCACATGGTCTCAAAGAGGAATCTTGAACACATTATTTGGTATGATTATTACGTTATCTTGAACTGTATGGAGAAGGAGGAAAATGAATTTTCTTTGAGGTCAATTACCAAACAAATATGTTGAAAACATATTTGACTTAAAAAAGAAGTAATATGTTTTCATCACACATTAAGATGACCACTGTAGAAGTTCAATCTTTTTATTATCAGATTCTGTGTTTGTTACTTCTACACCAAAGTGCACAAAGATATCTGATATTGATGAGATTGGTATTAGTTTGGATTGCCATCAATCCAGTGTTGAACTCCAATTCATTTCACTGATGCCTCTGTAAGACAACCATTTTTGTCCTCACTTTTTTACTGGTAAGTTTTCTGCAGATTACTTCAGGGGCATTTATAATGATCTAAATTATATATAGATTGCTGCAGTTT